ATCGGTATCCAGCGAAGGCCGGCGTCGCTGCGGAGAAAGTCCCGTGTACGCACGATGCACGGGCGTCGTACTTGTTGACGAATTATGTTTGTCGACCGCGCCACCCCCTGCAACACGTGCCGATAACATGACTCCAGTGGCATTTCGTCCTGCACGGCGAAGGAAGCCTGCGAAGCCGCGGCCTACACCGCGAGTCCCTTCCGTGGCACTACGAGAGTAAGGGGCGCCATTTTGCGTTGCGGAGCGAGCATTAGGACTGGGCAGTCCTGAGGATTGTGTCCACGGGGAGACACTTCCAAACTCACTGCGATTCAAGAAGCTACCAGATGGTCCTGGGGAGTGGAGCTGTCCGCCAGAGCCGCCGTTGGCGCCTCCGTTCATCAATGAGGATGCTGCAAGGCCAGAAGGAGAATCTCCTCCGCCCCCCGATATTGAAAAACCACCACCGGCTGACCCTGGTGTAGTAGACTTTCCGACGCCACCGCCAGAACTAAGCAAAGACGGGTCGGAGCTCAAATTATGATGTACTTGAAGCTGTAACGGATCCGCAGAAGCACCCGCATATTGGTGCTCGAGTTCAACTTGCTCGTCGACTCGAATATACAGATGTCCATTCTGAACACCAGACACTAAGCGCAACGCCCTTTGTAGAACTCTGCGCTTCGTCTTCGGTGCCACGCCTGTGAGAACAGCCGCCGTGGCAGCGAATGAAGGAGTGCTGTTTGTCTTGTCTCGAGCGGCGCTTGACCTCCCTTCCGGGGTATTTGACTGGCTCTCGCCTTGCTGCGTACTGCCTGCTCCACCGGACTTTTGATCTCCACTGGACAGTGACGAACCTGAACCCTCGCTTTGCTGTTCGTAGTTGGTCAGCGCTGCGATTTCATGCGCTACTGCCAGCATGCGAAGATCATCATCGAACGGATTTGCATTGTTCGACCCTCGGCCGAACACGGACGTGCACATGCTGCGCAGGGTTCCCGTCATGTACCGAGCCGCCTCCGACTCCCTCAACCTCCGTAATGTGTAGCTCTTTTGAACCGATTTCGTATGAAGGTCAAAATCCATCGAACGCTGCGACAGCGTGCCCATCGAAGGCGGCTGAGTGCCTGTGAAGTCCAGATGTCGGCGCGCAATGCCACTCCCCAGGACAGCTCCCTTCTTTCGCGACTTAGCTGAGCCTCCCCCTCCTGGAGAAACTGCGTCGAAGTCTCCAAATTTATCCTCGTCTTCTCCCGCATCCGATTCCGCATCGGAATCTACGGTGGCCAGCAAATCCCGAACCGATCCCGTGAGTGCCAAATTCCTTTTTGCTTTCGGTGGCTGCATCGACGAGCGCGCGCCATTTGTTCCTCCTCCGGCTAGGCCGGTGCGGCTTCCGCCTGCATTGGTACTTCCGATGCCCGCCGGTCCAGAGGTGGCTGCGGCTTGGGCAACCTGGGCATTCATCGCTTGAAGCGCAGTGGCATGAGTTGTTCCTGGTGGCAGTAGACTCTTCAGGGTCAGTGCAGTTTTGAGACGCTGCCGCACTTTTCCCACAGTTCCTCGCTGGGCCGGAAGCCGTTTGGCCCCCACGGAGGTGCCTTCGAAGACGGCCGAAGGCAGCAGCTGGTAGAGCTCACCATTGAAACCCACAAAACCTCGTTTCTTGTCGTGCACCTTTTTGGGCAAGCCGGCACCTCCAATAGGCAAGTCCAGGCCCCAGTGTTTTCCTCGTTTTCCATCCACGAAAATTTCCCATCCTTGACTTAACGCTTGCCATGGCTTGATCACGCGTTCAACCAAGAAAGCCGAAACGTAATCCTCGCCGTGCTGATGTCCCGCTCCATGAGTCCCTCCTTGCGGACTGTTATGTTGAATTATATGCAGCTGCGGTGCTCCGGGAGACGCACCAGAGTGGCCATAGTTCGAGTAGTGGCTGAACTCATTCTGCGGTTCCGGTAGATGAGACGACTGGTGCCAGTTCGGTCCTCCCGCGGTATGCTGATTACTGAGTGCCAGCTGTGCACGCAACTGCGTGGCGGCCCGCGCTGCATCGAAATCGCGCCTCTCCACTTTGTGAGTAGCTGCCATTCGCCGTGTGAGTGGTAGCTTCGACAACGTTTGAATTACGCGGAGATCTAGCGGAGACGCACCCGCTCCGAAGAATCCTCCTGCAGCGTGCTGCTGCGGAGCATTCCCGACAACGGTAGCGCCGCTCTCTGCGTGTTGAACCAAATTTGTACTCTGCTTATTCACCGCACTCCCTTGACTTGAATTTTTCGCATACCCAAGCAGGCTCGCGCCGCTACTCAATGTCGCAGGAACCAGCTGATATTTGTTGTTGGTGTTTGTGCCGTCTTGCTGCGCACCATCCGCTGGCTGCCCGAGAGCTCTGGGCGAACCCAAGAATGACTCATGCTGTGAATTTTCGTCCCCTTGTCCTCTGGGGTTCTCAGATCGGCTGCGTAGCGTGAGAGACGTGGAAATGCTATTCCCGATTTGCTGGTCTCCTGTGCCCCCTACTTTCGATCTTCCACGCTTGCTAATCCCGCCTCCTCCATCGGCCGCAGTAGGTGGACTTTTATTGGAAGAGCCCCCTAAAAGGTTCGATCTTGGCGAAAATATCGCCGTTGTGGATGACCTCCGCAATTTTTTGATACCCTTCTCCTCGATCACTTTTCGAATCTCCACAGAACGCGTTCCATCTCCACCTGCTTGAGCTCCGACTCCGTCATCTGTGGCTTGTCCTTGTGCGCTTGTAGATGAAGTCGTTGCGGGTTGCGCGGTGCCTCCCAGAGAATCATTGGCGTTTCCCAATGCGGCAGACAGCGACGAAGATGGCAGCGATCCGGTGAACAGGAAATGGAGAAAATCGGTTGGCCCGACGCCCTCCAGTTGAAACAAGATGCGACTTCCGTGCCCAAAGCAGGCAGCTAAGGGAAACGGCCATAAGGACGTATTCGCCGAGTTTTCCACCTCCGTGGAGTACAACCCGCAAGTGGCAATACAGAGAAAAAGACGGCGCATAAACATCACCTTCAATTCAAGCACCTGCAAATTCTGCCGAATTTCCCGCATTTTACCGCCCATTTTGCGACTCATACTCTTCGGACTGAGAGAGGCGGTCGTATGCGTTGGACTGACTGCGCTCTGCTCTGCAGCTAAGTCGAGCAGCGTCCCCGTCGGATTGCCGGTATTCCCAGGATCCCCTCCCGCAGACCCTCCAGGCGCCACCAGTGAAGACAGTGTCGTTACAGATGAGATGCTGTCTTTACGCGATCGTGACATCGGTGATAAGCCTCCAAAACCTCCACCTCTATGTAGCGCGGCAGTCGTCCCCGCATGCGCACAACGATTCCAAAACTCACGATCACAGTTCCAGAGTAAATCCGCAATGGCCGCTTTTGGCGGAAACAAAGTGTTGAAGAGAATCACGATGTCGTTCACGAATTGCCGCTCCATCACATCGGTGATATCCATCTGCACATCGTAGCCCTCCCGGTTGTGCACTTCTGCGAGCGGATCCCACAATCTAGAGGATGAAGAAGATTTTGAGTGGTGAAGATTCCAGTTGTTAGGGTTCTTTTTAAGGCGTGTTATTGACATTTTCGAGTGAGATATTTTTATAGTCTGTTGTTTGGTGGGATAGATATGGTAAATTTTGCTTACAGATACGGTTTGGACTTGAATCTTCCAAAAAAGAAACCATTTTTAGCGATGAAAAACACTAACACTTTTCCATTTCCTCTCTTGTTTTTGGTCGCCAGACGATGTCACGGCAGTTTTCGATACGAAAGGGGCGCAAACTAGAAGCGGACACCATGAGCTCAATGTCGAAGGGGAAGCCTTGAACCAGGACCCTGCCTTCTCCGGTGATGCGCGCCTTTCCCTCTGTTAGCGGACTGTCTTCGCCTCGCAAGTCCTTGTAAACAGCAACAATGAGCTTGTTGCCATTCTTTATGCGAAAGAGCGGCTGTGGAATCATTTGTTTGTTCCCCGTATTAGAACCAAAAGAGGAAGGTTTGAATTCAGTTAGTGTAGGTGCACATTCATTCAGAAAGTCAGTACGGTTTCAGGAGAAAGGATGTCTATCGTGCGTGATCATATGTGATGACCCAGCATAAGGAAAACAAAAGCTTCCCATGTTGGATTGCTGGTATTTTCGATAGCGCGAGTGCGGATAGTTACGGCTCCTCCAGCTTCGAGCGCTGCATGGTCGTCGACTCGTCGCTTGCGTCTTTTTTTCCATCCTCGACACCTAGAAAAAATACCCTTCTTGGTTAGTTAGAGGTGCCACACCTCATCTAGTAAATTTTAGCATATCTGCGGGTTGTCTTTCAAAGTCAGTTTTCAAATAAACTCCTGTAACTCAACGGAAAAACTGATGAGGTACATTAACAACAGAAGATGGTATTCAGTAAAAAAGGCACAACTAGTAACACTCGTAACTCGTATCCTCGATGAGTAAACAGAAGAGTCCACTCGTTGACTCGTGGTGCGCACGCTGTTTCGCGGCATAGCCAGGCACGCGAATCCGTGTAATGTTGAAGAAAGGCGCCCCTTTCTTGTCACGAGAACGCTCCCCCATTTTTTTGATTTCAAATTTCGACCAAGAATATGCTTCGGACCATGGGAGACCCAATTTGCGTGTAAAGTCTACGAAAACTTTGCTGACATGCAGCTTTTCTTTGACCAAGACGGAAAATTGAATCCCATTAGGAGCCAGCATCATCAAAACAGCAACCCACGAAACGAAAAAAAATGAAACAGAATAAAAGTGCATTCGAACCTCCTGGACCGAATGAAGACACACAGATTTCCTCTTTCACAACAGCATCATCATATACAGACTTTGCGCGTCACTCATATAAAGACGGCATCAACATCATGACGCTGGCAGATTGATAGGAAAGAACTCTCTCAGACAGATGATTTGAGTCGACTCATATCCGAATTAGCCACTTCTTCGTGAATGTCGCATGTGCTAGTGCCTCCTTTGAGGCTAAATATTGAGATAGGACCGATAATTGTGAGGAATGATTTTTCTAGGAATCATCACAGATGAGACACATCTACTAGTCGTTGCTCCTCATTCGTCTTCAACTGTCTTCAATGATTGATCCCTTTCTTGTCTATACATCACGTTCAAAGCCTGACAACAGATCTTCGTGCTTCATATTGGAAAGTCCATGTTTTCGAGACTGCTAGATGCTCTTCAATTTCGCGACGCATCTCAGTTGTAAGATGCAGTAATTATATGTATATTTATACTATTTCATCGATAAATCCAAAAGACGGCACGGCTATTATACATCTTGTTCTTATCCTCAATTCCAAATGGATCTTCATCTGTCAAACTATGCGGCTCTGGCGGAGCCTATATCATCAAGCGCTGTCGTGCATCTACGGTTGTTCTTGTTGCGCCCATACCATCTCATTGCAATCGGAATCGTCAAAACGGAATCTTCAATCGGAATCTTCAATCGGAATCAAGTTTCACTCAGTGTCGAGTGAGTGGTATTACCACGTCACCCGCACCCAACATAATTGTCTCTGTAATTCAAGTGTCTAAGGATGTGCAAATCGGGATCAAATTACTTAAAAACTCGAGCTCAGCATTTCAATACAGCAACAGATCTCTACTTTTTAGTACAACTACTAGCTACTGCTACTGTGACCCCCCTTCTCCCATCTGGATCTGCCAGCGGGTCACAAGGTGCGGTTGTAACAATAATATTTATTAGACGATCCAGCCGCTCTTCACGACCTCGTCTTGGTATTTCGTTTCCGCACACGACTGTTTCGGGAAGCGATCGATGAAAACCTGAAGCAATTCAAATTTGATTGCAGAAATCTACGGAAGTTTTTCTAATAGGTCTGGTTGAGATAGAATAATATTAAAGAGCTAAATTAAAAAACAACAACGACCCCGCCAAACTCTAACTCTCTCACTTCCAAACCCGAAGCCCCAAACTCTCACTCTTTCACATTTGAACTCCTGAACTCATGAACTTCTGAAGCTGAATTTCTGAACTTATGCACTTACGAACTTACGAGTGAACTTCTGAACTTCTGAACTACTTAGGAACTTACGAACTTACGAACTACGTAGGATGGAACCTAGGAACTTAGGAACTTACGAGAGCTCGCGAATCAAATCCAAGAAACTGAATTCCGGAAAAGCTCCCGAAAGTCGAAAATTTTGGGATTTGAGGAATTCAAACCCAAGAGATTTAGCCTACGAATCAAATCCAAGAAATTGAATCTCAGAGAAACTCGCTAAAATCAAAAATTTTCGGAGTCGGGGAATTCAAACCCAAGACAATGAATTTCGGAAAACCTTGCTAAAATTGAAAGTTTTTGGATTTGAGAAATTGGAAGCGAAGAAATTGAATTTCTGAGAAACAAACTCGCTAAAATCGAAAATTTTCGGATTTGAGCAATTGAAATCCAAGAAGTTGAATCGCGGAAAAACTTGCGAAAGTCGCAAGCTTTTGACTTGAGGGATTCAAATCCAAGAGATTGTATCGCAGCAGGGCTCGTTAAAATCGAAAGTTTTTAGATTTGAGCAATCCAAACCAAAGAGACTGAATCTCAGCGAAACTCGTTAAAGTCGAAAGCTTTTGAATTTGAGGAAAGAAATAGAATCCCAGAAGTGCTCCGATGTGTTTTCGCCAAAGTTAAAAGTGTTCGGATTTGACCAATCCAAACCCAAGGGATTGTATCCCCGACAAGCTTGCTAAAGTCGGAAATTTTTGGATTTGGGTTCTCAAATCCAAGAAATTGAACGCCAGAAAAAACTCGCTAAAATCGAAAACTTTTGGATTTGAGCCATTCAAATCCAAGGGATTGAATCTCGGGCGAGCTTAGCGCTCCGCGGGTTACTTCGGGAGGAGGAGAATCCTAGTGCGAGGGGGTGTTATCGGGCGCTCCAAGCTAGTATATATTTCAATCATTATCATCTTGTTCAAAGAGAAGAGCAGCCGAATGTCAAAGTGCAGTACTAGTAATGTCAAAGTGCAGCACTAGTTATCATGAAGGTGTACCTCTTCCTCATGCCATCCAACAGCTTGCGCAGTTGTCATCGGCCGCTTGTAAACTTCCATTGGTCCGAATTTCACGCGCGCATGCTTGCGGAGATCATCAGAGTAGTCTTTGTACGAATCGTAGCTGTTGTAAGTGGAGAATTTTTCTTTTGTCTGTGACTAAGTAGAGACTTTAGCTGTTGTAAGCGGGTAGAGTATTGGAAGACGAAGAGGAAGAAGTGATGAAGATACCACTAACTAAACTTGTTGTACTAGAAGAAAATGCGAGAAGTACATAAACATATGTATTATCGTCCACAGACCAACCTCCTGAGTAGTTCTTGTTGTCTCAATGCATACAACAGCATTACAGCGACTGACCCGCGAGCAAAATAGAAATACTGTGTCGCTCGCTTGCCGATTTTCTTCACTTTCTCGCGGATCGCTTTGAGACCGCCAGAGAACTCCTCCCAAGTTAGCACACCATCTTCGTGGAGCTTCATAGTCGAGACGAAGATGTTGATTTCCTCCGGCATGGGTTCAAAACCATAAGTTCGAGTCATGCATTCGTACCTAAAGAAAAAGATAAGAATTTGTAGAACTCCGAGGAGCCTAGTAGCAAAAACAAATGTAAATTTACCAGCAGAGTGGTCTAAGTTAGGTTTTTGATCTACATCTTCTAGCAGATTCATTTGCTAGCCCAAGTAAATCGAAAAAATTTCATCAATGCAAATAGATACACGTCGATCCTGTTGATCTTGCCTTCCCGATCGGCGAGCGTATAAAATGCCTTTTTGAAATCGTTGTCGCTGAAACTTGTTACACCAAGGGTTGACAGGAGGTTACATCCAATCGGCTGGGCTGGACCCAGAGACGTCACGCCGAAGAATCCCGACATAGTTCTTGTTCTTTTCTTATCCTTTTCCTTACTCTTATTTCTATGTGTGATAAGTAGAACTCGACGATGTAGTTCTAGATAATAAGTTGTAAGTCCCCCAGACAGCCACGGCACCCCTACTTGTTGTGGCTTGGCCCCGCTGAGTAGCACTCTCTCGCAGAATTGCAAGAGGCACACTAAAATCTTGGGTTCGTATTTGTTGTGTGACATCAGCATAAACATGAATCATGGGCTTCTTGTAACACTTCATCGACTTCTGCTTCTGGCTCATGTGGATTCACCTTTTTGTGTTCTTGAAGTAAGAAAGTCCCTAGCCTATCATACTAGTCCTACTTCGTTTGTATCCAATGTCGAACGACTGACGCAAGAAGTGCCGATCGATTTCGCTGTGCATTTTTGCTTTCATCGTACCACTTTGCAAATTATGAGTACTAGGATAAGGCGAGTAACTGTCGATGCACGAGGATAGCCGTATACCTTTCTGCCCTACTCACAATCTGCAACGACTTGGACATTTCCATGACAAAACAAAGGCAATCGACGCTACGATATTCACGAGGATGCCACCGTATAATATGCGACTTCGCGTCTTCTCGCACCAGGCCGATGTTCACCTCCTGAATATTGGCCTCTGCGCTGTGACTGGTGCATGATTGATATCCACGGAAAAATAAAGCTGCAGTTAACTTTGCTTACCAGCGTCTCTAACTGTGCTTGCTCAGATGTAGTGAATTGGAGTCAGTAGATATGAGAAAGACAAAGAGAATGATTATCATTCAATGATATCTTGCTTCTTAGTGTTAGTGTAGTCGCATGAATGTCTACTTACTAATTAATGGCTCGATGCGTAGAAACTGATGTTTGTAGTAGTATGTTGTTTGGTCTTGTGTTAATGTCAACACAGGTTTTCGATGTCGGTCCTATAACAGCCATGACATTACGAAATGTAAAATCGTGAAAATGCAATGATTGAGTTGTGTTATTGAAATGGGAACTTAGTATCGGGATTTTTGATTTTGAGATTACATCAAAGGGATTAGTATTTCTTGAAGCTGAAGAAGTCCCTATGATGCATAATAATATGTCATCTACTACTGATTGATATTTAGATGTTTGCTTACTTGCATATCCATATATTTTATAAATCTGTATTAATGTTGAAACAAGCTGCATGATGGAAAATCGATTTTTCTTTAATATGTACAAGCAACGTTCTGGTTCTGCTCAAGGTCAAATGGCGTCACCTCCATCGCCTTTATCATTAGCATTTGTGGGCGCGGCCTCCGAATCGGCTGTCCCGCCTACTTCTGCCTCCACCGCGTATGTGGCTAACCTGCGAATCGAATCGAGGACGCCTATAGTTTGAGCCGTGATTTCTGCTGGAGGCATCGAAGCGGTAGTCGGCTGCACGTTATCTTGCGTCCTCTTGTTTTCACCTCCTCGACGAGCAGCCCTGTGGTCCATGCTTCTGGACGATGCAGAAGTAGATATTGTTGCTCGCTGCTGGAGTAGTCCTGTACTTGTTCCGGTAGCTTCCAGAGGCCCCAGACCCAATATTGGTTCTGTCACGACGGGAAAAAACATTTCTGCGTCTGCTCCTTCCCTTGCACCTCCTTCGTGTTCGGTGCGTCCCCCGAGTGGCTCATTTGTAGAGGCCGCAGCTGCAGCTGGATGAAGATCAGTTTGCGCCACAGTTGGACCAATCCTGTGCCCAGTTAATGTTGCGTTGCCCCTTCGCTGGTTGACTGCAGAAGGCACAGTGTAGACTTTGGTGGGCTGGTTCGGAGGCATCCACGAAGCCACTGCACTTGATTGTACACCTGCAGAATTCTTCTGACACCACTGCAATTGATTGTACACCACGGGTGCAACAGCCGTGGGTTGCGGCGGCGGACGCTCGGCTTCCGCGATGTAATAATCGTGCAGCGCGTTGTTTGTGAGAAGCGCTGCAGCAGAAGCCGCTTGTTTCTGCGACGCCACATCGCGCCGCTGCATCCTGCTCGACGCTGATCGGCTGCTCATGCTCGGGTTCTGTTCGACTGATTTAGTCGTGACTGCGGTGCTCGGGCGGCTACTTGCAGCCGATGCTGGCACAGAAAAAGCCTGTGTTCCTGCTCGTTGACGGCCGTATGTTGCGATGCGCACACGCTGATTAGCATTAGTCGCATCTCCAAAACTGCTGCTGGGGAAGTGTTCATGCGACGACGCGGATACTTCATGTTGAGACCCGGAGGGCATCAGAATCTGCGACGCGACCGCTGAGGTGGAGGAAGAAGCATGGTAGTGCACCTGAGACTGCGATGCTGAGAACGTATTTCCTTGATCGTTGTTCACCTGTCCTGCGCCTTTCCGACGCATCGAGCGCAGCAAACCGCTAGCCGAACCAGCAGCTCCCCTTGCTGGGAGAGAATTACCTAGACCTCCAACCGAGACACTCCTGTTGCTCGAGGATGCCAGACCTCCGCCATCTGCTTGAGTTTGTGCTGCTCCCGTGGGGGTGAATTCGGGACCTAGCGAGAACGAAACCTCCTCGTCCATCCGATTGCCCTTTTTGGGCGTGAAGAAAATTCGATTACCGCTCTGCACGTCAGTTTTTGTCGTGCTCACTCCTGGCACAACTATCACAGCATCCTGATGATCAAGGTTATCCGGTAGAGGCTTTTGAATGCGTGACACCGGAACTCCAGGGCCCGATGCGGCCGTCGAGGCGTGGCTTTGGCGCCGCGAGGAATAGCGCCGTGAAGTTCCGCGTGAGCTACCACGCACCGCATGATAACCATGATGTGCCGCTGAGGCGGGACGGCTCGACGACGCCGACCCGCTGCGAGTGACGCTTGATCCCGCGTGCTCGCTGTAGTGGTCTGTGAAGCGCATGTGCTGTTGGCGTATTTTCAGCATATTCGCCGCGGCTGCGAGCTTATCCTGCACCACATTGTAGCCCGGGAGCTGATTTGCAGAGGGATTCTGCGCCAAGAAGTCGCGCACGTGCTGCTCATCCGGATAAAACATCAAGGTTTGCGAGGCTGAAACACTGTTCTCCGGTTGTTCCATAGCAGCACCACGTTGGTCTCCACTTTGGGGTCGAGAAGCTCCTGGAGAAGCGGCCACGATCTTACGTCTGCCGTCAGGAGGCCCTACAAGCTCCGCGATCGGTGGCTGCTGAAGGGCTCTCCTGGTTCCGGAATGCACGCGCGCATTTGCCTGGTCTCGACGAGGAGAACCACCTCCGCCTCCCTTCAGGGATCGGACTTGCTGTGTGAGCAGCGAGCCCGAAACGCGACCACTCGATAACCTCGGATCAAGAGGATTCGAGACTGCGGGCGCATGAAACGGCGCGGTGGGGTTCTCACTGTTTGGCGCAACTGGGCTTCCACCGACATGCACAATTGCGGTGTAATGTTGTTCCTGAAAGGAGCCTTCGCCTACCACATCGTCCATGTTCACGGTGTTCACCTGACCGCGCAAGCTCGGTTGATTGAAATATCGCTCAGCGCCGTGTGCAGGGGGTGGCACAGCAAACGCGTTCCGAGGGCTCGTTGGCGAAATGTCTCGTGGCAACCGATGGGGGCTGCCGGCGAGCGGGTTCGATGCAGCACCCCGGGCAGGGGACATCACCAGCCTCCGTTTTGTGGAGCTCGGACGTACCGCATTTACCTGCTGATTCTCGGTGGGCGAAGCCCGACATTGGTTGTCCAGCCGGAGTCCCCCTGATGACGCAGGCCTGTTTCTCTGCTCGTCCTTCGGAGCGCCACTGATTGGCTGCTTGCGCCGGTGGCGTTCTGGGCTACTCCACGGCCGTCCTTGCGTTTTCTTGAACCATTCGTCTCGGCGGCCGTCACTTACGGCGCTCGCGCCACAGTTCTCCAGCACAAAGTTTGTGAGCACATCCACATCCTCCAAATCCTCATCGATTTGCAAGTAATCTGGAAAAAGATTGAGATTCGAGGAAAACTCTACGCAATGGATGATGCGCATGCGCTCCTCTTCCATCGCGAGTTTAAAACGGCGCTGCAAAACCTGTAATCGAGTGAGCCTGTCACGCGCATCGTTGTAAAGCCTCGAGAAAACCGTGCGGATCTTGGGCTTCTTCGATTTCTTCCCTCGTGCTGCTTCTCCTTCCTCCTTACTGCTTTGCTCAGGACTACTCTCGCGGCTGCTTCGCGTAGCAGGACCGATGGGCCCGATATCTTCGCTACGCAATCCAGCGTCCCGCATGCTCTGCCGCACACCCTCACTCGGCCCGTTGCGCTCCATTGTCTCGAGGCGATCGCGCATTTCGTCTAAAGCTAGCATCATTCCGGCTTTTTCTTTTGTCAGAGCTTTGATTTGCTCTTCTAGCTCTGCCATCTTTCGCAAGGCATCGCCAGCTTGTTCCGTAATGCGCTCTATATCGGCCCTCAACTGAGCGTTATCGTCCTGCAGCTGCGCCACTAGTGCTTGCAACGACGCGATTTCGTCCTTAGCGTTAGCTAGCTCTCCACGTAACTGCATGCAGAAGTGCTCTAGTTCCTCGTACTGCTTGTGCAAATGCTTGTACTCTTGCTCGAGGTCCGTAAACAGTTTACGCCACCGTAGCACCTCATGCTTGAGCACATTTACTTCTGTCTCGTAGATGGCAAAGCCGCTTAGCGGAATGCGCAAAAGGTCTCCGAACTGCTGCACCAAGGCGTCGGTAGATATCCTCGTCGCTAAAACACGGTTCTCCAACGCTTCGTCGTCTCCAGCCCGTTCCATCGCCGCTTTACCGTACTGCACAAGCGTGAAGCCAAAGTTGTCGGGAAGTACAAAGCCCCCGTTCGAGCCGCCGCTGCGCGCAGGGATCTCCGGCCGGTAGGCGTCGATGTAGCTGCGGAGCGGAGCCATCGGATGCTTCTCGTCGAACTCCTTGTTGCTCGCTTTCATCAAACGCATTGCGCACGAAACGCGCGCTGCCGGAATCGTGTGCTGACCGCCAAGGCGCGAGTTTACGTCACGATCAATAGTTTTCAGCAATCCGCACTGTGTGAAAACAGACTCATCAAGCAGCACAGTCGCCATAACGACGTCACCGGCAGCGGCGTTATACATGTCCTGCTTGTCTCCCGCCTTGCCATCTTTTCCTGCCTTCCCCTCTGCCTGCTGGTCGGGCGGTGGTGCAACAGCCAATAAGGAATTCTGAGCAACGTCCTCCTTCGAAGGGTGCAGTGCTGGTGCGACCCGACCCCAAAAAGCCGTGGACATCGACAATTTGTTGCATAGCTCACGTCCCGGAATGGGCGGCTCCACTTTTGTGGGATCCGGCTTCGCCTTCTCATCTCCATCGTCGTCTTCCGGCGACGCGACTGGGGTCTCAGGCATAAACGCAATAGGCGGAATCTCGATCGCGTACACCAACCCCAGAGTCATTGCCGGTGATTTCACACTGCTCTGCATATTGTCGGCGCTGCAACCAGTTCGCAGACGCTTTAATTTGGCGCCTTCATCGCCGCCCTCAGGAGGAACCAGAGGCCCGCCGAATTCTCGAACTTCGTCCTCCTCGTCGCCGAGCATCGTTATGAAGGTGTCAGTGTCACTGTATGCGCTGGCCCCGCCCGAGGACGAGTTCTTGAATTTGTCGCGCCGTCTGGTCAAATCCAGCAGGTCTGTCGAGAAGACCCCATCACGACTGGTGGGAGCGGGCCCAAAGTCACCTATCGCCTTCACGCTCACGCGAATCCCACCTGCGACTCGCGGAAATTGCCGCGCCAACTCTTGCGTCAGAGCGTGGTCCAGTGCGCGCCGCACGTCTCCAGGGATCTGTGGTCCGTGCACAGCGATGCTCGCGCCTTTGCTCGGCCGACCCTCATCATCTCCAACCTGCTGCTGCGCCAGCACCGGCGTCGTGAACTTACCGTGTACGAATCCACGCAACTCTGGCGGGAGCGCCACAAAGGCCAGGAAATTTTCCTCCATGCGGATGCCCATCTCTGTTTTGAACAAGTCGTCGATGCGCGTATCGATTGCCGCGAGGTCCCGCATTCGCGTTTCGGGCCCGCCCGCGAAGATGTTGTACAAACATTTCACGAGATAGTCGTGATGATCACACACCGACAAGAACGAGTGCCCTACATTCACAAGCATCTCGTTCTTCTTATCCACTTCGCGTTGCAGTGTGCGGATTTCGTTCTTCTGCGTCACGACTTGCTCTTCCATGTCCTTCATTTCGGCTTTCTGGACTCGAATCTCCGCCTTCAGTTCATCGCACTGGTATTTGCTCTCGGCCAGTTGTGCTTCCAGCTGCTTGATACGCGTGAGATCGGATTCGTTATGCACCGATTCCGTATCGCTCTCGACCGCACCCAGAGGTTCTGACCGAACCAAACAGCCGCACTCTGGACAACTCCCCGCCTCCGTCATGTCTTCCATTTTGCACAGCGCTTCGCGGAGGAGCTTCATTCGCGTTGTTTTCGCCAACTCTTGGTACTCCTCTGTTTGATAGTGCGGCGCCGTCGCTTGTTGTTGAGCCTTTACTTCTTTGGACGAAAGGTGAGCACTATGTTCGCCCCCACCAGTTTGTTGACTCGCATTCGCAACTCCACCCGTCAACAGAGCTTCGAACTTGCCTACTCCGTCCTCTTTCTTAGAGTCCTCCTCAGGAGCAGTCGCGGCTGTGTACTGGTAGGCGGGCTTCTTGCCACCAAACTCGGGGAGTAGTCCAGTAAGCACCGCACTCGGCCCTGCATTTGCAGCATTGGTGTGGATAAAATTGAAATTCTGATGAAACGCAGCAGCACTTGCATCGGCGTCTTCCCTCTCAACATTTTTCCCAATATCTTCTGATTCAGAACCGGTTACTGATGGTGGCTCGTCGAGTTCCAGTCGTCCTCGCGGAATGTGCTGAAACCCTTTCCCCGTCTTGCGATCGAACACCGCCGCAGCCTTTGGCGGGCTGTTCGCGGTGCGCGCTTCTCTGCGTTTCACGGCGACCTCTCGCGCCATCTCCGCGGCAGAGACGCTGCGACCGTTTCCGCGAACATCCACCTCTTCGACCGTGGTCGGACGATAACTGGCTGCCCCGATAGGTCCTGTACCCAGTAGTTCGTCTCGGAAGAGTCTGCGGATCTCAAGTGCCTCTCGGTCATTGGCATCGCCTCCTGCAGCGAGGACATCTGTACCCGTTTGCGCGATCTGCGCGTACAGCGGATTGAAACAAACTACTGGGTGTGCCGCCATGAGAATGTCGACATCGTCAAAAAAGTCGGGACAGCGCGTAAACGCAAAAACCATCATCTTGCGCATCTGTTCGAACACAGCTTTGCGCGCTGCGTGCAGTGCAGCGCGCAAAGGGCCGCTGCGGCAGGAAGGATTGGCGATTTCCATGCACGCAGAAAGGGTTAAAGCCTGCGAGATCAGAAACTGCACCGTCAGTGCTGAGAGCACGTCCAAAACCAGTGTTTGGTCTTGCTTCACGTCGTTGTCGCGTTGTGGCACAACCTCGTTCATACCATGCTTATTCGCCACTTTTTCTGCCATCAAAGTGCGGTCATACTCTGCTCGACTACGCGGAGTAAGCGTGGCCAGCGTCTCGTCCATGCGCTCCGGTTTATCGCCAAATGGTCGAATCCACGCACGCCGCTTGCGCCCGAGCAGCGCCGCTTTGTACCAGTCCTCGTTGCTGCTGCCGATGCCATTAAGCACGACAGAAGGCACCTTGTTCTTCAGACGAATTTTCTCCTTCGTGGTGCTGAATTTCGCCAGCGAAATGGCTTCAAACGGCACCGGTGCCGGGAGCTCCTCTTCACTAGCCGGCAATGGCGCAAGACCGCGCGCGACATCATTCACGTACTGTCGAACGCAAGTCACATGCCAACTCCCCGTAAGATAGTAATGCGCAAACTTAATAATGTGATCCCGGAAAGTTTCATCCAAGGACAAAAACTTCCGCAAATCAGTCACATGGTGCACCGTGGGCTCGCCGCGCAACACGAAGTCAGATGCGAGACCTTCCGTGATCTCATGGCCGACGTCGTGCACAAAAAATTGCGACGGCTCCAGCCACTGTTGCTCCAATATCTGCGCTTCTTGTCGCCCTTCCGCTTCATCGAATGGCTTCTTGTCGACAATCACAAGAGACTCGACTGCTTTGCTCTGCGGAGATTCGTCAATGCCCTGTGTGGTTGTAGCTTGGTCCTCGTCTGCAGTATTCTTCTCCGACAGGTGCCTGCTTCTAGAGGTGCGTATATTTCTGCCTGTCCCCTTGCCATTCACACGGATGGGCGCTGTGTTCGGACGTGTGCGAAGCCCTGGCCGTGCCAGTGCAGGAGTGAGGAGACGCGACTCTTCAGCGCCGGTGGGGCCTTTGTTGCGGTACAAGCCGAAGGCATCCGAGCCAGGCCCCAAACGGGGGTCTCGATCCGAGGGCATTCTTTACCCAACGACGACGTTAGCAGATACACAGCCTCTGCCTCTATACAGCAGAATTATCAGGCACTGACTTCCTGAACGTAAACGTTAATACCTGTGCTACATGATCCAACGAGAAGCTCTATGACGAGTGGTACATAGTTGTGCATAGATAAATATGTTGATGTGAAATTTCAGACAATATTAAACGAACCAAGAAGAAGATCGGGAGGTGCAGAAATGAACCGATATATTCGCTCAAGTGCCACCGAAATCAGCTCTGACAAAGAAAACATGAAACCGATGTGATTTGAAGACACAGAGAGGACAGAAGATCTTCTCATGGTGATGAACAACTGACGACACACGACTATTCATCGACTCTTTGTCAGATAGTACAAACAAACGAGGAACGACCTACAAACTGACAGAAGCTTCAATGTGGAGCGACAGTATGCGTTTCAGCGACAACCTGGTCGCAGGGGGCTCCAGAAACTACGCTACAAATAAAGCGTAAATCCACAGAAAACTGGATGACGGGCACGAGGGCAAAGCGAATCCCTCCTGGGCGGGCAGTTGCACGTAGATCAGAATCGCCGAAGTCTCCCAACACAGGTCTTCTGGTTAAGTTCTGAAAGTCGTCGTGACCTCCAAGGCCAGGTCGGAGGATAAAAGCTTTTGAAGTTGAGTCAGAAACTTCATCTTGTTCCGCAAGACCGGAATCATTTCTGTTTTTCTCCACATCGAATTTGCTTCTGCTTCTTAAAAATAAGAAGAACTGCATACTATTTACAAAAGTGGCTGACTATCAAGACCATGACCGTCGAGGTCGATCTGCGATCACAACGAGACAGTAGGCTCATCATGCAGACGAGCTTATTGGGCAATTCTCGTACTCGACATCGAAGATAGAATTTTCTTGAGTCAGTAAATCTATTCGTCATTCAATGAATGATTGACTTATTTTTTAAGAAGAATCCTTAGTGCATTATCGTAGTACGAGAATGCCATAATCGTGACAGACTGGTATGTGTCCACTGAGGCGATCCGGTGTCTTCACTGCAGAAATTTCCCATCTTGTCGCAGAATTCACTTCTCAAAAAAACATGGTAGTTTGGACGACATTTTATATGACCCGCCACTCCCGCTCCTCTATAAAGATCATCACGATCTGCCAACTATCGCTTCCACGCGTACGCATACGATGGGAAATTATACTCGTACTAGTACTACTGGGCAATCTTGCACGATACTCAAAATTCAAAAATGACCATCCAAATCCATGTTTACTTATATTTTCGAGTGAAAATATGAAAGAAGTACATTTCCTCGCACTTGCTAGTCATGTAGTTCTTGGTTTTGGAAAAAATACTGAAAAAATATTGGCCCAACACAAAAAAGCTCCGCTTCTCACCTCTCTTCTTTCCTTACGACTATTCCTCCGGTATGATTTGTTCGCTTGGGCGGATAATGCCTAAAGGTTTATAGTGTTTGCTAGAAGAGACAGGGTGAAATCCGCCCCCAGTCATGATCTGCTCAGGGTCGGCGGGGCTAGTTACCTCTGTTGAGCACGGTGCCACATCCCCGAACCCACAGCCGTCCAAATGCGACAGAGCAGACACTAACTTCGGATCTGGCAGGTTCGCCAGGTGATGCGATTGTGACGAAACCTGAAAAATGTGAGTGCAACACAAGAACTTGCTACAAGATCGCAAAAGCCGAATGCAAATATTGAATAAGTAATCACTCACAGAACGAGAAGATAAGCCAACAAGGTGAAACTAGCAATCAAAGAAATGGAAGTATCTTACCTTCATGCTTGATGCCGGTGATGTTTCCGCAACCGATGACACTGGAGGCTTCAAACCGGTTCGCAAATCCCCGGGACTTCGCCACGATGCCGGACTGACATAACTGAAACCCCCAAAACTACTTGACGGCGTCGGCGATGCCGGATCAGACCCGGGGCAACTCGTTCGAGTAGTCCTGTTGGGAGATAGAGTCGTGGCTGACAGATAAGGTCGACCGACGTGAGGAAATTACATAGGCGCTAAGTCAACTAAGAACTGCACAAAAACGGTCTTTATTGTCGCCTCCTCGTCCTGCAAGTGCTCCGCTTAGCGACTTTTGTAACTTGTTTCCTCTTGGTTTTTCTGTCGTTTGGTTTCGTTTCATGTGAGTCCCCGCGCCCCTCCAGAGTCCACCGCACCAGCCTGCAAATGTATGCTAGCTGGGGGATTCTGGAGGGGCGCGGGGATTTGGAGGGCGCCCGAGGTTCTTGGCTCGCAATTGGGTGAGGGTTTTCCAGAGGGGAGCGCAGTAGGCGGCGAGTGTTCTGCGGATTCGTATCATGCCCGAGAAGATTGAATTTTGTCCGGATTTTTGCAGTCCTTAGATGAATTTTCTCCATTCTAACTCCACTTGTCTGTGGTCGAATTTTTCGCCATAATCGGAGAGGTTTGAGACACTCCGCCCGAGGTTCTTCGTTCTTGGGTCTTTTCATGTTGTTAAGTGTTGGACTTTTGACCACCCGGCGCCCCGAGGCTCTCGCGCCGGGTGGGATTAGTAACAAAGAAGAAAGACGCGCCGCCGCCCTTAAATGGTCAGACCACTCACGCGCGCCGCCGTGTGTGCGCAGATTGTCGGGGGCGTTTGCTGGCGTTGTCCGCACTCTTTTGAAGTATTTCAGCGGACAACTTTGCGGAGGTTTCGCCGGAATTGAATAAACCTCTCTACTGTTTGCCGGGTTCCCGCTCGCTAGGCCATTTTTGATGAAAAAACTGAAAAGATGTCTTCAGATTTTTTTTCCAAAAATGGCCTTGCGAGCGGGAACCCGGCAAACAATAGAGAGGCTTATTCAATTTCGTGGCGTTTTTCAAGAAGGGCTGGACCGGTTGCCGCCTGAATTCCCAAGGGCTTGCGCCTCCTCTTTTTGTTAAGTTTCGATGGTGTGGCGTGCTCGCTGTGCCTCTGGTGCTTCCGCAGGTGGCTGATTAGAATGGCGCTAAGTCAACTAAGAACTGCACAAAAACGGTCTTTATTGTCGCCTCCTCGTCCTGCAAGTGCTCCGCTTAGCGACTTTTGTAACTTGTTTCCTCTTGGTTTTTCTGTCGTTTGGTTTCGTTTCATGTGAGTCCCCGCGCCCCTCCAGAGTCCACCGCACCAGCCTGCAAATGTATGCTGGGGGATTCTGGAGGGGCGCGGGGATTTGGAGGGCGCCCGAGGTTCTTGGCTCGCAATTGGGTGAGGGTTTTCCAGAGGGGAGCGCAGTAGGCGGCGAGTGTTCTGCGGATTCGTATCATGCCCGAGAAGATTGAACTTTGTCCGGATTTTTGCAGTCCTTAGTTGAATTTTCTCCATAATAAATCAATATCAAAATCCTCTCACTCATAGAACTCAGCAGGTGATGGTGATAGATAGTGATACTCGGGACGAAATAGAAGAGGAACAAGATCAACAAACAAGTTGCTACCGAATCCGCAACTCCCGGTCCACGTCGTCGTAGCTCTGGAGGCCGTCAACCAGTTCGCTTTCTGGGCTATTCGTTGGTGGTGCCACAATATTCTGTTTGTTTTTTGCCAGCCCGAGCTTGCTTCCTTGCCTCGCTGAACCATTTGTGCCACTGGCAGCTGAGCTGGCAGAGGCAGCGCTCGCACCCGCAACCGACATCTCTCCATCGGTGGCGTTCTCCCGACACCTTCCCATACCACCCATACTAGGATCTGCCGTTTCGTCCGCGCTGGAGCCACCAGGTGGGGTGCAGCCGAAGGCCGGATTGACATCTGAGCACAGGAGAAAAGAAGACTCTACTTTTCATGGCTGTACAAATAGGCGGTGAATTCAAGATAGCTATGGTTATGCCACACTGCCCTATTCGTCGTGGTGCGAGGAGGATATTCTCTTAGATTACTAAAAAATAAGTACCTCTGACAGCTCTCCCCTGCGATCCACCCATTGCATTCGCGAGATAGCTTGACTTTCCACCGTTTTGCTGGAGCATTTGCCGCTTGCGCGCGGAACCATTTGCAACGAGGGACGAACTACTTGCGCTGGCCCCACCTCCAACGCCTAAGGAGTAGTTTGCCTGGCCTCCGCCTCCCGCGCTGCGATCGGCGTCTGCACCGCCTCCGCCGTTAAACCCACCTACATCGGATCCAACTGCAGCGGAGCTACTTGACAGCGTCTGTCGTAAAGACGACAGCACGGAATGCTTTTGAATCAAGCTGTCATTACTCAGCACCTGCAAAAGCGCGGTGTACTCCTCTCCTGATAGTTGCAGATGACAAGGCGGCAAATCGTCGAGCCTGCATTGTAAAATGGTCGTTGAACTTGCGTTCTGACTACGCAAACAATTTCTTTTTCTGCTTCTTTGTTGCAATCAACAATGTAGAAGAACAAGTTTTTCTTTCAGTATTGTTGTTGTATCCATCTCTAGCGGGTATTTTTCTCCTCATAGATGAGCTTACTTTCTAGTATGAAAATAACTGGGAAGAGCCTAACTAAGAAGCAACACTTTCTCGTATAAAAACATGATACTTTTGTTGTAGTTGTCGACCAAATTGTGCGTGGTTGTTTGGACTTGTGTAACCAAAGCGCGAGGGTGAGCCCCGAATATCGTTCCTTGAATTTCGAGGAGGTGCAATTCGTTCCGGCGAATAGGGAGAGTCGACGACGTTGGCTGCCTCCATGTAGTCTCCCACTGCCTGAAGATCGAGATCGAGTGGGATGTGGTTAATAGCTTAATAAATTAAGTAACCGCATGATGCAGATTACGAGCACAGGCACAGAGGCAAACAGTATTAGTACTGGCAAATCGATTTCATCATCACGATGAATCGACTCAGAGGTTTTTGAGTTGGCTCCACTATAATCTCCTCAAGATGAATTGTGTTCGTGATTTGCGAGAGGTCCTCTTCGAACTGTATGTCTACGATACTTTTCTTAACAAGCCTTGTTCAAGAGGCATAGTACAGGAGATCCGTCAACACCGCTGTAATGCGGTGTCATATCCGTGCGCCAACGACCCGGTGTGTCTGCTGAGAGATTGTCCAAGTTGAGAGCAGAGCTTCGTGGAGGCGGTTGTAGTTGTGAGGCAGATTGGCGACCAGGGATCAGAGCCGCAATATTGCTCGCGCTGCCACCACTGATATTGAAGCGGGGAGTCGAACTGCTGGGGTGTTCCTTCGACTGCGCTGTGCTACTTACAGCACCACTTGCGCCCGTACTAATCAGAAAGGATGTTCCCCCAATCGCGCTAGTAGACGTTCCAGGAGCTGGTATGCCACCCGAACCTGGGAAGCCAGTATTGTAGGACCCAGCACCAGCACCTCCAGTCGAGCGTGAGGACATGTTGTTGACCACCGAGTCCGTGTCATCCACCGCATCACGCTGTGTCAGTACGTCCGGATGTTTCTGCAACAAGTCTTGCAAGATGGCACGGGGATTGTACAAGTCCTGCTTTGCGGAGATTTGAGTGACCAATTCCGGATTGCGGATGCGCATTAGCTCCTCCTCGGTTATGTAGAAGATGCGGCTGCCACCAGCACCTCCACCAGATGCCTGGCTGTTCGTACCATCACCTGGATCTCTGTCCGCTTCACTGTTCGAAGACGATGGCTCCATGATGTCGGCAAGCATCGTGACAAAATACTAGAAAGATTAAGATAGCCTCTTTATTGATATTCCACTTCCATCACCAGGTGTATGAGTCAAGTTGTTCAAGGTACTAGTATTTACGATCGACGAGATGAAAAAAATGAAGAAACATCAAAAAATTACTACTTACTACACTGTGGCTAAGTACATATAAATAAAGATATATAATATTTGTCGTACCACTTTCATCATAAAGAAGCACTGATTAATCGATACAACTCCGCACCAAGGTCAAAATCAGTGTCTCAAAACTCTCAGTGCAGCAAAGCGACTTAGTTGTTCTCTTCTTCATTGCCCGATGTCGGGCTTTTCCTCGGTGACAACCAATTGCAGAGGCACTCCCGAAAATCTTGTACTCAACTCTACCCTCCTCTCCGCCACTTCTAATGAAAAAGATTCACTTACAGCAGTTGCAGTACCGATAAAGATAGACATTAATTACTAATTTCTTGTTCATGTTCCAAGCCGTGTTATTTATCTGCTCCCAAAAGATACCTCGGGACAGTTTCGTAAAAACGGATTTTAAGTGTTCTTCCAGCGCCAGCTGTCGAACATTGAAACACCGTGCTGCAGCGACATGTGGATGCGTATGTTGCCCCGACCATATATTCCTTATCTTTTTCATATTGCTGGCTTCTCACCAGAGCGAGGAATGAAACGCGAATAATGATGAGAGGACTAGATTGTAGGTCGTTTAGGATACTAACCCCTGCATTAATAAGTTTAGTGATTAAAGACGAGGTTGATAGTGGATAAGATGGTGGGGAGAGAGAAAGCGTATATGTTGAAACCTGTTATGTTTTAACTTTGACCGATGAAGTGAGGGATGTGGTCAGGGTCCTGGGCCATAAGCACCACCTGCACCCCAGGACTCCCGGCACGAGGCGAACAGGAGCCAACCTATAAATCCTCAAGCTGTGCACCACGAATAACTACTGCGGGAAAAAAGAAGATGGATCGTCCAGAAGATGGACGCAAGCTCGTACAACATTCATGATATTTATAGAAGTCAGCGTAGTCATGCTGTAGAAGTATGCATATGCGTCAGTCGTTATCGCTTAATTGATCCAGCAAGTTTCCCGAGAGCATGTTTTCAGAGAGGAGATAGATCTCATCTTCTCCTGCTGCGAGTTCTCCTACTGCGTCAGTATCCACATTAGCTTGATTTCCGACAGCGCCATCAGCAAAAGGGTTAGTAGCCTCTGAACCTGCTTCGGCCTCAGCTGAACTCTCTACTTCTGTGCCATTCGTGCCCGCCTTGTTGTGCCGCCGTAGCCTCCCACTTTGGGGCTCTATTCTACTGCTAAACTCCTTCCATGACGATGACGAGGAACATGATGAGCCACCTCCTACTCTGGCTGAATTTGAAGATTGCTTGCTGGAAGTCTTCGACACCTCGTTATGCTTCTCTTTCTTGTCTCTCTCTCTAGAGCGAGGACCTCGTCTGCGCTGCGATCCCCTGGTAGTTTTGGGATCTTCTCTACTTCTATTATTTCTCTCGCGGTCGTTTCTTCTGTTGCGGTCACGGTCGCGACTACGATGTTGGGGAGGCTCAGCCCCACTGTTGTGATTATCATTCGCAGCATCTTGTTCTGACGAAGGTTTTTCATCTCCTTCGTAGAGCAAAGGCCTGGAGCGTATGACCCCAAACTCCACTGCCGCACCCATCTGACTAAAATCTGGAATTGCACCAACAGCTGTAGTAGTAGAAGATGTTGCACCAGATGATAAACTACCTGTACCTTTAGTATTCGCAGGAGGGTCGTCGTTATAGTTGGACTTCGACGTGCCGAGTGGGTCGACTCCGTAGCTCATGGAATAACCCGAATAATGCTGCGTGGGCTCTCTCCCTGCCTGTTCTCGACGATTCCTGTTTAAGGTTACGTTAGGATCCAACATATCCGCATCATTACGTCTTCCTTCATGCCGACTAGCCTGAGGCCCTCTCTCCCTAGTTGTCCCTGTGGCTTCCGAAGTAGACGATGATGAATAAGCAGACGCAGAGAACCCTTTTTTAGTTGCAGTACCTCCTCCAGCTGCACTCTTAGACGCGTGAGGAGCAGAAGATTTTGAAGATAATGCGATATTCCCGCCAGCCAGACTGCTGAAAGGGTTGCCTGCAGAATCTACCGAGGTATCTTGTGCAGATGCCGCTCCGTCCTCCCGGCAAAATGGGCGCAATTGTGGACGTGAGGCAGCCTCAGAGCTAGAAGTAGGCTGGCGCATGGCCCCTTCTCTGTTTCGGTTCCACTCGTCGCGGGACAGTGTCGAGGCCGAGGCGTGTTGATTATGAGCGCCTTCCCCTTCGCCTGCTTTCGCCTTGCCACTACTAGCTTTGCTCGCTTTGCTTCCTCCAGCACTACCCTTACTGAAATATGACTTCAAGCCTATACCAGTCTTGCTCGCATGCTGATCTTTTCCTTTGCCCTTTTTCCCATTTTTTCCACTGTTTGAGGATCCTTTGGCACCAGTTGGCGGCAGAATCAGCTGGCCATGGCCCTTGTTCGGTACTATGTGAGCACCAGCATGTTTGATGTTTTTAGAAGTAGTAGGACCTGAGCTGCCGTTGGCCGGCAAAATAATCCCACCTCCCATCGTTGTCACAATGTTGTTGTTGATCATCATCGTTCCTGACTGGGGAGGCTGCGCTGCAGTTTGATTGCTTCCCGATGCCATGTTCATCATATTTGACATCATTGTTTGCATCATGTTCATCATGATCCCCATGTTTGTGAGCTGTGTCGCACTTGCAACATCAGATGCATCTTCTACTGCCGAGCTCGTGTTCGGCGCGGATGTTGAAGTCGAACTAGTACCTCCGGCTTTCTTCATCTCTGCTTCGGTGGGAGCACTTGCAGCTGATGGCTCAGTTTCTATGATTGACGGTGTGACCGGCGGCGGAAACGCTGCTTGATTTGTCGTGTCTTCGATGCCGGGAGCAGACATGCCATTTTGAAATGAAGACGATGCAGACGACGCGAAAGGATTGCCAGGAGTGGAAGATAGATTCCGCGCATTCTTTTGTTTACCCCTGTCAATTTTTGCATCGCCCAATTCCTCCAACCGTGATAGCAGTAAGTCGAATTCCGCGTTTTTCGCGCTCTTCTGCCCTGGTGGTGTAAGTTGCATTGCTGGTGGCGGCTGTGGAAGAAGACGCTTACCCCACCCAGGAAATTGCCCTTTGAAGTCGTTTTCTGGGTCCTGATCGGCATCGGAATCCAAATCGATAACTTGCATCTCTACATCAGAAGACTCGCTCCCAGAAGATAGGCTGATCACATCTCCCTTTCTGGGGTCCTTGCGCTTCTTCGACGCAGCTGCATTTTTCCACTTTTTTCGCGAACCACTATTTGGTTCCACAACTGCCGATTCTCCTTCTGGCGTTGTCGACTTACCGGCCGCTGGACCTGCTGAGCCTGATTTTGCGGCTGCATCTACTGCTTTCGCGGGAGGTAGGGTCGGATCCGCGGACTGATCTTCAGCGACTGCATTGACGGTCGCTTCGGTCAGTTTTTTGCCGCCCTTAGACTTACTTGAGCCTGTTGATTGTCGAGCCTCACCAAGGTGTGTATCGGATGCTTGTACATCCGCGTCTTGCTGCTGCTCGACGGCTGCAGCTGGAAGAGTTTCTGCTTGCGCATCCTCCTGACTTTTATCGTCAACATCATCGCGGTCGAAATCCTGCTCGTCCCCATCCCTACCGAGATCAAAAAACTCTGCGCCATAGCTTCCAAGATCCATGTAATTGGCCTCAACCCGTCTCGCCGACGTCCATGAAAAGGCATCAGAGCACGTTGCCCTGTCGCTCGCCATATCTTCCCCTACACCAGCGAACGTGGACGATGGAGCTGCAGCCCCAACTTTGTAGAAGGAGAACTTGGCCGTAGCTGTTTTCTTATCGTTTTTCGAGGATGATTCATGTGGAGCTGGAGCCTTCGTCCGAGGTTTATGTGAAGTAGAGCTACTAAAGGATGTATTTACGCGAGGTGAGCCACTTCGAGACCGCCTTTTTCGACCGCCAAAATATGCACCAGGAAAAAATTCGTCTTCCGGTGCTGGAAAGAATTCATCCTGTTCCACGTGATCATCGGCGTCAAAGCCAGTTGTGCGTCTACGGAATTGCGCCTCAGTCTCAAATTCGTCCTCAAAGCCCGCAAACGTAGGGCCGTCCTCGTTGTCTTCTGAATCCAAACCGCGTTTCAGGAAATCGTCATCGTCGTCGAAGAACGGATTCTTTCGAGGTCGTTTTCTACTTTGCGGGTCGTCTACATCTTCGTCCTCGGAAGGATAATCATTCCCGAAAAATTCGCCCGCTTCCGCACCGGAAGAAGAGGTTTCCTCTTCTCCATCGGCTGATCGATGCGGTCCCCGATTTTTTTTCTTACGTGTGAAGGCGTAGTGTTTCTTCGCCCATTCAGCAGCAGCAGCCCCATACTTATGCTCGACGCGCGTCTTCCCTGGCCGGTCTCGGTATCCTGGTTCCTCTCCCTTCTTGCCTCGAAAAGAGGTGCCGGCAAAGGGCACGCCACCAGCGTTGAAGTAGCTGCCATCTGGACCGCGCGTTTCTGCATCGGCCTTCGCAGCGCGAGCCCGCCATCGACGCTCCTGTTCTTCGTAAATGCGCTCGTACACGTTACCGCTCATGGGCTCTGGCACAGTGCCCGCGTTCCGCCGCGTCTCGTAGAAAGCACGAAACTCTGCTCGGCTGCGAAACTTCGCATTGGGTTCCGCTTTCTCTCTCGCACCGTCATCCGCGCTCGGCCGTTTGCTTGACCTAAAACCGGGACCTGCTGCGCCATCCCGAAAGTAGCTACTTCTAGTCGACGAACTAGCTGACGGCGCGGTTGTTGATGTAGTGGTTCCTCTCGAACTAGCTGCTGTCTTTCTGGCAAATGTTGAATTAAACCGTCTCGCATAGAGGCTGTCATAGAGCGCTTTCTTATCCGCATCCACCAGTGTATCGTATGCATCTTTCAATTGCTGAAACTGCTCCTTGGATCCGCCAGGTTTATCTGGATGCCGTTCTTTCGACAAGGATGTGTAGGCTTTCCGGACCAAGTTCAAGTCTTGGCAGTAGGCCGGAAGGCCCATCACCTGGTAAAAATCCACCGCACACGGGTCGCTCGCCATCTTTATGTTGCGTCACAAAGGAGTCAACAACTGTCGTCGGAAAGCATACCGCTAGCTCGGCGTAGCGCGAACACGATGACAAGTCCGCTAAACGCCAGCCATATTTCTCAGTCGAGCCAGCTCTACTTTCATTCAGAAAAATTCGTTTCTGGATGTAGACATTATCACACGAAAAAGAAAGGACATGATGAATAAACGAGAGTCGTGTGAAGTAGAGTCGAACCCAAATTCAAAGTCATTATAGGCGAATTCAGTAATGAATCCTGCCAAATTATAAGCGCAAAACTTTATGCGAAAAATATCGGGATCAACAAGGAGGAATCAAAACTACGAGAACGCAAGAGAGAAAAAGGGGGAACGGAAACCAAGCCTGCCTGGGAACATGAAAAGAGCAAAAATTTGTCGCTGTTTAAATTCAATATGAATCAGGAACATCACCATCATAAAAACGAAAATGCATGAGGTATCTACGTATACTAAGCAATTCTGAGTTCAATCAGGAGACAATCACGCAATTTCGGATCCTCTACGGATATGTTCAGTTCGCAATCGCAAGGTCATCATATAGACTTTCGTTCACATATAAAAATTGGGATCCCTCTCCAGGAACAAAAGTTTTACGCTGCTGAGGGCTCTGCTTCTCCAGGAACAAAAATGTCACGTTGCTGAGGGCCTTTGGAATTTTCATTCATGCTGTGATACCTACTGCTCCACCATTTCCATCCCGTGCGCAAGAAGCCTGAAAAGTACGTTATTCGTTCCGCGTCGAAAACACATGTTGAGTTACTTTCACCGGATCGCTCTACAGTTTTGTTTCTCATCTTCTTCTAAGAATAAGAAAGAGGACTAAGTACATAACATATCCTGAACAGGAAAGTGCACATCTACCACGTCCTTCTCGCTCATTGCATACCTCTGAAAACATCATCTCGTTTCTGGTTTAGCTTCAGTCATGCAGTGCAGTCATGCAAAAGGAGGACACATAGCAGAGGACACTTTTCGAAGTGAGACAGCAAATCTTTAAGAGCAGCAGCAACTTATGTCATGCAGAAAAATAAAACGAGAGAGAGACCCAAAAACCCAAAAGTGAAGCACTTGGTGTTGGTGCTTTTGTCTAGACTCGGTTATGGTGTTTTCCAAATCATTACAAGAATGAGTGAATCCACGAGGAGCAGCATCAGGGCCGCCCCCTTGCGAAAACTCTGCCCGGGGCTTACCTCCGCCATTATTTTACCCCCGCCCGAGCGCGCACCTCAGGGAGCAGCGTTTTCCTCACTGGCGCACCCTCGTCATCGGAAAAAGAGTCGCTGCCTGGTAACGGAGCTGCGCCGGCTGCAGCTTCTCTGTGACGAAGAAATGCAGACTCTTTTACGCCACAAGCGTGGACGCCAGTCAGAAGGAAACGACTCTCCTTCCCCTGGACCCAACCCACCACTTTCTGCAGGATGTCCTGCTCTACTGGTGCCAATTTTTTGTAGTCTTGTGGGTGGATCAAGTCGTCCATGCAGATGCCCTTCTCCACTGCGTCGCTCGCGCTCTGCCAAGTATATTTGATTCGTTAGAAGTGATGGAAACGAACTCTATCATGCAAGCAAAGCAATGCATCTGCTCTACCTCTATCTCCACATTGATGTGCAGCTGCATTCATCGAGGATAATCTGTACTTTTTCTAAACACATCAATCCTAGTGAAATTGCAACTAAGTTCGTGAAGATCTCGCAGCATTTCTACTTAAGCAAAGTGTGCTATCACAGCGTCCAAATGTAGGTGGGTCTATCGTTCTTCATAGGGTTTGCTCCGCTGGTCGGCGCAGCCTCCACGTGAATGCCGTGACGCGACGTAGAAGTAGCTCTGCACCTTCACTGATACCGCATTCTCCCGAATCAGACGGATCATGAACGCGATATCCTCCCAGCGACGTACGTACGGAATATAGAAGAGCGACTTCTCACGTAACAACTCAATATTGAGAAGGATCGCCAGCGATTAGAGGTAGTTGCAGCGAGTAGTTTCACATAGAGCATGGCCATTGTACAAGTAACACTTTGACTTTTATTGCTTTTCTAGTGAACCGCGGTTTTGGGAGGATTATCGATTTGCAACCACAAAAAGAACATCATGGTTGCAAGATATCTTAAGATTTGTATGAGTTCTATTCACACCTTCACTACATGATCAACTTGTGCATTGTGAGTCTTGGAAATCCGGCCGCCATATTTGTAGATTTTGAACGTGTTCGTGTTGAACGTTTGCAGCACCCTCTTGAAGCTTACCGCCCCATTGTCACGGAGGAAGCCCCCGAAATGAGTGTTCTCCAGGTTAGAATAGCGCTGCAACTCGAGTAGTGCCTCTCTCCACGTAGCCCGCTGTCTGCCCTGCAAATGGGTTTCTTCTTTTTTGAGTTGCTTGATGGCATCGGGAACTTCCAGGGCCGCATCTGGCTGAGCCCTCTTGTGCAACTTCACGAGCCTAGCCGAAGCGCGATCCTTGCTGTAGAATCTCACAAGCAAGTCGTCAATGACCCAGATACAGCGGGACGCCCAGGCGACGGGACCTAGTGTCAACGTCGCAGGTGTCGCAGCGGAATACCCGTCTGCTCGAGGGCAGCTCTTTGTCAGTGCACTGACCACTTTCTGCAGAATTTTTGGATCCTTGAAAAAGATTGAAGCTGCAGTTGTCTTGCGAATTTTTTCGCTATCGTCCGAAGAATCAAACGCACTTTTGTCAGCACCAGAAGACGAGGACGTTGTGAAAAAGGGACTTTCGACATTCGTCAACTCTTTGCCATAGTTCTGGTCCGTAAATGGTACCGATATCATTGCGGCTGTGGCAAAGAGCTGGATGATGAAACGGCTGTATCCGACACCCTGGCCATCCCGATCCAGCACAAGAAAAACGTGCTCCGGAAAAAGTGCAAAATACGAATCATACTGCGACGGCTCGACAACGATCACATGCGGCACCTCGTAATGCGCTTCGGGTCCGAAGACGTGGTCCGGAAAGTAGTTCAGCAGGGCTGCGCTGGGCCGGTTTGCCGTCGGAGTGAACACCGGCCATATCTGACTTCGTTTTACCAATTGATGCTGGAAGTCCCTGTATTTTTGTGCTCGCTTCGTCGCTGGTCCTGGTGGAGGTGGCAGATTCGAAGATATAAACGACGACGAAGATGATATCGCGCCGCCTGCCGTTGTGGTGCCCAGTAGATTACTGATCGATACAGCGCTCTCGCTCCCTCTTATTGCAGTCGCTGCAGTGAATGTCCCTGCGTCAATATCGCCCGTCGCTGGCGTTTCGCTCATCGATATTGCCGTAGACGAAGGGCCTGAAAATTCAGCCGAAACCAACGTCCCAAGATTACTCTCTTCTTGCTCATCTTCAGATATATCCGACATCGACGTAAGAGGCGAAGAACTATCATCATCCTCAGCACCCATGAAACGCTGCGTCAGCCCCGCCGTCGTTTCTCCATCTACTTCTCCGCCTTGTGGAGATCCTATTTCCGATGGCACAGAGTTGGTGTCTTCACGTGAGGCCGCCCCCGCTGAGATGGATGAAGCCGCTCGCGGTCGGTGCTTACTGGCGGTACATGCTGACGCAGCCCTCTCAATCAGATACGATTCCGAAAATTCTGTAACCCTCTTGCTTTCCAGAATAGGTTGCCCTTCTGCAGCAAGCGTGGCTGGCGCTAGAGGTGTCAGTGTGGATGCCGTCGCGCCATCCTGTTCTGTCGACAAGGTTCCTGGAGAGACGACCTCTTCCAGTGAATTTTCGCCTGACAACATCTTGCGATCATCTCCATAAGAAGAGGCGGCGGTAGCTTGGATTTTTCTGGACTTGACTCTCCTTGCTTCTTCTGCGTCTTCTTCGATCGTCTGCAAGAGAGGTCGCGGCACTGCTTTGGGCGGCCGCCCACGCCTTTTTGGGCCAGGCTGTTCAGCCTTCCGTTTCTTGTACCCGATGCTAGTTTTTCCATCCGCGGACCCACAAAAAAATTGGAAATCCTCTTCCTCTTCTACTGGTGCACACGCCACTCGAGATTCAGACCACGCAGTCACAGACGTAGACGATGGATCTAGTTCTGCTCGTTCGTCATATGCTTTTTCATTCCGTGAAGACCGTGACGCAACAGCTGTACATCCGCCTATTTTGTAGATAGAAGCGCGCTCGAATAGTTTGGTCATAATTTGACGGTGGTGCGATGCAACTCCTGTGGCGGTCTCCACTGCAGCGCTCGCGGATAACAGCAGCCGCAACTTTTGCACCGGCCCGCGCAACTCCGCAATATTTAGAGCTTAAAGAAGACCATTCGGAAACCATCCTTCGGTTACGCTAGAAAGAGTCTCAGAGTCATAGATGCTTCCGAAGGAACGAATATGGTCTTGGATTAGGGGCGAAAGCCTTAAGATATACACCCCGCCCAAGTCGTGTGTCATCGTCACTTCCATGCGCCACACTGGCGGATACTCGTAGTCGCCAGGAAACCTGTGCGCCTGCATCAAAGGTTTCACCGCAGCCGCGTCCGCCTTATGGCCGCTTTTATTGTCCCCGTTAGTTCCCGGTGCGCGCGTTTTCCGTGGTCCGCCTCCTGAGCGACCGGTAAGGCGTGAGTAGCGACTCGACGGCACCAGAGTTTTCAGATGGTCGGCCTCTGGATTTTCCATCGCCACTTTCGAGTACACCTCCGCATACTCTTTACGCGGACGCCCCCGCTTTGGGCCGGCGGCCAGGGTCGCAGCCTCGTGCTGACGCGCTGCCTGGTCTACTTTCTGCTGCTTCTCCAGCTCTTTCTCCTGAGCTTCTTTCTCACGCTCTTCCTGTTCCAAAAGCTCTGCTTCCACCTGTTCCTCCCACAACCTCTGCGCCTCCTTCGCCTTTCGCAAGGCCAATTCTTCTGGGTGCTCATAATACCCAAAATTACAAAGATCCAGGTAAGAAAAGGTCGAGTTCGGTTCCGGTTTTTCTGATTGATGAAGAACAGAAGGACCAAACTCCAGCCCCTTTTTGTCCGTCGCCGTTGCAGTAGTTCCAGCCGCATCTAGAGCAGCCGGCATCGTTGAAGATGTTTCGACCTCTGAGACGCCGCCTTCCCCTGCGATTCCGCCTAGTATTTAAGTACGACTTTCATCTGAAAAACAAATAGTCAACAAAATATTCTAGAAGTTAGTACCTAACAAGAAAGATCGCCCTCAGGCCTCAGTTTGCAAGTTCTGGGGGTTCAAAGGTCAATAGTACTCACTTACCTACAACGAACAAGTTGCCAGCTAAGTAAACCAGGAGACAACCGACTACGCCACGCTACTCTCCTACGGGTAAGCCGTTGACTCCTGTCCTTAATGTTCCCTGAAGGCGGCAAGCTCGCTAGGAGTGCTTCTGACACATCACTTCTGCTCGTTTCATTCTCTCCAGTTTCGCCCGTCGTGCTGCCGTTGGCAACGTCGGAATCCGCTCCTCCATAGTGCGGAGCACTATTACTACTCACTCCACCTCTGCTTTCCAAGCAGTGTTCCTTTTTTAGGCGTTCGAATTTGGCAAAATCCTCCTCAGATGGCTCACAGAAAGGGAGCGGCAGGTAATAGTCGGAAAACTCATTCCAACCTTCGCCGAAGGCTGGGTCCTCGCTTGATAGATCAGGGTCCTCAGCGACAGGCCAAACGCTTTCCAGGTTGTCCACAAATTCTGCCTCCATTGCGTCAAGATGCGTCAATGGTGGGGCATAGAGATGTTTCTCAGGTACTGGAATCTCGTCAAGGAACCCAACGCGGACCGTCCGAATGCAGGACGAAGAAGCAGGAAAGGCGAAGTTCTTTTTGCAGTCACCATTCATCTTCTGGTCCTCAGAATTTTCCGAACCACTGCATTCCTTATACTGTTGCTCTGTGGCCCAATTCGGCAATACGTGCACCCCAGTCGTAATTATTGCGTGCTGCAAAAACACATTATTCAGCTCTGCCGTGGTTTTCTGCGGTAGCCTTCTCAGGGTCATTTTCTTGAATGGTGCTTCAACTGGTCCTTTTTCTTTGTTTGCAATCGTTTTTGCCTTTTTGTTTTTCACGTCTGCTCTTATTACGAGTGGAACCTTCGTCACGATGCAGTCGCCCCCGGTCTTCTTTTCGCGTACGCCTAAAGCCAGCCAGACCGTCCGTATGCGTTCATTGAGGCGAAGGAATTCCGCGTAGTCGCGATCGCTCATGTCTCTGCCTTGCTTCGCACTTTTTTTCCATCTTTCCCACAGCAGCGCGAAGCCCTTACCCAGCCTTGCTGCCAGCTCCACCGGCGTGCCCACCGTCCACATCAATCGCCAGGGCCGCACATTTCCGTAATCCAGAAACTGCCACGCCTCGTCGACCAAAAACAGAAGCGACCAGACCGAAAGCACCCGTGCGCTAAGAGGCTCATCCCGATTCATCTCCACGTCAATTTCCGCTTCGTCCTCGTCTGTCAGCTCTTCCTCGAAATCTTCATCGTCATCTTCGTCTTTCTCATCATCCGAGACATCTTCTGCCTGAGCAGCAGCGAAGCTTTTACATGCGCCCTCCTCAGCAACCGTCTCTAAGACCGCAGCACATCGACTATGCAGCTCCTCGCGAATGATGTCGTAGGCGTCCTCCCGGATTTCCCTTAGATCCGATCTACTGCCCGCCTCGCCAGGGCGTAACTCATCTGCGATCGCTAATAAAGCAGCCTTGTAGTGCCCATCATCGCGCTCGGACACATTTGCAATCGCATTTCGCAACCGAGGACAAAGCTCCTCTGGATCTTCGACACAAAACGAGAAAACCATACTTACGATCACCGTGCATCACTGAGCAGATAGTCTAGATCTTTGACCACTCTCAACTCATCCATCAGTCAAATTGATTTGCGGTATGGGCCAGCGACTTAACTGTAAGCGAAACAAAGTACATTAACTAGGTGGAAGCAAGGTGGAGATTGCCCGCTAATCATGCTTGTAAAAACAAGTTCGCGATATCATACGATGAAGATCAAGATTGCGCCGTGCATGAATAAAGCGAAGATCTGATCAAACATACAGCTCACCATGATCGAAAAGCCAAGACGCATAGACAGTCTCAAATACAGCTGGACTTTTTTTGTACTATGCGGAGGGTCGAGAGATGAGGGAATCTCTAAAGATATCAGGAACCAAGATAAATGGACCTTTTCGTTCTCGGGTGGACCGCTCGCTCAACGGGGAAGCTGCATCTTTACCTACGACTCTCCTTGGGACTACCGTTTTCTCACAGCAAGCGCAGGGTATCTTTCTTCTAGGTCAGTAATTATGTGCTTCTTCTCACCATGCTCATGTTGATGCTCCGAACAGTCTCAACCTTTATGTACAAACCCACAAAGAGACGACTTCCTTAGCACATCCGTCGCTTCTCCCAACGAGGTTGCCACTTCGGCCTTCGTCTGACTCTTCTCTTTCGCCCAGTGGCCTAAAAATTATGCAACATGAAGGTGTTTAGTTTTTCATGAAGGGCGATTTGTAGTGTTGATGAGAAGTTGCACATAACGTGCATCGATGGAATATGATCATTCGTGGTTACTTGTCTGTCAAAAAGTGGTTGCTCCAAAAAAGCGTTCGTAGGTCAGTACGCATGACTTCATCCTGCACAAAATCCCATAGGAAGATGCGACCAACTTCCAACATCCTTTCGGATCGTCGTGGCGTCTCCGGTATTCTGTCGGCCCGCGTCTTCGCCATAGGATATCGGAGATGATTCACAGTCATCCTCTTCGTGTTCGTTCTCGTGCTACTTATTTCCTCTAGTACAGTATGATCTTCATGCAGCAGGTCAAGTCGACCTCCCGCCACGCGCTCAAGTTCAGTACGCTGTCTACCCGCAGTTGCCCATGGCAAAATTGTTCGCGGCAGAACCTGACCACTCGCAGCGCGTGTCAAATTGTAGTGAACTTCTAACATTCGTTGCGGATTACGCCAGATCTCCTGGTAAAAAGACGCGAAGGTGCTAGATGATGTAGTTGTCTGGCCTGTTCCCGACTGCGACTCGATGAATTCAGCAAAATCATGGGGATTCACGAACCTCGCGTAAATACCTTCCAAATCGATTCTGCCCGCACGCTCAAGCACTAGACAGGCACTGTCCTGCTCCAGCGATGCATCTTGTGCACCATGCGTACTAGCATCATTATTATCGTCTAACTCAGAAGTCGTACTCCAACCCATGTGAATGAGACTAAGAAAAGACCCCACACTTCCTCTCTTGCGCCAGGCAGCAACGTACCACAGTTCCGCCCCACAAAGCTGCCATAGCCAGTCAAGAAATCCCGCTTCATGCGCACGACGTTCCAAGTAGCGCGCCATCTCGTGGTAAAAATCGTTTACACCATCGCGATTTTCCGCGATCTCCACCGCAGCGAGCTTGTCGGCAATGAAAGGGAATCATATTGGGGTCGACTTGTCCTTGAAATCTAAAAGTAAATGCATTAAGTATAATCTTTTTCTTTTCAAGCGATAAAAGCTAAGGCCAAACGTTCCTTCATCTCTTATCTTGAGACGGGTCCTCTTAGAGTTAGACAACATAGCCGAAGCCAGTCATAATCAAAAGCTGTTTTTGTACATGCTTTGAGTCTAAGATTGTCCCGAGCGTCATGATGCGCGGCTCAATGATGTAATTGGGCATGAAGCGTGAACCGAAACGACGCGCCGCGAGATTCGTTAGGCCTTTTCCAGGTGCCCTTTGGGCCACCACATCCAAGAAATTACGGACTAAATACCGATCGGGCTCGTAGAGGTGGAAATGATGCTTCGCGCGGTCAACGGTTGCCATCTGTGACAGGGCTAATTCATGCAGCACCTTTTGAGAATCTTCATCTCCCGCAGAATAAATAGCATCGTCCTCACTATCGTCCTCGTTTCTCCTGTTATTCGTCTTTGGCAGCTTGCTGTAGTTATGTCCTTCATCACCACCAAAAGGAGGAATCAACAATTCCACAACAGTACGTAGAGGATCGCTATTTTTCAAATCCTCCTCAGACCACCAAGGCCATCGCTCTTGGTCTACTTCTAGCTGTCGTGACAATGCCGATAGAAAAAGCTTCTCCTGGTTTGTAGTCTTCATCTTCTCTTTTATTGTTCTCTTTCGTTTTCCATGCCTCGTCCCCGAAGATTCAGTTTCAGATTCAGCTCCTAAAGACGGCTCTCTCTTGGAACTCAGACTCCACGGTGTCCCGGATTCTTCACCTCCTTCACTTAGCCCTGGAAAGAGATCATGAAAGTACCGGCGCTCCTCCAATGCTACACCAACTCCGGTCCGCAGCCACCAAGCGCTGTTGCGATCCATGTGCCTGCGATCGAAAGCGGATTGGAACAGAAGAGAATAAGCCTGCTGGTTCCGCGTGTAGCGCTGATGCAGGAGTCGCGCGAATCTTGCCCGATGCGTGCAGACGACGTTGAAAGCAACAGGAACGTGGCGATCAAAATAGGCTTGCAACAACGAGACTAGTTCCACTTTGTGCACCCTCGAATGATTTTCGTAGGAACCTCTCTGGTTTTGTATTAGTTGTATTTTTGAACCTTGTTCAAGTTTATTGTCCATCTGGAGTCTCATCATCTCGGCACCATCGTCGTGATCGAACACCTGCTCAAACGTTTCGTAGAAGTGGCGCTCGTTCACCGGGAGCAGGGCGTCAGGCATAATGGCGTAGCAGAAACCGTATCCGAGACCGAGCAAAAATTGTAACACATCAACAAATTCCCGTGCTGTATCCAGGTTCACCTCGAAAAGCAAAAACCTGACTAGCTTTGACGCCAGCAGGTGCTCACCACCGTGCATAATTGCTGAATCATGTCCTTCAGCATCAATTTTCAGAAGTAGGATTTCCGCAAAATCTGTACTAGGTGCAGAGGTACTTCTTTGTCTTTGATCATCCGCTCCCGATCCCGTTCGGCTTTCGCTTATATGATTAGAACCACTTCCTTGTGCGTCCAGCAAATGTCGCCATTCCGCATCTAGCGTGCTCACCTCCGTCTCGTGCGTACTCTGCTCCAAGTTTTCTGCGCACGCTTCCCCTTTTCCCTTCGTTCGAATAATAGAGCCTTTCTTGTCGTCGATGGTCACGCTACCACTGGAAGACCTACCAAGACCAACGCTACTGCCAATCATAGTTCCCTGTTTTATTTTTTCATCAGCGGTCTCAAAAAGTAGCATTCCAGTTTGACTACCGCTGCACGTGAAGAGTGCACGTGTTTTCTCTCGGCTTAACGCCACATTGCGGATGTTGAACTGAGTTACCCCAGAAAAGGTACTGGTTTTTCGTGATAAGACGCTTTTCCGCCCTGAAGCGTCCAGACGAGAGAACAGCACGTGAAAAATTTCTCTTCGTGTGAGACGCAAGCTACCACTCTTGTCATAGGTGTCTCGTCCCACTTCTACTTCGTAGTGAGGATCAGCTGTTGTTCCGTCCGTTACTATGAAAGTCTCTGCAGGTTCGTTGGCACTCGATGATGGTGCCATGAACACGTGATCAAACGCTTTCGAACCAACCATTTCCCAGATACTATTGAGATGCTCCCAGCTTAGTGATGTGGCTAACCACGCGTCCAAATCAATATTCGCCGCGTCCTCTTCCGACCGCAAAATGTGGCCCTGCAGTTTTGAAGGATTGTAAGCCCAGTCTTCCGGTGGCGTCAAATGGAGAATCAACGCTCGCTCCAGGCCGCGTTTACTCATCACACCGCGACGCAGAACCTCTCGCAGCGACGATCGAACATGCGCTTCTATGTGATTGCGATTCGCAAGGACACGCTCTAGCTCCACGTCGAAATCGATTTCAACATCCTCAGAACTCTGCCCCGAGCGCGATCTCTCCGCTCCTATTTTTACTCGTTCTCTCTCAGATTCGTCGTCACCAGCTTGTCGGCCTCCGCTACGAGGATTCCCATCCTCTAGATGGTCAAAGATCGCGCTGAGCTCGCCTTCCCGGAGGCAGTAATCTAATGACGTATGTGGCACGCGGTCCAATACCGACAGCAACAGGTGCACCCTCCGAACGATTGCAGCATCTCTCGACTCCTCCCCTGCGCTGATGTCGAAACTTCGATGATACTCGGAACCGTCGCCGCACGTCACTTCAGCAATAATTGTCCGCAAGGGCTCCTGGATGGCTAGGTACTTCACGAATTTTGCCAACACTTTTCTGGTATCAATCACGCTCTGACTTTCACCTCTTGCGCTGGCGTCTCTTTTCTTGGCACTAGCTGGATGCAGTAAATGCGAAACACGACACTCACGCAATACTTCCACAATCGATTCCTCTTGCTCTCGAATGCGTCGTACGATTTTCGCATCTGCTGTGGGAACCCACAACCGCAGAGTCGGTGATATAGCCACTTCAATCTCGGACTCACGAGAGCGTCGTTGTTGCCGCCTTGCAGTTGACGTTGAACCTATTCCAACTGGAATCAGAGGATTATCCTTCTCTACTCCTGGATCTCTTGCTTGTAAAATTTCTGTTGTTAAAGCAGTGGTCGTTACCGCAACTCCCTCCTCCCGTGGTCTCTCACGCATTTGATAGCGTATAGTCGCCGCATGCAAATGCTGGAGAGCACGTGACGCATTTTTTCGGTCCACATAGGCGTCGCGCAAATCGCGGTACCGGAACCAAGACGGCTCGACGCAGGTAACATTTAGTAGCGGTCGCGCGGCATCCAGGCCTTCGAGCTTTTTCGTGTTTGGAGTTGCCAAATCATAGTCCGCGTTCTCCCATAATTTCAACGCTGTGTCAGAAAAACCGCCTGCGAAACAACCGACGTCGAGTAGTTGGTAAACCTTCTTTGCGGTTTCTCCTTTCCTCCAAGTAGTTGCTCCGCCAGTCGCATAATGATCGTGTTTCTTCTCTCCTCTAGCGACAAAATCAACAGACTCGGATGACGATACAGGATGGCTCATGAAGAACTCTTCCTCCTCGACGTCTACGTCCTCCTCCAAATCATGATCATTTCCGTGAGCTTTTCTTGTCGTCGACTGCTCATTTCGAGACGTGATACCAACTCTTTGACCAGAATCAATTGCAGATTTACAATCATATCCAGACGTCGACCTGTCCAGCACACCCTCAGCATCTGTGGGTCTCGCTTCCTGATCGTCGACTAGCGCTGTAGAGAGAATAACAGGCAAGACGACGCCTGCTTCGAAGAAGTCCCAATTACTGGAATCCCGGAAGCCTAGGGCGAACAACGAAAATAGCTGCAACAAGTACTGGAACGCACTATGCTTCCTACTTCGTGAAGCAGGTGGCTCTACGGCAGCAGGAGCAACATTCTCGTCCCTTTCTTCAGCGATTTCGTCACTGGCATCGTGCTGATCGTGCTGACTGTTCCCGCCCCCGCCCTCTCTGCTTCGAATCAGAGAACCCCCCGCTTCGGATTTCCGATGCCGTAACGCAGCACAGCAATCGGCATTGTAGCAAGTATTGAAATATAGCACACGGCTCGGGTCCGGCAGCTCTCGACCACCTGGTAAGTAGCCAGTAAAACTGAAACACAAAGTCAGCCAAAATGAAAAACATTGTTCCTATATCTAGAAGTACATGAAGTACCTGATGATCTAGGGCATAAGCACAACTCGAACAAGTCTTACCTCTGCTACCTCTAGGATGTATCTGAGCTATTTTTACATACAACCAAGCCAAGGAAAAAAAATAAGTACCTACCTGGTCCCAGTGGAGTAGCCCCTGCATTCGCAGGATATCGTCGTCACTGCGATTTGTTTGTGTGTCTACGGACAATATCCTTCGCGTCGCGGAAGCTTCGAAGAAGCAACAAAGTTCGTAATTTTCTGTCATGGGGTTTTTCCATTTTGGACAGCTGTATATTGGGTCAACTGCATGATAAGTCTTCATGAGGATCGCGCCGGAGAGGAGTAGCTGTATCCGGAACAGGAATTTTCCTTGCCACAGGTCGAGGAGGAATGCGGACAAAGCAGTAGACGAGGCGCAGCCTCCTGCTAGTCTGACGCCAGCAGCTCCGCTCGAGCATCTTCGATTGCAACAGACCGTCATTCTTCACTCCCGGCCACGATGTATCAGCAAAAGCAACAAAAAGATAAAGATCTGCTGCTCCCAAGTCAGTTTACAAATTGCCTCATCCTCCTTGCCCTCCTCTCTACAACTTCAACTTCCAACATCTTCAAATAATGTTCTCCCTTTTTCTGTATGCAACTCCCAGTGGTGACGCACCCGCTAGAGAGGACTGTCCGTCGGCATCTTACGCACAAAAAGTAGGAACACTAGCACTCGACTCAGAAACCACCCGACATTTTGGTGTTTCGCCGATGCGTTTTCTTTGTGAACGGCAAGAGAGCTTTTCCTTATCTTTATCTATCATCTTTCTCATGCATTATATTACGCGAGTTGACGCCGAGAAACTGCAATCACATGAGCACTTGAAATGGAGATCATGGAGGGAGGAAGTTTGTGACTGCCTCTAGATCATGGGAAAGGAATCACTTTTTCTCTGTGATGTGATGAATGCGAGGATCCAGAACCAGATGACTGTAGTGTCTCACCAACCAACTTGATAAGGAGGCACGCGGTGTGGCGGCTGGGAAAATCAAAATCCTGTCCTTCAAGAATCTGTTTCTGTATCTGATTGAAGTAAGTATTCGGGGCCACACAAACACTCTCTTCACTCAATATGGGCAATACAAGAATGCATGAGGTTCTATATCTTTTTGTTCACTCCATGAGCATGTGCAAAACCGGACGTGCAGGGCGTGACTCTGCGTCGCCAACGTCTCGAAAGAAGCGCTCTGGGGAAAAGAAGACGCGACGCTCGGGCCACAAATCGGGTACAGTTCGGTGCAACAGTCTGATGCGGTCTCTTCCACAGCTTGAAAAAAATGGCCGAAAGCGGTCGCCGTTCCCTTCAACATCTGCCGCTGGCGCACACGATTCTGAGTCATTATCTACCAAATAACATGTGTTGTGGCTGCCACCCTGCTCATCATCGGCACCTTGCCTTCTATTGGTACTAGTTGAGTCAACTCCTCGGCTTCGTGCACTTGTACTAGAGCCTCCTCCACTTTGCTGCGCTGCAGCTTCGAAAAATTGGTCGACACGAGGCAAGCTACGTAAGGAACTGGTTTGTGCCGGGATGAATGTATTTCCTCGAGGATAAACGTTACCCCAGCCGCGCCCCGAAAAAAGCACTCCATCCTCACCGCTTGCACAGGTGAAAATCGCTGGATTATGCCACGACGGAACCGCTTCGGCAGTCCACGCCGCTTGACTTGACGTCGCCCCCTTCAACATATTGTCATCAAGGAATTTTCTTGTTGTGGGGTCCGCGTGAACATTGTAGTTTTGGTGTGCACCCGTCAAAGACGAAGGGAGACCAGACGTATAATTTGGACTAAGCGCACTCGGCCTCACCAAACGTAGCTCGCCTTGATCAATGTGGCACTGGGCCGGGGGATTGAAGCACTTGTCAACGTGGTACCAGACGTCTGTCATTTTGATCATGCGTGTCTAATCAACTCGTTAATAAGAATTCTTCATTTTTATAGTATACTTATCTAGCAGATACTTCTTCCACTTGAAGTTGCATTCATAATACCAATTATATTGTTGAACTTGAAAGTTTCCTTCTACTAGATGGCCAACATTTCTTAACGGGCAAGTGATAAAAATGCTACACGACCAAGGAAGAGTAGCCCGAGATCCACATCGAGAGAAATCTGCTAAGGAATAGAGGAACTAGCAGGACAAAGCCCGAATCATTAGTGATTATTCAGTGATTTATGCGCCATAATTTCCGAAATTTCTCTAAAAGTACTAACATTATAACATTTTTACCTTGATGAAATGGGACTAAGTTTTGATTTTTCTTGATTAAGACGGACAACTCCTGCATCCATGCTGATATGACAAATCAGGAAAGAGAATATAAGAAAAATCAACTTTGTAAGAGAACTATCTTCATCAGGGTAAATTTCAAGGGTGGACTTACAACGCTATTGTGACCGCCCTCGAGACGGGCGATTGTATGATGTTGCCTCAGGAGCCAGCCTCTCGACAGAACATGATTCACTCTGAACGAAAGACCTTTTCACCTCAATCAGTGCCGCAGAACACCAGTTCCAGTCCTTCCATCTCGTCATCTACAGATGAAGGGGATCTCGACAGATAAATTTCCAAACAAAGAACAAAAACAAGTGCTGCCTAGGATCTTCGTATTTTTCATCATCGCTTGGTTCTCATCAAGACGGCGATTCTCACACTCGCTCAACTACCGACGATTCTCTCATAAGTACACATTTCACAGAAAACGGTGAGGTGCACCACACGCCACTCACGAAACATCACTCTGGTGATGAGCCATCCTGCGTCCAAGCAGACCAACTATGTTGAGTCATATTCTGCAGCTGGACACCAAAGATCATGACTCATGATGAAAATAGTAACTACTATGACGATGATCGTATCATACTGGTGTCACTGAAAAACGGTTTCCGACCCAAGATCACAGTCAACGACATTGTCACTAGAACCATACGTTTCGGTTTCCGACCATAGTTATATTAATAAGAAAGCCACACTGGTTGTACTAAAAGAAGTACAGAGTGTCTTAAAATCGAAAAGATCGATGACCTTGATTCGACCAAGATTCGTGCATACCTGGTGGAGATCGAAAAAGTGGAGAGGACAAACATCTATAAAGATGCATAGATATGATAGGATAGGAGTTGGCTCGCCTCGGAGAGGTGAGCGTTCACGACTATGAAACAAGACGATGGTCCCTTTTCAAGCAAGCGCCCTGTCTTTGATGATCGTACGTTTTCCAGCATGTTTTTCTTTCTCAAAGCTTGATTTTCATCTTTTGGAGCCAACAAGAACTCATCACAGCCAAACTTTGCCATTGCAGGAGACCCGTGAATTGCGAGACCGAAAAGCCCCAGGTGGACTTGGACAAATTCACTATGACAACCATAAGCAGGTCACCCGAAACACGAAATAAACTCCAATGAGAATGTCTCATACATTACGACGTTTGGGCATTGGAATTGTGATCCTAATATCAGCATTTCATTTCAATAAAGAGGAGGGGAGTGGCGCTCCCTCACTTCATCAACGGCGACGATTTAAGGTACTGCAAAAGCAAAGTTATCAAAAATAACAAATTCGAATAAACATTCGTGGCAGTTTTCTAGAGTCAACATTCATTGATGTAAGCCGGACAGCCCAGAGAAATGCCGCCTATAATTCCCGCTCGCATGGAATGGAGGTGGCGCCGCCATTTCCTACGATCGAAAAGTGTCATAAGGCTTGATTAGGATCATGACCATAGTTACCCACAGCTAGTATAATGAAAGAAGATAGCTCCATTACTAACATTATACACGCAGCTAGTATAAATATTATCGCCAGTGGAGCAGAAGCCCTAACACAGCTAATATATCTCTATATCACTCAAAATTGCTTTGAAGAATGCACACAAGGAGAGAAACATCAAAGAGTGGGAAAACCAGCAAAGCATGTTCTTAATCTTGCCACGGCAAAGCTCTTTTTGTCATGTGCTTACAGGCATTTGCGTATCGCTAACTGAGTATGAAATTAAAGAATGTGCTTCTGGTTCCAGCGTAGCTCTGCACCAGAAAGCTATATGCGAAAATACAATGAATCGGTAGTGTGTAATAGAATGGCCGGAACATTCAAGATGCGACAATAGTGTCCTGACATATCAAATTCAAAACATGACATAGATGATAAAATAGCATGATACTATGAGTGGCAATGCGTAAGAACCACCTGTATAAACAGCTCCTGCAACATCTTCCAAATTGCTCCACCTCGTCATTATTTGAAGATATTTTGACTGATAAGTACTCTATCTATGCTACAGGAACGCGAGACTTCTCCGAAGTGATCCCGCCTACTTTTTGAGCGATACGTGCGTTGGCAGCTTCTGATAGACTGAGTAGTGAATGAGTCCCGGACCATGACGCGCGCGTTCGAATGGGTTAAAGCTGCATTCCTTCATCTCCTCCTGTGCCCGTTCTTGTTCAGCCTGCAAAGACCGCAGCTCCTTGATTTCGTTCATGAACTTAACTTTCTCCATGTACTTAGCTGGTTCCTTGAGGCCGAGGACCGAAGGCACCGAGGAGTAGTCCACGACAGGCGGTGACGCTGTGCTGTTGTTGAGACTCTTCGCCATCCGATTTTTGCTGATGTCATTCGACTGCGACAAAATCGTCATCTGACTCGGCGAACCTGGTCCAATCATCCGCTGTGGCAAAGGCGATCCTTTTGCTGCTATGAAAGGGACAATTCATAAACGAGACATGTGATGCTGACTGAGATTCAGAGTAGTAATCCACTGACTTCTATCGAAAAATTTTACTTTTTTTCCTTTCATCTTGACATATTCCTATGTACTTGCGATTGCGAAAAGGAATGTCATCTTTCTCAACACAATCTGAATGCAAAAGACTCTGACTCAGGGCTCACATGATCGACTTCTACTACTAGTACATGAAAGATCTTCTAGACAACTTGTAGAAAAGACTAGGTACTATCTTTCGTTTCTGCACATCATGTATCATGATAACCATAATAATAGACATTCCATCAGCTGCTGCATTTTCTTCCGCCTCTTGCTCCGCGTCAACGAAGAGCATTTCCGAGCTACGACTCACAGGATCGGCTACTTGGTCTGCGAACTCCTCCTCCACCGCGTCGTAAAGTTTATCCTGAGGGTTTAATATTGCCTGTTGTCCACCAGCTCCAGTTTTGCTGAAAATGATCCTCTCTTTCACTCTAGCCTGTTCAGCGAGCAACTGCTGATGCTCTTCGCGGCTCTGTCTCAGTTCGCGCTCTGCCTTCTCCTCTTCGCTGAGAAAGCGTTCGGGATACTTGGCCCTCAGCCTTTCCCATTTTCGTTCCTGATCCCCATAGCAGAACTCTTCCCAGCCTCGGCGCCCCTTTACGCGCTCTTTCATCTGCTCTTTCTCGGCGAGTTCCGCAGCAATCTTTGCCTGTCGGCGCTCGGCTTCTTTCCGCTTCACAGACTCAAGCATTACGAAGTTCGGCGCGACGGAACAAGCAGATCCACCAGAGATGGCGGACGATGAGCCTCGCGCACCCCCTACTTCGCTACTACCTCCACCGCCCTTCTGCGGAGACCGTATCAGGGAACTTTGCGTTTCCGAATCCTGTGGGCGCACGACTTTCGAAAAGATATCGCCGGGTAGGGTGCGCATGCGCTGCCCAACGAAATTATTGAAAGCCCTGTCGTGGTGAAGAAGAAAGATCGCATTATCTGAAGATACTAACTCGTGAATGCTAATGCTCAGCAGGACACTAAAGACTATGCAACTCTCATCTACCTTCAAGTATTGGCTTATGAAAGAAAAATGGCAAAGGCAATAATACGTGCTCGACCCCGCTGACGTATTCAGCAGCGCCCCCTTGGGAGTAAATCCCCCGGCGGATAGCGGCGGGCTTGTTCTCTCGGGGATCGGCGACGCATGGAGCGCCAAATTCGTTGTGTCTGCAGATGAAACAGAGACATCTTGTTTCGGATCTGGATATGCCTGCGGTTTGCGTGCAGGAGGAGCTTGCATTTCCTCTAGGTCCGCCCCCTCCTCGACTACATCATCTGCCTCCTCCTCAGCACGAGTAGCATTCATCGGTGCTGAAACAACAATGGCGCCTGCCCGCACGCTAACTGTGGGAGGTTTGGTTGGCGATGAATTCGCAGAGGTCCAGTCGCGATAGATGTCGACGGCACTTTTCGGCCCGGGCTCTGGCGCGTTCAATTTGTCAAATACCCGGCGCGCGAAAAGGTAAGGATTACTGGGGGCCTCGCGGTCGATTTGGTGCATTCCATTGTTGTGCATGTGGCCCTTCTCCGGTGACAATGAAGATGGTCTCTTCTGATGTTGCGTCTGCGCGAGATGACCCAACGTTCGCCCGTCATCTACTGTATTGCCGATGCCTGGACCAAAGATAGTCCGCGGAGAAATCATGTGACTCCACGTTGGCCCACCACCAGCACCGGCCATGAATATTTGTTGACGTTTCACGACCTTTTTCACAGGACTGTACTTGCTCTCAAGGTCTCGAGGTTGTATTCTGTGTCCCCGCGCTAGCGTTTCGTGCAACGCGCCTCCACCCGGATACAGCGTAGTCCTCGGCTCACCACTCGTAACAACTGAACTCGGCGGCAGCGGCGGCTGCAAAAATATTTATATTCTTAAGGGGAGAACGATGAAATGGCACAGGGACCAGCATAGTGCATGTTGTGTCAATTTAAGAGGTAAGATAGATACATAGATACATAGTACTACTATCCCTTTACTTCTTGAAGTCACGGCGAAGGAGAAAAGGAGCAGCAGAAAACACAAGTCTGCATCAGCTGTTCTGCAACTTTGGTCTGAGGTGGCTTTGGGGTTTGTAATTGCGTTTGGACAAGGACAAGATGAGGAGGAGAGGAGTAAGCTGTTAAATTTTTTTGAGTCTTCAACATAAGTTTAAAAAGCTACGAGCCCACTAGAGTCCGCTTATATCTAGGCGCCGCGCGTTCGTCCTACCTGCCCTAGTAGAGGTCTTCTCGTCGAAGGTAAAATGTAACAAGATTCTGATCCGTGTAAAGCATGTGAAAACGAAAAGTACCTGCATTCTCTGTTGTAGCGGCAACTGCTGAGCACTTCTCGTGTGCATGTTTTGCATCCTTCGCGTCGCCCCCGACTCCACCTCGCGAAATAGCGCAGACAGTTTCTGCTCACCGCTGGGACGATAGCCTGTCAGATTGCGTGTCTCATATTGAGGAACGACCACGTGCGACGGACCGATTTGGTAGAGTGGTGCTCTAGAAGTAGTCTGCTTTGCCACGGTGTTTTTTCTCGCAGTCTCTCCGCTTTTGCGTGCTTTCGTCGATATGTGACGAGCATTCGGCACTTCAGCTAGTTCCTCAAGTTCTTCTGGTGCTGCACTGGACTCAGATGGACGAATGGCTGAGGTTCTGTGCGCTTCGGAGTCCTCCAGGACATCGAGAGCCGTTTCCCGCTGGGCTCCTGAAGCTCGTTCTGCTGCTGCGACTGACGACGCCATCGAAACTTCTCGGACAGTCTTCTGGTGTGATGTTTTCCTCCGTTCTTGCAGAGACGAACTGCGCGAGTCGCGCTGACGCGTGGTTGTGCCGAGAGTCGTGTACGAATCGTCCTCGTGCGCGGCGGCGGGTCCTGGCGCGACTGTTCGCTTCGGGCCCGTAGTTGAGTTCATCTTCGAACCACCCGGTGGCCTTGGAGGTATGTTGCCTGAACGCCCCGGCGGTGCAAACCACGCTTTTGACGTGGCTGGAGGTTTTCTTCGTTGCACCTCATCCCTGCAGTACATTATGAAATTACTTATACTTTGTTGGTTTCATTCAAGAGCTCGGGTTAAATGAGATGCACATTGATTCACAGAGACAGACGAGTTCCGCTTCGCCACTACTTGTAACACACTGGTAATGAATCTGTGAAGACACTCTCCTGTAAAGGAAAATCGGCAAGCGCAAGTATACCTTGGTGTATCAGTTGCATTTGGCACAGAAGACTGCAGAATCTTGCGACGTCGGCAGTTGTAAAGCCGCTCGCTTACCGGACGTTCCAGATAAGCCGCTGTTTCCGCTGACACTCCACGAGCGCTACTTGGCGTCCTGCCCCGCTGTGGTCCCACGTTTGCCCCCGTTGCTCTTCCCAGCGTTGTTGAGTGTGACATGACCGGTGGCCGGCTTGTAGACTGCTCAACACGACCATTCGAAGCAGCCACTGCTCTCAGGTTGTCTACTATCCGCTCCGCGTCGTAGTCCCATCGGTCTGTACTCGGCTCCGGAGGAATATCGTGCTGAAGCTGATGCTCCTTGAGTAGGACAATGTTGGGTATCGAAGCCCCAGCGCGTAACTGCTCCCGGATCATTGCGCGTGCTTCTGTGTGCTGCCCGCGCGGCGACATTTGCAATGGGACCGTAATTTTCCGACGGATTGGGGGAGGCAGGATAGCTTCTTGTTCGGTTTTCTTCGGCCGATGCGCAGGATTCCGCGGAGCGATCGCGGGTGGGGCCGCTTTTGCCAGTGGAGTGATGCGAACCACTTCGTGCTGTTCTAACTTCACCGCAGGAGCTTTTCCTGCGCTGTTGGGGCTGGGACTCGGTGAAGAATACATGCCCCTCTGACGTGGTCCGGGACTTCGGATCACGTTTTGTAAGCTTGTTTTGCTCTCATTTCTCGGACTTGCGTTTGGTTTCGGACTGCCACCAGGCATGGATGCTTTTGATCTCACCTGCTGGTATGGACTCTGACTTCTACTAGCCGCCTTCGGACTCCGACTGCGACTCTGTTTTCGTGCCTCTTTGCTGCCCGCCTCGAAACCCTGTGCGAAAATCTCCTCTGCCGAATAGGACATGCCATTTTCGGGTACAGAACTGCTGCTATAGTGGGTTTCAGCGTCGGCAAAACCTGCCGACCCCTCTCGCTCCAGAAGTCGATGCGGCCGCCTGGTACTGCTAGACGAACCGCCCTCACCAACGCGCGCCGAGGTCAGCAATCGAAGAAATTGCTCGCGCTCTCGGTCCATCCGGCTCGCTGCATCTTCCGATAGGTACGTCTGCGAGCGTTGCGGTGGCCGCGCATAGGCGGCCGACGCCGACCCGTTACTCGGGGACGGGTTCACGGCAGTGGGTCCGGTCCCTGGCGAACTGGAGGAAGGTTGCTGTAGTGGCTGACCCGATGCGGTGTCGACCGGAGGGGACTTCCGCGATGAAGGCCCTCCGACCATCAGCGCCCTGTTGATTTGGCTCATTTTTTCCGTCATCATACTCGTCTGAAGCATTGTTGCAGAAGGTGGCATCGGAAAAAACGTCCCCACTAGTGGGCTCGTCGCGCTAGCAGTGTAATTACCGAGAAGTCCCCCACCCCCTCCAACACCACCACCTGTCATTCCTCCGCATATTAAGGATGACGAGTTTGCGGCCACAACTTGTTGCCCTGGTGCAGGTCTAGTCCCCGCAGATTGTGTAGGCGCAACTCCACCTCCGTGGTAGACATAGTTCCGGTCATCATCCCTTCGGCCTTCAAAGTGCCATGGATCTAATTGGGAGGATAAATCTTGTCCCTCCCCCGACTGCTGGGACTGCGACCGATCCCTTTTATAGTCGAAAATGTAGGGATCCGTTGATCCTGGAACAGGTTGGCCTCCGTTTGGACCGCTCCCTACCGACGAACTACTCACTGGCTTCGGCAGACTGGAACTCGATGAATCGCGACGCACTGTCGTCGACGAAATAGACGAGCCCTATTCATTTTGGTTGCATAAAATTAAGTTGTAAAAATAGTTCATCTTGATCGCTTCTTTATCGAGTGAACGGCATACACGACGTCGCTATTAGTACGGAAAGGTAGAAAGAAGTTTCGAAAAAAGGTAAGTGGAAGTCCAAGTACCATGAGTTGAGTGGATGCTCCAGTGACGACCATGCTTCCTATTTGATTCGCTATCGCATGCCCATTCGCGCCAGGGGATACCGCGGCTGCTGACGCACGAGAGCTGTTCCGTTTGAGCGCATTTTCTTCCTCGAGGCGCTGAAAGCCCGTTCCCGTGAGTTGTTGCTGCTGTCGCTCCTTCTTCAGAGCATAGGCCAAATCGCTGGCGCTCGGCGGTACCAAATCCTGCGGTGTCGATGAGTCAAACGGAGAAACGACTTTCTCAAAATTCCAGGAGCCACTCCGTGGTGAATGCTCGCGGAACTTGTTGCTTAACTTCGAGTCGATTCGTGCCAATGCAGCTCCATCAAGGGAGCCTCCACCTGACAAGGCCGAACTCTTGGATCCCCCGCTGACGATCTCCAATCTCCGCAGTTGCTCGTCCAGCGCGTTCGCGACAGCTGCTGCAGTCGGCGCCAGCCCTTCTATGGTTCCACCTCCAACAAGTGCTGCTCCATTTTGTTCGAGGAGTGAACGTAAGTCAGCTCTTTCTCCTGATTCGGATGCAGACGTGAACGTACTACTCTGTCCCGACGAGAGCGGGCCGCCATTGTCCGTGAGCATTTTCTTTGCCCTTAATTTCAAGTAACTAGACCAGCAAGAAGAAGTCACGAAGTCGAAGACCAAGACAAACCCCCAAGAATCAAATGAACGCAATAATCAGAGCTCTCTCGCGTTGCTCGAGTATAGAGCGTCAACTTAGTGGTCCGTACTGCGCCGCGGCCTCTTATTGATTCGGGATCTAGCACATGGCCCCTAAATTCGACTTCAATATTGTGCAAGTTGTTCATCACGAAAAGTGCACAACCAGGTCACTTCTCAATCAACTTCATCTTAAAGCCGCGCTTTTTTACGGTGTCCATTTTTTTAAAGAACTCAACCAAGTGAATGTGAAGAAGTCATAGATCATACCTAAGTAAAGCCTACAACATTTGAAGGAGGGGCCCTCTTATCGCGCACTACTCTCGTGTCCTCACGAAGCTGCTTCTCTAGTTGTAGTTCTATCATCATCATGGCGTCTCAAGTAGCCTTCCTAAGCTACTAAGAAGACGAGACAGATTCAACGACGACTTCTATCGGCACTCAAGTTCCATAAATTCTTTGTTCGAAAACAGAAACTTCCGATTCTGCGAAAACGATGTCCATCCACTTTGCAGGACATTGCAGGCATTCGGCACGGCGCTAGGTACTTAGATGTGCGATCATGAAGCGACACACTTCTTCTAAAAATTCGACGGACGCTGCATCGACAAAAAGAGCCTCTAATATTCCTGTTAAGCACCCCTTGCGCAATCTTCGATCTCCTCTGCAATTTTAGTGAAAATTTATCTGCAATGTTCGTTTTGATGTCCCTAGAACGGCAGTCCTTAGAACGGCAGGTGCTCAGTGTTATCAATCTGCTTGGTTGTTGGTGAGAAACTAAGATGATCTACCATTACTCTACTAGTATTTTTGCCCTAAAAAGTTAAGTTCGCTACCTGTGCATGAAAAAAAGCTCTGCATGGATATACGTTGGTTTCAGATTCAGTTGCCAGTAACTTTGCACAACAGAGGCAGAATAACGATAAGCGGGTGTAGGAAAGATATTCTAGAAGAACAGCCACGATAGAGAAGTCCGCTTTTGGGGAAAGAAGAAAAGCGCTGCGCATGCTTTTCCCAGCAAATGCGGATATCTTATCTAATTTCAACCACTAATTTCTCGACGTGATCATTATATATTGGAGCAACTTTTTTCATTATTTAATGAGCTTTAATGAAGAAAAACTGTAGCTTCCTTATACATAGATCCACAACCAACGTTCAACAGTAACGGCGGATATTGAAATTGAAACGAAAAGAAGTAATCATACAACACTATTTGATCGTCTAAATTTCTTTGACATTTTTCAGCATAAGAAATTATTCAGGATCGGCTCATCAACTAAGCTGTATTAGACACAGGATGCATTACCTCTACGAACCTGCTTTTTTTAGCAATGATTGATGGGATAATGTTCACCTTTGAATTTTACATTGTATTCATTGCATTGACTTGCACCTCTAGTACCTCTTAAGCAAATACACTGAGTAAAAAGTAAATACTGTACAAAGCAAAGAACTCAAATAGCGACAAAATGCTTTGTATAGTCGCGAGGATCGACCACCGCCATATCCGTTACTTCTTGGATTGCATCTATCCCGCAATCCGCAAAGCAGACATCCTCAAAACCTCCATCGTATATTACGTCTATGACATCTTTCTTCGTACCGTCCTTCGCCCTGTAGACGGCGATGTTCCTCAAGTGCGAACAGATATCATCGCGCTTGTACTTGTCTCGGAGCGTTGCGCGCTCGCCGCCGATGATTAGAAAAGAACAGTCGTGCTTCGATTTCTTTTTTTTAGCTTTCTAAGGCTGCATCAACAAAAATTCATTTTGGAGCTATTCGATAGTCAGAAGAAGAGAAGTGAAAGCATTTTAGCTCAGCTCGTGCTAAGTGCATGTATCTAAGTAGACTTACGTTCATTATGAGAAAAACATGCTGAGCACACTAAATCTAAATTTTCATAGAAAAAAAAAAGTTTGTAACAAAAACAAAACCATGCCACAAAATCCCGCCACCAGTTTCGTCTGCGGTTGGACTACCTTCTCCACGCTCGGCAAGCTCTTTCCGATAATAGTATTCGGCACGTATCATCGCCTCGTGACACCAATCCTCATACTTCGTAGATGGTGGAATCTTAGCTTCTTTCAATGGACCTGATTCTTTTCAATTTCATCTTCAACGCAGTTTGGACGGATCTCAATGATATTGTTACACGAGCACGACTACTAGCAGGTGTAATTCATAGTAATGGGGGAAACGCGGTTATTAACATGAGCATCGGTTATATCTCAAACATTGGGATGAATAATTGCAGTCTGTGTGTGGTATTAGAAAAAAGATTTATAGACAAAGACCACAGCAAGGCAAAATACGAGAAAGAGCCGCTTCCACGGCATAGGGCTGCGGAGCTGTGTTCAGAGGCGTTTCGTGAAGCTTTAGTAGGTCGTCCGTCTCACCACCTCCGACATCGATATTTTTTAGACCAAACGCTTCTAACACAGTCGGATCGGCACCGACGTACTGCGACTGCGTCGACGCTGATATCAATTTGGATTGGAATATCAACGAGATGATTGGATGCGCATGCGTCGTGTAATTATATATTACAATAATTCATAGGGGTGCGCGCCAGATCCGGGATGGGATGGATCGGATGGACTTCCCACCATTTCAAGTAGGATCGGAAGATTTAGGGGGGTCCATCCGATCCATCCAAGTCCATCCTAAATCCGTTCTATAAATTATTCTAATATCAAAAGAGTACTAATGGCCAAAAGAGTCTAGAAAGGTTTTTTGAGAGATTGTCGGGGGGAGAAGGGGGGTCCTAGGGAAGGGGTAGGGGGGGCCTACCCCTGTCCGACCCCTGTGCCTGTCCAAACAGTAAAAATGGCCAAAAGAGCCTCAGCCGGGTTTTTCGAGGGATTGTTGGGGGGAGAAGGGGGGTCCTAAGGGGGGTAGGGAGGTCTACCCCTCTCCGGTCCCTGTGCCTGTCCAAATGGTCAAGAGAATCACGGCCGGGTTTCTTGAGGGATTCTCGGGAGGAGAAGGGGGGGCAGGGGGGGCCTACCCCTGTCCAACCCCTCCCCAACCCCTGTGCCTGTCCAACCCCTGCGCAACCCCCCCCTCCCAACTTCCACGCCAGATCAGACGCGGCGACGCTTGAGAGCCTCAACGAAAACTGCAGAAAAACCAACACCACACTAGGGGGGTTAGCGTCTCGCAGCTCCTCCTACCTTGGGCGTGTGCGTTCGGAGGCTGCGAGCGGGGTACCTTAAAAAGGGGGGCAACCTGCTGGCAACGCCTTTACACCTTCCCAACTGCTTGGCGATTTTCGCGAAGGAAAGAAAGCCGAAAAAGCGCCGAAAGTAAGAGCCAGCCACGCGGGTGCGAGGCCATAGCTGTAGGCGCGCGGCTAACTCATCGCGGACCCGGACACCCCTCGAGGGGAGTGCGGCTGGAGAAGTCCGCAGGTCAACAATCTCGCCAAGATAGAAACGCGGCGCCCAACTTACACCCGGGCAACCCCCTCAAGCCCCCTGCACCCGGTCACAACCGACAACGCGAGGAGGAAGCCGCAAAAGATGCCAACTTTACAGGCTGGCCCCGTGGTATCTCTCGGAGAAGAAAACCCCCAGAAAGTCTGGCAGGCGATGGGCGGCGTCCTCTCAAGCTCCGCAGGCTTCTTGATACTGAGCCCCGCCCAGTGGGCCCCCTTGCTCTTATTTTGAAGGCGCTGGCTGCATCCATATGAGAAAGAGAAACAGCCCAAGGCGCTGGGCTTTAGGGTTCTCGCCGTGCGCGTTTGTTTCTTTGGGAGGCCACGCTGCTCCCCATCTCTCCGGGGCGGTGCCGTCTTTGCTTTGTCTTTGTGGAGCCATGCTGTAGCTTTGGAGCCTGCTCATACGGTGCCCCAGGAGTCCGGCTGTGTGGTGTTGGGGGAAAGGTGTGGCCATGCTGTGCCTGGGGGGTCTGGTTGTGTCCTTTTCAGAGGTTCCTGGCTCGCGCTGCTCCGGGGGGGTTTGGCTTTGGTCAAGCTGCACCCCCAGCCCCAGGGTCATGTTACGCGGGGAGGCTAAGCCGTTGCGAGTTTGGGGGGCTGTAGTGCGTTTAGAAGTCGGGGCGCCGGTCGGTGTTCGTGGTGTGTTGGGGGGTGGGTCGCTCAGCGTTTGGGGCGCCATTATATATGCGCCTTACTGGTCAAGGCGTCGCTGGTGGGTCCTGACATGCGTCGGGGGGCCGCCGTGCGTTTAGAGGTCGCGGCGTCCGTCGGTCTGTCTCTGTGCTCGGAGGGGGGCGCGGTGTGTCTGGGGTGGTCGTTCATCGTGTGTCTGCGGGGGTCCCTCGGCGTTTAAGGAGTCAAGTTGCGCGGTTTTAGTCGTGGCATGTGCCGGGGGGTCGTGGTGTTTCTGGAGGGTCATGGTGCGTCTGGCGGGTCATAGAATGTCTGAGGTCGCCTCATGCTCGGGGGTCACCTCGCGCTGCGTTCCCTCAGGGGGTTATGCTGTGCCGCAGTGGCTACATAATACCCAAGGGCTCAGGCCGTGCCTGTGTTTGCCCGGGGGGGGGGCCTGGCTCTGCTTTTTGGACGGTGCAGCGCCTGGGGGGTTGCGCTGCGGCGCTTCAGGGGGTCACTCGGTGCCTGGTGGGTTGTGTTGTGTCTTGGGTGCTATCCGCGGCGTGTCGGGGGGTCATGACGCTTGGCGGGGGCAATGGAATGGCGTCCATTAAGCTGCGCTGTGCTTGAGGGGCCGGCTTTTGTCTTGGGGGCCATGAGTGTAGTGGTGCCCCAAGCAGCCTCTCACTACTCTGCAGGAGCCGTGTTTTTTCCTGCGGGTCGGAGAGGTCGCGGAGTGCCGGGGGGTGTGTGTCTGGAGGAAGATCGCGGGGAGCTTGGAAGCGTGCATGGCCGTGGTGCGTGCTCAAGGTCATGCAGATACTGCGGAGCCGCGTTACGTTTTAGACGCAGCGGCGCAGTGTCTTCAGGGGGCCACGTTTCTACTAAGGGGCCCCGCTGTATCTAAGTGGCCGCGGCGTGTTTGGTGGGTCGTGGTGTGTCAGGAGAAACTCGGCGCGCCTACTTTGGTGGCCGTCGTGGTGTGTTCAGGAGGTCGCCATCCATGCTTCGCCTTGGGTTGTGCTTTTTTTCCTTACTTTGGGGGCGCGCGGTGTGTAGTTGTGATTTGTGAATATCTAGCCGCGGTGGTTTTCAAGGATCGCGGTGCGCCTTGGGGGTCATGGTCATCGAGATCCTTGGCGTCCATGCTGGCGGCAGTGGTTGCCTGGGGGTGATGCTGTGTCTCGAGGCTGCGCGGCGTTGGGGGAGTCATGGCATGCGTGCGCCGGCATCCTTTGGGGCCGTGTAGATGCTTCAGGCAGGTCATGCCGTGGCGTTTTTCGGGGTATCGATGGCGATGCGTTGGGGGGGTCGTGGTCTGTGTCTCGTGGGTCACTTTGTGCCTGGGGTCTTGCTTAGGTGGTGCTCGGGGGGTGGTGGGTGCTCCCTGTGCAGGGGGGGCAATTCGTTCCCAGGGGGGCACGCAATGTTTTGCAGGGCGTGCGTCTCTATGCTGCAGCTTAGGCAGCGGGGCGGGCTGTGTTTTGCAGTGAGTTTAGAAGGCCACGCGGCGCCAAGGTGCACTGCACGTGGTGCGCTTCGGGGGCCATGGTCCTCCATATGGGGGCAGGGTCGTGGTGCTCCGGGGGCTGCGCGCTGCTCTTTGGGGGTCACATTGTGGCTTTAGAATGGGGGCCCGGCTTTTTCTTCTCCCTTTGCTCAGTGTCGTCGCGTGCTGCATCCGTCTGGTCGCAATGAATTCGCTGAGGGGAGTCAAGGCGAGCCTTGATGGGCTTGGCGCTGTCCTTTTGGGGTCGTGCTGCGTTTTGGTGACCAGGCGGCTGCGCTTTGGGTTGGTGCGTGGTCATGTGGGGCCTTATGATGTAGGGGCGAGAGGTCTCCGCGGGCGCGTTCTGTTATGGTGGTCGCCATTGTTTGGGGGTCGTGGTGGTTCTTGGGGGTCATGGTGTGTCCTAGTCGTCGCCGTGGCGTGTTTGGGGTGGGGGTGCTGTGCTCTTCAGGGTCCTGCCCCTGTGTTTTGGGGTCCGTACTGCGTTGAGGGTGCTGCGCTGTTTTGGGGGTTCGTGTTGTGTCTTTGGGGGTCGTGCTGGCATGTCTTGGCGGTCACGCTGTGTCTTTTCGGGGGTCTATCCTGTGCCCGGGGGTCATGCCATGTCTTTGGGGCCGTGCTCAGTTGGTTTTACGCTTTGCCATGCAGTGCCCTTGGGGACAGGGGGCGCCTCGGGGGGTCGTGGTGCCTCTCACGGCCATGGATGCCCTTTTTTTTAAGAAAGGGGGCGGGTCAGGTCATAGCTCAGGGGCTAGGTGCTGTCTGCGGGGTTGCTTTTTTTGTCTTTTGGGGGCTGGCTGTCTGTAGTAATTTGTGCGCGGCGCTTGTGTTCCAGGGGCCCTAGTGGGTTGCCTGGAGGGTCATGGCGTGCCTCTCTTCTTGGTGGTCGTGGTGTGTTAGTAGGTTTTGGGGCCGTGGTGTATTTGGTGCTTCATGTGTTGCTTGGGGGGCGCGCTGCGCTTGCGTGGCCACGTTGTAGCTTGGGGCCGCGCTGCGCTTAGGGGGTCGCGCTGTGTTTAGGAGGTCACACTGTGTTTAAGAGGTCGCGCTGTGTTTGGGGAGGTCGATCGCGCTGCGTTTGGGGAGGTCGTGGGGCATTTTGGGGGCCGAGATGGGACCGATGGGCCGCCCCTGCTCGTTGAGCCAAAGAACAAACCCGAGAACAGCTAGCCCCAGGCGAGAGCGCGGGCAGCTCCGACCGAAGAGGCCTGAGCGGCCAAAGCTGGCAAGCCAAACTGCCTGGGCAAGCTAGGCGGGACCAGCGAAGACGAGCAGGACGCGCGGGCTCGGGAGGGCTCACCGACGTCGAGCGCCCCCTACGGCTTTGGCAACACCTCCGCCCCCGCGCGCGCATGTCCGCCGGGCCTGCCTCATTGCCGTGGCGTGCTTAATTGATTCCGCGCGCAGGCGTGGGCTGCTTCGGTCTTTGTTCCTCTCCATCATCTCGACGGCAGCCGCAAAGGGGCGGGCGCTCCGTGCCTCCGTCGCTTTTTTTTTTGTTTTCTCTTAAGTTTCTACTCTGTGCCCGTGGCTGTGCTGTTATCGAGGAGGGGTCGCCCAAGGGGCGACCCCGGTTTCTTGTATTTATAATATCCAATTGTCTTCATTCTCATTGTCGGGCAAAGCGGCCAAAAAGTTTTCAATTCCAGGGCTGCGCTTCCCGTCGTGGCTAATCCATCGAAAATCTTGGAATATTACTTACAGGGATATGTGGATATGGGTTAAAAAAAATCATGATCATTAGACACGTACTTCTCTTTGGCCGCTTTGGTTTCGCTTTCGCTGCTGAAGCTGACGCCATGCTAATGCTTCTGCTCGGCGGTGCCGCTGAGGAACTATAACTTTTTTCTGGTGCATCTCCTGGCGTCGACGAAGGAACAGCAGCGACTGGTGCTTCGCCTGGACTTGGGTCATACTTCTTCACGCTACCAGTCGGAGCTTGTGGCGGAGCCGCATCATTGCCACTCGTTGGTTGCTCTGGCGCCCCCGAACCCCGCACCTAAGGATATTTTCGATTAAGTAAATCTAAACTCATCTTCGTCTGTACTTCTTAGTTTAGTGCAGATACAGAAGTGTCATTTTCATCTTCAGCCACAAGTTACGTATTCATTGTCAATGATCTAGTCACACATGAGCAAGCGAAATCATCAACAAGAACTACCGCATCTATCTTCTCCGATGGTGCTGCCACAGGTCGTGACACGTCCTCTCCTGGAGGCGCCACAGCAGACGGTGGCACTGCTTCGTCCGCCTCCGCTGCCATTTGCGCGAACTGTGCTGCAGCGCGGAGTGTTACGGTGCTGACCACGTCGCCTAGTGCGACAGTTGACGAGTCGAGCGTACTGGCACCTACGCCTCCTGGTGTTGGTGATGTCTCCGGCAGACCTAGTTGCGGAGCCGCTGATTGACTCTTCGACTCTACTGCATCGTATACAACATTACCTGCGCTTAGAGGCTGCGCTACTTGTTCAGCAACTTGATTATTATACGCTGCAGGTGAGCTAGGGGTTGTCGATCCAATATCGTCGCCTTGCGTAGATCCTACTTGTAGACCTAGAATTTTCAAAATCATCAGGTTAGTATGAAGCTAAACCAATTCGATAGTGTGAATTGAAAAAGTTCGCTGGGTGTCAAAAGAACAAAAATAACGGTCGTGTTCTATTCAGTCTTTTCTTCCTTCGTTACAATAGATAGTAGGTCCAGGTACCCAGTAAGTCTGTGACCGCTTTCGATATCGCGTTGCTTTCCATAATCTCCTTTCCCGACTTTGCGACCGAGAGCAGGGTGTCACTCCACCCAACCTTGAGACCTGATTTGTAGAGGAAATTAGACTTGCTCATGGCACTAGTTTCGGATTCACCTGTGAAGTTGTCGTCTGCGCCGATCACATTCAACGATATCCCATGTTTAGCGGTGGGCATGTTCGGCACGCGGATCTCCGGGTTTCTCCCCGTTACCGGAGGCGCCAGCAGTCGTCCATTCACGACCCGTGGCTTTCCGTCGCTCGCCACTGTGCTTGCTTTTGAGCGCGACCCAGCGGCCGGAGAGCGGCTTCGCGCGCCACGCGCGGAAGTGGCCAGAGTCGCTTTCGAGGAGGGCGCGGACGGCGTTCTGCGACTCGCGCTCCTGCTGCGCGACATGGAGGTGCGTCGGTTGTTAGCGGAAGATACTCCCGTTGCTGCCGAGTCCTTCGAGGCTCCAGTCTTCGATTGACGACGAGTACTCGGTGAGCGTGATGATTTGGATTTTTGAAGGCGATCTCGATGGGCCCCTGACTTGATTTCCCAAGGAGTTGGAATGACAGTATCTTCCCCGTCGGTGTGCTTGTAGTGCCCCTTGCGTGGTGTCCGAGCTTCCGCATCGGACACACCTCCGCCGGCAAGCGAAGAGTTGTAGCCACCCGCTACTGAGGAACCACCTGCTGTAGTTACCTTGCTCATCGACGTCCCACCCAGAGCATTGCTCGGACTGCGCGACATGGACGGGCTCATGCTCCGATTCCCGCCCAAAGATGACGACCGCGCTGCGATTCCCGGCTGCACCCATCCACGCAAATAGGGTGTGACATGGCTCATGCGGTAGTCGGTTGGTGCCCACATCACAGGATCCGATCCGTCATTGAAGTTTTGCTGTCCAAGCTTCCGCGCCATGTCAGCCCGTCGTCGTGCTAAGTCTGCTTTTTTGGCCTCTCTTTCATCTTTTGCCGTCACACGCTTCACCACCTTGGTGGGAGAGCTTGGGTTGCTCGCGCTGGCAATCAACGCTTTCTTCTTTGCGGCTGCAAAGCGCCGCGTCTTCACACAAAATTGCACCACACGGCCGTAGACCTGCGACATCGTCTAGACAAAATGTCGTGGGGAAGTTCGTACATCAATGAATGTCAAATTCGATGTCAGGAAAGCAAGACCTAGTCATTCGTGATGGATAAATATGATCAAGAAAATTCATTGAAAAAGTACCGAAAAAGGCCGCTGCCCACGCGTGAGCATGCTGTAGAACGTGTAGTCTCGTGCATCGGCTTTCGGAAAATGAGGATGCAGAAGTTTGCACTCGCGGAAGATTTCGTCTACTCGCGTCGGCGATGATGTCAGACCCTTGCCCAGCCAGCTTTTGAAAGTCGACCCCGCCATGTCAAGTACCACTGAGAAATCATCCGAGGCTTGTGTTACGAAGTACACCCCATGCTCGTGGAACTTGTAGCTTTCTCCTCTTATGTAAAATGCCAAAACTCGCAAAAGATTCACCCGCTGCCGATCGCGCTTTGCCTCCCGCGTCTCGTAACTGCGGTACGGGTCATATGCTGTACTCGCTTTATTCGAAGGCGCAGTGCTAGTCGTTTCCCCTTGTGATGCTGTTTTCTTGTCAATCTTTGTCTTGCCGTCCTTACCCGCAGTCGATGACGAAGACCCGCCGACCTGCTCCGAACGGGCCACACTTACTTGCTTCTTCTCTTTTGAGCCTGCTGCGCGCTTTTCATCATTTTCCTTCGACAATCGGTCGAATTCATGGTCCAAGGAGCCGTGCTCCTTTTCTAGTCGCTTGATCACGCGGCTACACATCAAAATTGCCTTGTCATGAAATCCATGCACGTGGAGGAACAGCGCGATTGTCAGCTCAACCTGCGAAGCAAAGGAGCACGTTGTTGTCGTTGTGATCATCTCTACCCTTGAGTACCAGTACACAGCGGCTTTCATACACTCGTACTAGAATGGTATGAATTATTAGTAAACTCTTTGCCTAGTATACATTAGCGCGATTTTCTACTCATCATCATCAGTGCATCTCGAATGGTCATCACCAACCATCATCAAGATGAAACAGTTCCTGTCAGGATCCCGAAAGATGGCAAGAGGAAGCGTACTTTCTGACAGAAACTATACGCAATATATCACTGAGATGTCGCCATCTCGTGGTACCAAGTTCCGCCATTCAGGATTAATGCGAATGATATCCTGGAGCGTTTTGTAGGCCGCTTCTATTCGATCACCGCTCTTCAGAAGTAAAAAGCCACGCCAAAACATCGAAGGTACACAATACGGAAGCACTTGCAGTCCGACTTCTATATCGTGCAACGCCTCCACCGTTTTTCCGCAACCGCTATTCGCGATACTGCGCAGAAGCTGTGATGATGTGGATGTCAAAGGTCAAAAGACAACGAACAGGAATAGAAACACGCCAAAATCTCAATGTCAAAAATAATGAGCATAGCGATAGCACTTACTAGACATGATACATAGTGGCGTTCAAAAACGCAAAGAACAACGTGGCAATGGACTCATCTCCATCCGAGTGGGATGCTAGGACCTTTTTGGAATAGACACACGGCGTCCTGATACCAGCACTCCCTGTGTCATCGGCAGATACACTTGGTCGATTCTACGCACGATCTCGTACGCAATGCCGAGATATTCTGCGGCTTTTGGGAATTTCCCAGTATTGTAGTTCTCCAGCCCGCGCTGTACAGCGAGCTGAAAACTCGGGAAATCGTAGTTGAAGTCGAACGCAAGATAATCTATGAGCGTGTCGTTTACAGGGAGCAGACGCGGAAGCGGGAATGCGCGCTTTCCCGCGCACTGCTTGGCCAAAATACCCTGGTCAGGCATCTTGCTGTATGATGTCTTCGATTCGAACAAGAAACTAGTTTCCTGCGAAGGGAATACTTTATTACAAGAACTGTATTCATTACATTACAACAACTACCACACGTCAAAGTGCGACAACATAGGTTCTCGGACAGCAGTGGTGTGGCTCACATATGAAGTGCGTCCTTCTCCCTAGATAGAATTAAGCTTTTGGTAAATCATGCGTCGACCCGCATGCTACTCGGTTTCGGCGATGCCTTTTCTTGATTCTTCTCCGCTTTGGCTCCTTTATACTTTTTTCGTCGATCGCCTGGGCGGGCCTGGCGTTGCTGTCGATCAAAATGCGGCTCTTTTCTCACGACGTCGAAGGTACTCAACCCGACACGAAAACAAGCATAATCGATACTCTACAGCGCTGCGTAGTAGCAATCTGAATCAAGAATCGAACAGTGCGATGCTACGACGAATTTGCGACTGCGAAGAAGCACCAGATCATGTGCTAGTTACTTTTGCGCTTCCCTTGTTCGTCGATCACAGATACTATAGCTCTTTTCTTAACTTCAAACAGTGCGCGCATTGTATACATTTTTCGAGAAAAAGAAAATTCATCTTGCCATCTAATAAGCAGCAGCAGTATGATCCGCAGAATCAAGCTGGTCTCTGAGAGTACTTGTTTTTGGGAGACCAAAGACTCTGTACACACCTGCTTTTTTCAATGTGGCTTCTTTTCTCGCAGCCGATTCGTACTTCACGAATTGCCGCCTAGATAGTACCACGGGAGCGGGATCATTGCGTCGCAGGTCATGGAACCTGCTTAAAGCAGTTTTACCTGGTGAGCCTCCCGCAGTTGCTGTTGCCCCTGCAGTCGTCGGCTGCGGTGCCATCTCGTTGATAGCTATTACGGAATCCTGCTCACACAGGGCGTTTGCAACCTCGGGAATCAGCGCGTCTTCCAACATTGAGTTTGTAATTTCCATCAACCACTGCTCCAACAGGTCGTGCATCTCGCGATGCACCTCAACAGTATGGAAACGAAACAGCGGGTCAGCATTCGACGCTTCTGTCAGACTCCCAGCACCACTCCGGTGCCCTCTAAGAACACGGACGAGTGTAGAAGAACCAGCACCTTCAGCTATGAGGCCGAGTCCGCCGCGCGCCAACTTGTCCAAAGGAGTGCTGTCAGCCCGTGCGCCACAAAACAAAGGATTTGCGTTAGCGTCAAGCAACAACTCCAGGCACTTCGCATGGTCCGGCGCGATGTCCACAATCGCATCCGTGAGGCTGGCATTGCTTTCGCTTCTCTTGCGGTCCATTCTCGGGCTCTCGCTGGCCCTGCGTGTCGGTGAGGCCGATCGTCCTCCTCGCGATTTTGCCTGTTTTTTGCCGCTGCTCACGACTGCCCGCGACGGAGTCACAATCTGCTCAAAGCCGGCAACACAAACTCCCAAGGGCGTCTCTCCCGCGGAGTCTACGATATAAACGGCTTGTCTTGACGATTTTGGCGACGATGATGCTGAAGAACAGCCGACCGACCCCGACAAATTGTTCCCCAGTAGCAATGCAACCACCGCCGCGTTTCCCCGATGCGCAGCATAGTGGAGAGCGCACATGCGGTACAGTCCATCGGTAGCGAGCACGTCTGCGCCAGCTTTCAGCAGCTCTCGTACGACGTCTTCATGCCCATGAGCGGAGGCAACCATGAGTCCAGTACCGCCTCCCACGCGAGGCTCAGCTTGCCGCCGCACGAAATCGCTTCCGCCCTGCGCGATAGCCTCCAGTACCCCGCTCACGTTGCCACTCGCGCACGCGCTTAAGAAAGCCTCCCACGGGTCGAAGTCAAACATCTTGGTCTCCTTTGATAAAGGACTGATATGTTTCTTGAAGTTATGTCTTCACGGTATTCTCGACAGAAGCAGGGAACTCCTTCCACAAATATCTTATCTTACCGATTCACTTTTTCTGCCTTTTTCGCTTCAGCTCCTTACCTCGCACGATGTTGTTCAACTCTGATGTATGAAGAAAAGCAAATCCGCCACACTGGCTATAACACTAGTTTGCATGAGCTTTTGCCAGCATGGGGGCGAAATGCCAGCATGGGGCGCTCCGATTTCTTGAGAACAAGAATATTCTTCGTATTCCGGACAGCATAGAGGAGATAGCGTATCGGAAATTCATGGGAGCACCGTAGTACAAGAACTCGCATTGGGGAAAAATAAATTCAGTGGTTTGATATTCTTCTTATCAAGGTAATGCAGCGGCGTCATCGTGCCATGGCAAACTCGGCAAAAGTTTTGATATTGCCAGACTGCTCCCTGCCCCTTTACGTTTGTCTGTAATCTCAATACCCAGCCCTTCCGCGTGCAGCATCTTCTCGAGTGCATCATACAACATCCTGTGTGCCTCATTTCCAAAGTGCAGCCCGTCGGGAAGCAGCTGCTCCCTTTGCTCGTAAAACAGCTCAAAAAGGTCCATAAAGACGACCTTTTTTCCTGGCTGCTTTTGGGCTTTTTCCGCGACGCGCTTTACGGCATCCCGATACAAACTTGTATGTGCGTTTATTCGATCGCACACTTGTTCGCCATTATTAGAAAACGAAATAAAAGGAGAGAATAAAAGAAGGCCTAAACACTAAGGTGAAGGAAAAGATTAATAGAAGACGATAAACAAGGACTAGGAGGTAAGCAAATAAGGGTAGATAAAAGTAATGCAGCAGCGCCACGTCTCGTTCGCCCTTGAGGATCACAAGATCAACATAAGTATTTGTTCTGTTCATATTGACTTTCCTTGATCAAAGTTTTCTTCTATCTCTTTAATCATAACATACATCGCTTGCGCGAATGCTTTACGAGCATTCTCAGCAATGGGCGAGGGTGCCAGGATGAACAAAACTGGCGTTCGCGCGAGGACTTGGGAAACGATGTCTGTCATGTTCTCCTCATACTCATCGGCGGTGACGCTGTACCTAGGTAGTTGTAAAAGCTCATTTTTATCAAAATTCGCGTACTGTTGCCAACGCGAGCAACTGTAAGTCGAAAACGTTATACTGCTCGTCACAGACAGAGAAATTGTGTGTATGAGCCTGTTGTTCGTTGAAAAAAAGAACCTACCCCGAGACCCCACACCGACCTATTCTATTTCTAAGCTTATACTTAGCATACGATGCCGACAAGAACCACCCAGTGCTAATTTTTACCTTCCAGATTTATCTGCTTCCTTCAACCAGGCATCGTTAGCTCCAAGCCACACAGTCGCGAAAAGGAACTGCTCGTCTGCTCGCAGGTCACAGTTGAGAATTCGTGAAACGTATCTCCGCGCCCACCTCGAGGTCCATCCGGAGAGTCCGCGGTTTAAGACATCCGCACGACGAATGTATAAGTTCTGCAACAAGGCAGCCCAGCCGAAGCCTTTCCCATCCTCCAGACTAGGATTGGCCGAGCCCTGCTGCGTCAGGGAGTCTCCAAGCAAAAGAATCTTCGGAGTACCGGTGTAAGGTACATGCGGAGGCGACGAAGCAGAACTTGCAGAGAAGCCACCACCTCCGACGAGAGCATCTTTCGTATCAGGCTCCATTATTGTGTTATATATTCCTTGCAATGTACTTTTACTTGTCAAAGAAAAACGAAAAATAATAAAGAAGCTGGAGGAAATGAAATCGAAGAAATGAGGCAACAGAACAAAACGAAAACCCAATCCTCGAAGCGAATCTTAGGAAAACACATTGAAACATCCAAACATGCAACAGCAAAAATAATTTATAGGCTAGCTCAAACTCTTTTCCTGTCGTAGAAAAGGACACGCAGAAGAGTTAGTTTCTTTCTATCATCCGAAAAAAAATCTTCCAATCGCCGTAAGACGTTACACAGCCAAAGAAGTTATTTCCTGCTGCATCTTAAAACACGCACGGAAAAAGAAAGAAGCCAACTTTAGCGTAGATCAATGCCGTGCATCTTGTTCTATCTGTGCATTTTATTTTCGACTCTTGTGTTGACGAAATTTCAGGGAATGCATCATTCAGCCTGCTGCGGGCGGATAGTTTCAACAAGGAAGTCATACTCGTACTCCAACATTCTCGCACAAGATTTCCATTTTCATCCATCTTGTGGATTCTCATTCGCGTGTCCTGCTGTGTATCCCGTTATCCCTCCATCCCCCTGCGGACCGCCTTCCGCTTCCTCTTGGCTTGAACTGCTACTGTCGGAATCACTTGACGCGTCCGCGAGATCCTCGAGCATCTCCATATGTGGCAGGACCTGCGGATTCCCGGGCTCCATCTCCAGGATCTCTTCGGCTAGCTTCAATGCCTCTTTCCACCTGAGAGATGCACCAGATAGAGGCTTAGCAATAGCGCCTTGGCAACCTTAGAAAATTGAAGAAACTAAGAGTAACACAGGTGAAATGATGAGAGCCTTCCTCTCTTGGATACCGTACTTATACATAGTTAGATGCTTTTAGATGCTTTTAGTGTCTTAGGTAGGCTTGATTCCGTCATCATTCATGTGGGCTCCAATAAAATGTTCTTGCTCGTAGAAACGCGTGTCTGGCTTAAAGGCCTGCTTCCTCACGGATAGAAAAGAAACACCTCTTATGCCTCAGTGTTTGCACGAAATTCATGCAGAGCTCGAGTACTCGCTTTTTTCGTAATGCGTCGTCATCTTGATCGCCTGGCGCTGTAGTGGACTTGCTTGAAGCAGCCGGCTCGACCTGCTCAGCCTCGGCGACACGCGCTGTGCCACTCCTTCGCGTCACCATATTTGTGTTCGCTTTGTCATGTACGTATTTGCTTATCTAGCCTTTTCAGTACCCAAGAAATTCAAAAACTCATATCTATTAGAATTAGAATTAGAAGGTCGCTGGCATGCGATCCTGCAGGGGCCAAGGCTCCAGCAAAGCTGGGCCTAAGAATCAATGCATTTCACAGACAACAGAAAAGTGAGGCGTCCTGAGTAAAGTCGGCGCCATTAGACAGAAACGATGTCCATGTGGTTCTTTCCGCTCCTCTCAGTGACCGACGAAGCACGTTTACATTTCTTCCTCTGTGCTTCACGAGCTAACAACAAAGTCCACCAAAGCATCCTTTCACGATCGCCGTCCCACGCGCCTGAGCATGCGCGTGCGCGTCCTCCATTGTAAACTAAAGCCTTAAGTCCCTCGCGGGACTGAAATGGCCTCAACTCGAAAAGCCTTAACATTTGCCCACTCCATTGCAGAATAACCCTTAAGGCCCTCTCGGGACTGCAATAGCCTTAACCCGAAAAACCTTAACATGCGCGCACTCCATGATAAAACCTTATGACCCTCTTCCGCGGGTCTAACGCCGGCCCAATTCGTGAAAGCCCCTGCTGCACTACTAAGCATGATTGCTCATTCACTCCTGGCCGCCTGCGCTTGCCAATCCGCCATTCACCACTTGAGCCTCGAAAGTATACCCGTATCGAGCCAGCGCCTGAGGACCATTTTTTCTCTTTTCCTTCTTCATTCGAATTCTCTTCAGTTCTCATCGTTTTCCGTTACATATCTAGTAAATGCGGCATTTTTCCCCGCCTACAACTTCTTCGTGCCCTCCTATAGACCCTGCCGCCGAGCTCCTACTCACTATCAACGCATCGTATTTAGTCATTGTTTTGGCGGCAGGGTCTCTCTACAATGTCGGGACACAGAACAAGATACGAGTACCCGATCTTACCAGGATCTTGTATTACAATCTACTGTCTTAGAAAAAAATGATGTGAACAAATCGTGTAAGTGAATAAATAGACTGTTAAAGAAGTAGACCCATAATAGCACTTCAAGATCGACATCGAGACGCACTGAATCTGAAAGCAGATAGGTAAGCCAATAACAGAATGCGGAAAACCCATCGTACCACCCGCCACAATATAAATCTTTCCCTCACGCTGCCTTCTATACAACATCACTGAGTGCCCATCTTGCATCACTCCAAGCGAATAACAGCCTTCACTTTTTCCATGCATCACTCGCAAAAAAAGGGCCTTCACTTTTTCCATTCCAAAAAACGCAAAAAAAGCGCTTTTTTGTACATTATTCGTCTCATAATGGAAATTTTTCATTTTCAGACGAATATTGCCCGACTGATCCCTGAAATTCATTCGGCAAAAAAACCACTGACTTTTCCATGTTCGCTTTTGGCATAGTGTTATTCCATCGTGCCATGATGTGCTCTTGCGAGCCTCGTTCTTAGGCGAGGGCTCATCGTCGACCTCGTCTTACATTTCAAAGTGATCTTCCCCACGTTACCGCATACTGTCCAAAAAAACCTAGTGCATTGTAAAGAGCCATGCTGGGCTGTGCACCTAAATTTGAAGAAATGTTTGAACTAACATGCTTTTTTCAAGCGAGAGTCTGTGGAGATGGTTGACGCCTGTGCTGCATAAATGCAGAACGATAGACAGAAGCGGAACGATAAGAATAAACGAGGCGCCCCAACATTCATAAGTCGCAGCGTTAACTAGGAGCAGGCTACGCTGGAAAACGCTGCGCAGTCATACAATTCGAACACCATTCAAGAAGCCAGAAGTAGCACCATCGGAGCATACTGCTGCGACCTAATCGAAAGGAGAAGACCGAGACGGAAGTGCGCACAGATGAAATCACTCAGAGCAATCTACTTGCTGAAAGATCGGCGCGACACTCGTGGTCGTGGCACGACGAAGGGCACAAGGAAACGACAGACGCAGAAGGTGACAGATTTACAAGACACACGGCGCGGGAGCACAAACCGAGTCGACGCCGCGTCAGAAGGTTAGCTTTGTTCTTGTTGCGCGGGAGAAAAGAGCGCCCTAAAGCGCAAAACTAATGGGGCGGGCGTCCCCAATCAATGAGAAACATAGCAAGCAACCAACGAACGACGGAGCTATGGCGACTAACCTGATGGCAGCGCGCCTAGTGTTTCGCATTTTCATGGCTTCGACCGAGAGTTATCATTAAAAGCGGCCTCCTTATACATAGACCACAGGCATCGCCATACTTTGCGAGCTAATTCATGCGCGCGGTGCTGTATTTATCCATGACGCTACTTGCTTGCGCAAGAACAAGCAAAAAAACCAGACAAGCCGAACAATAAAGAGAGCCAGAACCTTCGAAAACGAAGAGAATGGCTCGAGTTGGTTGCGTCACTCATGTATTTATAAGCTAAGAAAGAACTTGGGGAGAGGGGGGGCAAAAAAGGAGAGACGCCATGGATGGACTTGAATCAGAAGCGAGGCAGCCGGCTGCTGTGTCAGTGCGTTGCCAGTCACGTCCGGACGTTCATGGCCGCTCAATTACTCAGCGAGACCACTCCAAGGAGTCAGCCTTGCTTTGTATGGCTCAACCCTCAACAGATCGCCAGCAAACAGCCCAAACAAATTCAAGCTGTGCGGACTTCTCTCACATGCGGCAACATGTGCCGGGACTAGCATAATCAGCACAACACCCAATGCGTTACGCACTTAAGTCAACAAACAAAAAGACCAGAAGGCGAAGCGAATAATCTCAGCAGGCTAGCCATTACGTAAACTATGCGAACGACCTTCGCGCCTTTTGCGATTTCGAACCCTTTCACCGGTTCCGCTCTAAACCGACTGCGGAACGATAGACCAGAGCACGACCCAAGAAAACTTTGGAGGGATAGGAATAAACACAGCGAACAGGCAAAACCGCGCACGACTTTCACAACTCGGGGCGGCGTTGGTTCCTGCCGTCGCGTTTCTCTCTATCGTCGGGGTCGCTCGGTGTCAGGATAGGAATAAACGCCGCCAAAATGGTGCAGGATTCTTATTTCTATCGCGTTACGCTCTAAAATTCTGCATATAATGACAGTACAAGAATAATTTTTCGCCGAAAATAACGACAAGAACTAAGAACCTGATAGATTCTCACAAACACGATACAGATGATTTCATAGAATAACTCCAACTGAGCTCTGTCGCAAGCCCTGAGGCAGCCAGAAGATCCCAGAAGCAGCCATCGATAGGAAACGATAAAGATGAGATGATGCGTCCGGGACTAAGTCTAAGACACCAGAATAAAAAATCAATCACGAAGCTAGAACGAGAAGGCCAACGAACAGTGTGTGTATGTCTCGAAGGTGACCCGTCAACACGTTGGGGCTTATGCGGCATTGTACTTGTGGCTTTGTCAGTGTCGGACACTCAACTAGGAAAAGCTACAAAGCGCCACCCGCACCTCCTACCAGAAAGGTTTCTTTTTCAATCCTATTCTTATCTTAGGGAGTATTGTATTTATACTCGTTATATATTAAAATCATTCATTCGGAACAATCTTGTGACCACACTCTCTGCGAAGTACCACAATCAATGGCTCGGCGGCCAAGCATATACAGATTTTACTCATTCCTTAATAAAAAATGAGAAAAACAAGAGTTCGGCTGCAAGAGAAAAAAATGGTTAATTTCATCTCGCAATTGTTTATTCCCAGTGGTGGCGCTAGTAGTTAACCCATTTACGGGGTACAGTCCGAAATTTGAAAAGGAACGGGGAGTGGTGAGGAAGCACAGCTGCTCGGCGATTGATTTCTTGTTTTGAGGTGCATTTGCAGTTGCAGGAGAGTGTTTGGTTTTGAGCATACTACCCAGGCTCTCCTTTCCCACTTTTTCTTTTCGCAGTTTTGTTTTCAGCCAATTTCGATCCAACCTATTAATTAGTCTAGCGTCTTCCGTTTTTCTTTCTCTCCTGCTTTGTTTAGTGTCTATCTTCTCGCCCGCTTTTTCTTCGAGCACTTCTCCTCGTGCCTGCGCATCATGAACACTTTCCGCCTGAGCTTCATGTTGGAGTGGTTTGCCAAGTCAAACTCGAGCTTGTAGAGGGGACAACACCCGACAGCGTATGGCCGGGCGGCGAGCAACGGCTGCCGCAGCGCCCTCAGATGGGACTAGCCTACAGATGCGAGCATCAGCTCCTACCGAAGTCCTCCCCGTGAACCTGCTGTAGACATGCTCCTCTGGCCAGCTATTTAGTTTTTCTGCTGAGAGATACGCCAACAGCTTGGTTCGCGATAGACTCATCCAATACGAAATATTCAGACAAATCTAAGTGACGTACGTCGCAGAAGGATCGATGGGTCCAATCTCAAGCCTGATGAATAGTAGGGAAACCACGGAGTGAACAAAAACCTGCAGGAAAAAAAATGCCTGCGGCTACTTTCCAGAAACAGTTGGCATTTGGAAAGGCACAATCAAACGAGATGAAAAAACGATAAAACCAACCCCGACAGAGAGCACGAGCAACAGCTCCATTGATCCTCCATGTGCGTGCACTTGCCGCAAATAGAATGAATCATATGAAGCAGGCCCTGCAGCACCCGACACACGTATCAGAACAAATCAACTGTTACTGTTTGTGCCTCAAGCCAATCATAAACTAAGTGAGTGAGACAGTACTCAACCAAGGCATTATCCAGCTACATAAATACTGCGACAAAAGCAACCCTGCCGAAGGAGACCGCAAGGGTGCTACTTTGCGCCTTCACTATATCATGTACAATTTGCAACTCTGCCGGGGTCATTTAGCACAACCACAGCAGAAGGCGTCGATCATGCTGATACAACATCATGATAGATTGAACAGCCCGGTCTAGCTCTAGTTTGTAATGCGCACCAACTAATCCAAGAACTAAGGAAACAAGGTTCCTTAAACTGGTTCTTCTTCCTTTTTTTGCCAAATCGAATGATTAGACTTGCTTGCTCTTCCAGAGGTTTGGTCGTGTGACTCTTCTATCAGAACCGACACCTCCTTCTTTGTTGGGGATACTGATTGTTCATTTTTCTTCGTATCAAAGCATGCCCATCATCCCTATGCTGATTATTCGAAGCAAGGACGTGAATCCATCAAATGTTTCTTAGATACAAGAAGTAGTTCCATGGAGCGAACCTCCGACCAGAAGTAACTATATGTGAAAAATCATTGACCACATGACATTTTTCCTACACTGACAAAACAGGAACACGCTTTGCCGCCATGCGGCTCCGGAAGATCCCTGTCTAATATTTCCACACACGAACGTCTTCAATCATGTACATCATGTCCTCGTGACTGAGATCGAAATTTTTTCATCTTGAAGATGAGGAGGGTACTTCGTACGTAGCTAGTTGTATAGTACCCCACGCCACACGTTGTAGGGGTCGCGGTGTTGATTAAATGATCATGAAAGTAAGTTCGTCGAGTTCTAAATCAGGAACAACGATTAGTATTTTTCTCATTTAGGAGCTCAACTTGAGCCACTAACTTGTTTACGCGGTACTTGAAGAACTGCGTTAGTACTAGATTTGGACAACAAGGTCAGCGGAAAGTAAACATGCCCAAAGAGGGGGAAAATGGTGGCTAGCCCAGCCAAAGAAAAAACCTGTAGTCACCTGAAAACCCCAGAAGGAAACTACAGTCAACTCATCAGAACCGGCATAGGGAGGGTTGCAAAACTTCCCTAAGAAGACCCATTCTAAATCAGCCTGATGTATAGATCACGACGTCGCATAGGAAGTTCTTGGGTACTTCTTGTAGTTAGAACAAATGTTCATTTTAATCTTATTCTGAATAAGTTAGAACAAATGAAAATGAATCATGTCTGTCTGAGTGGCAATCTTGTTCATCTTCATGTTCTTCTTTCAATGGATTTAATGGTTACCATTTTGTTGGGGAGGGATACGTCTTGAAGGGGAGGATGGGTGGAAGGGTAGCGTGACATGGAAATTCTAATTCTGCTTCTCCTATTTCTGGTCGATGTTCGATGATAGCGAGGAGAGGATCCAGTTTCCCGTCGTCTGCTCGACAGCAAGCGTGAGAATGCAAGGAGAGGTATTTGCATCTGCCCGTGATATACTCCCGGATTTGTCGGCGTCTTTCGGAAGCGACTAACTCAGTCGGAACAAAAGCCCGCCACAACAAGGACAGCATCCCTAAAGTTTAGACCCCCCATCTTGTTTTTGGCACTTCTATCACAAGAAGCTATCCTGTTGAAACACTGCAATTGTTGATGGTAACCATGATGACGTCGAGGCACCTGTTCTTTCCCTTCACCAAGGAGGTGCACAGGCTTTCAAATAGGTGTGCTAACGAGTACACCAAGATTTTCGGTCTCGTTATTAAAGAAACGCACTTATTCTATGCTGTGTTCTTCTCGAACTGCATTATCTTCTCGAAAGACCTTCTAAAGTGATCTACTTCGTTCATTTATTAAGTAGGTTCGTTGTAGTACAACATTAAAAGATTGCAGTTGCACAACAAGTAAGTAGAACAGTCTTCTAGCTTCTGCTTCTAGTGTTGCGGATACATAGGCACAGCACAATCCTCCTTCATCGACTCGTCCCTCATGATCGCGTCGATACATCAAGCACCCTCTACCTCGTCTGACTCGCATTTTTAGTGTAGGGAAATGGAAATCCCCAGTTTCGCTAGAAACGCTTCGGGATCGATTATGGGCTCGCGGGGTACCATCACTAGTCGTGGCCAATCGCCGTTTTCCGGTTGAAACGAGTGGTTGTGAGGTGAAAAATATCCTGTAGTTTCATGATCGATCGTGTTTCCATGTGCTGCTCCGGGAGATAATTTCGGGCTCCAGCCCGAAAGACCCCAGCCGCCATCGCCCTGGAAAAGAGGCTGGTTAGCAGCTGAAGTTAAGTAGTCAGGCACTGACGAGGAATCGGAAAGACGGTCAGAGTCGTCCGAAATCGAACCCCGTCCACTGCGGTCGATGCGCATGCCGCTCATTGCAGTCGACGCATCATCTGCGCCGGCTGTATCTCGGCGACTCGGAAAAATCATCTTCGCGGCTTTGTTCGCGGCACCACTCGCCATACTTCCAATGAAGGCGCTTCCAATGTGCACGTTTGACCAAAGGGCATGAAGCGAATCCCTTGAGGATAGGGATGTGGATTCGTCGCTCGAAGAACCTAGAAGAATCATGTTGGAAACAATCGATCATTTTATTCCTAATACGACGAAATCGCGTGGATAAGTTATATATACGAGGACAAGGTAGACCTACATGGACCAAATGAGTCGTGCAAAATGAACTTGATAGAGCCAAGCTGAGGACGTGGCCTCGTGGTCGACCTTCGAGAGTGAAAGAAACTACAATGAATACTGAAGAAATGAGAAGAGTCTACCTACTACTTTATGACGACAGAGCTGAAGTGACAAAATAGACATACCTCCGTTTCCTCCACGTTGTGACAAGGAGTTCGCAGCGACTGCATTTCCGAGTGTCTCCTGTCCACCGGTTATGTTGTTTCCAGGACTACGAGGAGAGCAGTCTTCAGAAAGCCTAGGGAAAGCCTCTTCCTCACCACCGGAAAGGGAGTCCATGTCATCGACGTCCCCAGAATGCAAATTCGGCAGCTGTGGCATTGCTGCATGATCATCTGTAGTATTCAAAGCAGGTGCAGCAATCTCCACGTTTTCCATCTTGGGAAAATCCTCGAGGTATGATCCACTGTTTGTTCCTGCTCCTTGGCCTGTCTTTCCGATTCCGGTGCTGGTGGAGCTGGCTTCCACACCAGTACCCCGCGCTGCAGCATTGTCTGGATGGTCGTGCGCGGAATGAAGCTCAGAGGCATATGAGCCTGGGAAATCCTCGTATGAGCTCGGGAAAGCCTCCAGGCCGTCTTGCACGGATCCGGGAAAGTCGTGCAACGAGCCTGGAAAGGCTTCAGAACCTTGCTCTTGTAGAGAACCCGGAAAGGCTTCGGAACCCTCTTGCAAGGAACTTGGAAAATCCAAAGAGCCTCCGCCGCCTTGCGAAGAGGACGATGATCCTGCTATAAATGGATCGTCTCTTGTATTCGGCGTGCGCGTACTCAAGTCGACTCCGAAGCACATGGAATCTAACTGGCTACCTTCGTTCAACCAGCACGACGAGTGACCGGCATCATACACAAAGTCCTCAAACGACCCGTCTGATTCACACCGGGAAAGGTCGGACGATGAGTACACGGATCCAGCAGGCGACATTCTCCCAGGTGGAAATGGAGCTTTGCCTGTGTCGTTTGATGTCAGTTGCTCCTGGCCCTCACTCCCGCAGCCACTTGGGGCGCTCTCATTTCGTCTGGTTTCAGACGTGGAGGAGGAAATTATTTCATTCTCCGAGCCGACAGCTTCGTCGCCTGCCATCGCCCCACCTACCTCAGTGCCATTGCCCTCCACACCAGCGGTATTCGCAGCAGCTCCACCATCGAAGAGAGGCGTATCTTGCGCTGATCGAGCATCTGCCCAACTCCGTGTCCTGCGAAAGCAAGACGACGAAAGGCACTGCTCTTCAATGGAAGAAGATGCGGTGTTCTGCCCCTCCTCCTGTCCAGCCAATTTATTACAACTACTAGCGGTATTAGAAGTGCTAAAAGGAGTTCCACTTATTATTTCGTCACTTCCAGCAACTGCGGTCGTCGAGCTCGAGTCTCCAGTGTTAATATTGGCTTGTTCTTGTGCTTGATGACCTGGGCCCGCCGCAGATGAAGATGTTGAATGAGCACCAGGTCCACGTCCTTGGGGGTCATTCCTTGCTGCACCACCTTGTGCAGATGGCCAGTCCAGAAAGTGGTCTGGAATATTTCTTCGGACTCGGGCGCGACGCAACCGAACATTCTGTGGCTTCCTTCCGTTGGCCGCAGCCTCATTGAGCCATTCTTTGAGAGCCTCGTCATCCGAGGAGCCCTTACTGATCACGTCTAGAAGCTTCTTGCGGATCTGGGCCCCCTCTTCGCCGCCTGCCGCCTTATTGTGTTGAGTGTTTGTATGTGTTAATCGCCGCAAGTGCGATCCTTTGTAGCGCAAGCAATCGATTGCGGACACGGAACGCGCGCGACCGATCGCCGATACTGCAGCCGCACCGGCGCTCCTTGCTCGCGCAGCGGGTGTGAAACAGTGCAGCTGGTTATATTGATCTACGCTTACAACTAAAGTGGGAGAAGTGGACGACCACGCTTGCTGTTGCAGCTGCGACAAGGGGAAATTGCATGCGGGATCAGCTATAGTAATCTGCATCGACGTTGTTGAGTCGCCCAGAACAGTGGTCGTTGATGGCGCCGAGGTATTTGTAAGTTTTAGCCCATTTTGTTCAGCAGTGTGTGTAGCAGCCACACCCCCAGGAGTGCTTGGTGTTGCTGGATTCGAGGTGGCTATATTTTCTCCAGATAAAGTTCGTCCCGTCCAGTCCACACCAGATTCTGTTGCATCCTGCTGCACCTGGTTCTCCCCTGCAGGGGAAGAAGGGGTGTGCTTCCGATGTAGTGGGAAAGCTTTGTGCTGTAATTCGGAGGGCAGTGCGCCGGAGGCAGCACTTCCTACTAGAACAATATTCGTTCTACTCGAAGATGAGGAGGACACACTACAGCGATCATCGTCTGAGCGGCTCCTCAACATTTGAGGAGCTGGATGTAGCTCCCTCCTATCGATGAAGCCTCCATTTGAAGGATGATCCTCAGCAGCATTCCTCGGCAAGCATGCTGCATCGCCGCTATTTGCACACTCGTTTCCTCCGAGTCCGGCAAGATTTGGGCTTCTGGGGTCTGTCGCAGCGAAAATACCACTAGCCGCGAACGCTAGAGGCTTTTTCAAGATTGACTTCGGTTCCCCGAGCAGGGTACCGCCGCCAGCAGAAAGTGTTCTTCCGAGGGCAGTCCGAGAAGAGGCGGACTCCGTTCTTTTTGATAGTGTATTTTTCTCACTTGAAGCTGACATCGTACCAGCATAGTGATCGAGTCTCTTTCCTTGTTCTCCCGCTTCTATGCTCTCTTGCGTCAGCGAAGAGGAATCGTTTTTCGTTTGCTCTGTTACTGAATTCTTGGGGGCAGCGTTTTTCGGCCGAATTCGAATCAACTCAACAGGTGAAAGGCCCTGTGTTTGGGGCTTTGCTAGGCGCTTGCTTTCTGGGACGTTGTCACGCCTGCGGTGTCTCTGAGCAGTCATTTCTTGCGCAACTTTCATCTCTCTGACCCAAGCCGGATCGTTGCGCGGGTTCGTCCCGAGTGGAAGCAGGAGAGCCAGCTGCCAGATGACTACCGCCGTTAACAGAACGAGGAGGACGATCAGAATTACGAGCAAGGTGGTGTACAATCTCGACTTGGTTCCAGAATAGTGGCTCTGTTTTGCATTCCGCTCTCGAAGCTCGGCTAGAGGAGCTACAGTCATTTTGAAGTATTCGTCCAGATGCGCGTGTCGCGACGCAATCGTGTTATACTCAAACATCTTGCGCCAGGCTGTTACCCCCGCCATCGTCCTATTCGAACTCCCTCCACTATTCATTTCTTTTTGAGCCGCAGCTCTAAGCTTTTCTAGCCGCTGGTCTCGAAGATTCGCGTTCTCAGGATCACTGGTAGCTTCAAAATATGCGACGAGGGCTGCTCTGTGGCGCAACCCCTCGCTGGACCCACTCATTGTTCTCGGTTCGCTAGCGGTCGCTTTGGCTTGATGGTTCGAAATTATCTGTGTCTCTCTTCTGCGCGAAGTCGGCTCGCGCCTTGAGGCTCCTCGAGCCTGTCCAAAGTGAGCCGCAACTCGACCTGAATGTTGATTTTCATTGAAAATAAACCTCGAAAAATAAATTTGTACGACTGTTTTAACGCTTCACGGCGAGTATTCCCCACCGGGTGTCGCTATGTTTGTCACTCCTTTTAGCCTCTAGTTTTTCTTCAAATCTTATATCGAGTCAGCTCATAAAAAAGTGATGTCTAATTCATTGTCATTGGGGGGTGAACAACAATAAGACAAATCTGAGTACCTTCATCCTCACGGCTACAGCTTGCACATATCGGCGCTCCGCGTCGTGGTGCGCCCGGCTGGACACGTTCTGCCGCTTGGTCTTCGGCCCTGAGTTGCAATTGAAAGGAAGACTCTTGGACAAACAAGATAGTAAATGGACCACTTTAACAATCTCATAGGCCTAAGAATTCAAGAGTCGACTCTTCTTATATTATGGCTAGAGCAACAGAATACTATAGCAGAAAAATAAAAACTCATTTTTCAAAATCTATCTACTTATAAAGTCTTGCCTTTGTTTTCTTTTTTCATTTTGGGCTTTGCTTTTTCTTTTTTGGTTTTGATTTCTCTTTTTTAATTTTGAATTTATATTTTGAATTTTGAATTTACTTTTCGAGTTTTGAAGTTACCTTTTGAATTGCGAAAGTTAGAACATGAGTTAACTTCGAAAGTTAGGACACGAATTTTGAAAGTTAGCTAGGACGTGAGTGCTAAAAGTTAGGACGTGAATCCTGAAAGTTAGGCCATAAATTCTGAAAGTTAGGACATGAATTTTGAAAGTTAAGGCGTGAACTTTGAAAGTTAGGGCATGAATTCTGAAAGTTACGACATGAATTGGGAAAGCTAGGGCATGAATTTCGAAAGTTAAGCCATGAATTTTGAAAGTTAGAACATAAATTTTGAGAGTTAGGAGATGAATTCGGAAAGTTAGGACATGAATTTTGAATGAAAGTTAAGGCATGAACTTTAAAAGTTCGGACATGAATTTTGAAAGTTAGGGCGTGAGTTTTGAAAGTTAGGACATGAGCGCTGAAAGTTAAGACATAAACTTTGAAAGTTAGGGCATGAATTTTGAAAGCTAAGGCATGAATTTCGAAAGTTAAGCCATGAACTTTGAAAGTTAGAGCATAAATTTTGTGAGTTATGTTAGCAGATGAATTCTGAAAGTTAGGGCATGAATTTTGAAAGTTAAGGCGTGAACTTTAAAAGTTCAGACATGCATTTTGAAAGTTAGGGCATGAATTGCGAAAGATAGGACATCAGTTTTGAAACTTAGGGCGTGAATTTTGAAAGTCAGGGCGTGAGTTTTGAAATTTAGGGCGTGAATTTTGAAAGTAAGTGCGTGAATTTTGAAAGTTAGGGCATGAATTGATAAAGTTAGGGCATGAATTTTGAAACTTAGGGCATGAATTTTGAAAGTTAGGACTTCTTCCCTTTAGTTCGTTAATGTTGCACTTCTTCACTTTCCCCCCTCCTTGCATGTCTTTTACGTTTCCCGTCTTGCGAATGTCTCGCGCTCCCTTCGACTCCTTCCCCTGGGGAACCACTCCAGGGGGCTAGTTCTTTTCCGCTATTTAACTAACTAGTTAAACCAGAGAGACAAGTGGTGGCCACGAGGCGACATGCGGACGCGGTTGCAGAACGGTGCGAGGAAGAGTGGCAAGAAGATCAGGCTGCTGCGAGCGTGGACTACTGAGGTTGTGAAGATCCATTTCCTTGCGCTGCTCTCTTCACGAAGCCGTAGACCTTGGAGCACTAGAGTCTTGCTCTTCGTTACTTCTACTAGACCGCTTTCAGGGCAGCCTCTCCATCTCGCCGCTTCACTTCTGCAGTTCCGCTTCCGCCTTCCGCATGCTGCCTCTTGACCACCACTTTTCTATCCTAGTTAACTAGCTAGTTAAATATCTAAAAACAAAGTTAAAAATAGATTTTTATTCTGTAGCTAAAGTATTCTGTTGCTCGAGCCATATACATATTATCATATTTATAAGAAATGAAAAATATCGTTTGTATCTCTAACATGATAAGAACCTAGGATTTTGATTTTCCCGTGAAGTATATTTTGCGAAGATGACGAATCGGAAAAGTCCGATTCGATGTTATCTATTCAGCAGAACATCAGGAGTATACCGTTGAGCCACTGTGAAAAGCTCTGCTATTCTGTGTTCGAGCTGCGCTTCATGCGCTTTTTGCCCAACAGTTGGTAAAGTCTTCAGAACTGGCTTCTTTCTGGTCTTACTCTGATCCGTGCCTCGCTCTGCTAGAATCCAGTTGTGCTGGAGCAAAGATCGTACCGCCTGCTCGGATTCACTGTGAGCATCAGCTCCGTTTACTTTTACGGGCTGGAGTTCCTGGCAAAATGCGGTCAATATTTGTTCGCCTGACTCTGCGCGCGCTCCCGTTGTGACGGCCTCCAAGAGACAGCTCTCGGATCCGATCCCTCCCGTTATTCGATACCATTTTGAAGGTACACTAGGCACCGTAACGATGTCTCCTACTTTCGTTGTGTACGGCGAGAATGCCTGACCCAAGAATGCCGAGGATAACGCAGGGGACGCTGCGAGAGAACCTAAGAGCACCCAGAACCGAGCAGCCGCGCGACCTAGCATCGGCCGCCTATCGTTGTTCACACTGCAGCCAACCATTGTGCGTGTTCGTCACGTGTGTCCAGATAGACACCTCAGGAGTGAGTCTAATGTCATCAATGTACTTGGTACGGAATATTATAGTAGTTAGAAGTTGTTCCCCTTGATGTACGAGTATTGACTATTACAGCTACCTTTTCTGCTGCTGGTTCGATGGTTTATTGGATACCATGGTGCTGTGTGTGATGGGTTGGTAACAAGAAAAAAAGGTAAGGTGAAAGAACCTTAGTTAGCAATTAGAGATTTATTTATTAAAAGTATATAGGAAATTAATATAGCTAGCTAAGAATAAGGTACGGTATATTATAACATAATGTGTGAGTGTAAGTACTAGAGTGGTTGTACTACGTTGTATGAAAAGCTTGATCGATGAGTTAAATGAATCTTCTCCAGGCTCGCCGCACAATCAAAGTACGGAGGGAAAGGATACGAGCCAGCTTCTTATTCTTATGTGTAAAAGTAAGTTCTAGAAAAATGATTATGCCTTGAAGAAACGCAACTAAATCTCATTCCCGACAATGATGACATCAATTGATACTAGCCCTATTCTTTGTTTTTTACGAAGAAGACGAAAAACCTGAAGCTGACATCAGATGACGGGAAGAGAGACTGACATTCAATATTTCCGGTCGTAGAGCCCCGAGTAGAAAATTGCGACAGATAATTACCTAAAAATAATCCTAACTCAATTTCAACAATCCAATCCTACGGGAAAATTAGTCATGTACCAATGCAACTTGCGGCGGCGGGAACTAAAAAAGAAATACTCCTCTACGCAAAAGGATCAAGAAGAAAACTCGCTTCGTGATTTTCGTTTAAGAAAAGAGGTTGCTAGTAACTAAGAAATCTGGTCGACGCTGTCGAAGCACGTTAAACCTCCGTAGACAAATCGTGGTCGACTGCAGCCTTCAGACACAAAAAACTATGAGAATCATGAATAAAAGAACAGATCCAGATAGAAGCTTAGTTCAGTCTAGAACTCATTCTACGAATTCTTTCTCAAGATAAATTACGTGCATCTTCGAATCTGTATCAAGTCCTCCTAGATTTCACCGCACTTTTGCAACGACGATCGATCTTTCGTTCTTTCCTGAAGTTGATGGAGCAGCAATTGTACCAATAACTAGTGTAGTCATGTGTAGTAGACAATACAGAAGTAGGCCTAGCAAGTAGTTCACTCACTCGCTGTTGCCAAAACGATAACTGGAGTCGGAATCAACGAGAAGATTCAGAGCTAGTAGCGCTATTGGCAGTCAGAAGTGAGAGACGCTGTTGCTGCAGGTTAGGTCGTTCCTTATTTTCTTGTATTTATCTAATCTCCTTATATTGTTCTTTGTATTTGCTCCCCGTCCGATATAAAATACTTGTACAAATGTCACACGTGCAAAATACCATAACATGAAAATTAAAATTAGGACCTCTGGTGCAATGGTTATAGTCTGACTGGTATACAAGCTAGGAAACCGGACTGGTTTTGCAAACCGGATGATCAATTTGCGAATGTCGTGGTAGCCGGTGTTCGATGTCCCCGATTGCCTTTCACAGCCTCTTTGAGTCGGAATGTCCTCACACAGGAGTGGAGAACAGCGACAATTAATTCGATAAATATTTTGCGGATCTGCCACGGGCTTCGGACCGGTGCAAGTTCTAAAGAAGCAATAGAAATACAGTTGTAACTTCTGTGCCCCCGGGAGATGACTAAGTAACACAAACTCTTTCTGCCAGCCTAAAATAAGGCGTAGATATTTATGGAGATATGACCAAACCAAATAAACCTCCTCCTGTGAGAATCAGTAGTTGCACCCACTTTTTTCCTCCTTTTCCTTATCGTTGCTTTTTTCAAATAAGATCTCTACTTCTTCTAAACTTCCTTATCTTTTCTTCTAAATGTGAAATGAATTTGTAGAAAGAACCTTCAATGTTCAGAGGGGGGTTTCGCGCTGGTCGAGCGAAGCCTCCTAATTAATTCGTCGTACACCAATACGAGAAGGGAAATCATATCACAAATTTCACACAAGACGTAAATCTTTCACACTGTCTATATTATCTCCTTTAATAGTTGGTGGTGATCACAATCCCTACACTTTTGGAAGAAATACGTATCTCACTTTCTAGATAGAGCTCATAGGGCGGCAGAGGACAAAAAAGCACCCACTTTCAAGAGCTTCTTCTTCCGTGATCACAACAGTGATCATGAATGGGTAGATTATACCAACGAACATGATAGAACAACATAGATACATAGCATGCAGATGCACATCGATGTAACTACAATGAATCTCCTCGTCCTCAACCTACTTCTAAAACAGATCAGAAACCACCTCCAGCCAATAATTATAATCAAACTCAGGCTTCTATTACAGATCAGAGACGGAATTGAGATGAGCAAGCGAAAGTCGAACGATCCTGATTGGTCAATCCGATGCTTTCGCGTTGTTCTATATAACCTGAGTAGAATGAAATTACAATGTCACGATTCCAATTTTTCGCGAGACAACCAGAGTTGCAGGCGTGTGGGTTTGCTAGTCTTTTTATATCTGACTCTGGATTCCGACCACGACCAAACCAAATTCGTATCTTCGCCCTATGAATTCTTCTATGTCTATGATTTACAACACAATACAAAACAACTCATGTCTCTGGTATAAAAATTAGCCAACCTGATATGGTACGATGTGACGAGGACACAACCAGCACAGTGGTGTATAGGATTTCTACGATTAAATTTGGGTATGCTTTGTAATTCATATTTAGACTGATAGATAGATGACGACGATGATGATGATATACCCAGTCATTTACATCACCTTTCTTACTCCTCATTCGACCAAGAATAAGATTTTCTGCTGCAACGAACTTCTTCGTTCATTCATTTACCTAGCACACGATTAGGTACCTTCCGTCGCTAATAGAAATATGATTGTCTTCTTCTAACAAACTACGGGCTTCGGAGATTCATACTAAAACACGAAAAACAAATGAAGAAAAAACAATAGCTCGGACAAGAAACAAAAGACTCACTTCGAGCAAAAAAACCGAAAAAAGCAATTCTTGCCTTCCGTCCTCACCTCAAATAAAGTGTTAGAAACGTTACTTGCTTCCAGCACATATTCCTCACACTAAAAATAACTAGGAATGGCAAAAGCATGCTACTAATTTCCTCCCTGTCCTGTCCGAATTAGTTTACAAAAAGATATGTCACAAGGTCGATAATGATTTCTCCCATAGGAGAATGAGATGAGCGCTCATGCAAATCAAAAGCATCTCGGAGGTGGCATAGACTTTTTATATTCTCGATCTTGAAATAGTAATCATTGGTTGATCATGGATCTCTTTCATCACAAGTTGCGTTGTTGCATGTTGTTGATCTTTGCGCCGAATTTGCTGATCTCAAATTGCGAGAACTTTAAAGATGGATCTCTATACGCACTATACGCACAACGGGGAGCCAAGACAAGCTTGGCTTTGCAAATCTGAGGGATTTTTGTGTGGTTCTGTTCCAGAGGAATCTTGTTCACCGTCAGTAGACCACTTTAAATCTATATTTCTGCACCGATCTTTTCTTTACATACTCAAAAGAGCAGGAGACGCAAAAACTTTGTTTTACCAGGAGTGCTTTACTGGCGCTGCTATCTGAATTCGGATTGGCACATCAATGAAACTCAAAACTTTCGTAGATTTGTAGACATTTTCTTTTTCTTTCGTAGCACAAGGCTGCTGAAAAGCAGGAGTGTCCAATAACTTTCAATTGTTCGAAAACTTGCAATCAACGCACAACTACTCCGAGGTCTGATCAACTACGATTCTACTAGAACTGTTCACTTCATACATGTTGGAAAAACCTGCTTGTTTTTGACATCGAACCTTGACGCAACTGTAAACGACCATATCGATAATCTCCATCTCCGTGGAAGCAAGCCAAGAAAATCATTCATTAGTACAACAACCTAGTATCCTTATTAATTTATTAAAATATTCATTGTATTAGACTTGTTACGAACGTCATACCTCTGAGTCTTTATGCTTTAGAACTACCTACGCCATACCAATACCATTTTGATGCAGGGATTCTTCACCCTCATACAAGTACTAAATCTGAGTATTTTTTCTAGGCAGGTTCATCAGCTGCAGATGCGCCTCGAAGCAGAATGTTGTCCAGGAGGACAGCTGCACTGTCCAAAACGTGGTCAAAGGCGCATTTGTCCAGCTGGGAAAACGGCTGCTTTCCGATAACTTCTACCACAAGCTGAACAGCGTTGTTTGGTAAGCACGGACGCAATAAAGGGCTGGAAATAGCTGAATTAGACCTTACCTAAATCCATCTTCATCAAGTTGACAACAGCATCTTCATCTTGGTGGTGTAGTTTTCCCTTGTCTACATCAGGAGCACTCTTTCAAGGACAAGATGCTTCTTTCGAACCTGAAGATGGACTAAGAAATGAAGTCTTATTAAGTGCTGAGGGACCAAGAGGCGTCAACTTGGTCTGTGGGTAGCGCAACAGCGTGCGGAGGAAGTGTTGGATCATCTCTCGGTCCTGACCGAAGGGAGGGCTGCAGGTGCCACAAAGCAAAGAAACGCCCTTACCAGCAGACGAGGTATCACGCGGTAGCAGATGAGAGACGCCGTCCACCTCTGGATCCATAAATACGTTTCGCCGGTGCAAATCTCGACGAGCGGACTCGTCCGATAGGTTCACCGTTTGTCCGGATCGCGCAACGTAGCCAACTACTCCGCGTGTGAGCGCATATCGAACATGGTGTCGGTGGCGCGAACCCACGGGAAGCTCAAAATTGAACCCCGCGAAAGGCGACAAAACCAAACAATCCTCGAACCGCAATAAAATACGGACATTGTAGCAATTGGCAAAGAGGTCCTCAAGGCCCTTTTTCAATGCTGTCTCGAAACGCGCAAGTGCGTCTTTCAACCCGCCACCTGTCACGATGATAGTTGTTAAGTAGATCTTCGACTGTTGGGGGCTTCCCGAATGTGCGATGATCATTTCACTTTCATCGAGGACAATGGGACAACACGAACGTCGACTGCAGTATCCACTTCAATAATTTCTCATGATGTTGTAGTTGTAGAGGCTTAAACTACAACATGCAATAGAAAGTGAGTACATCCTTCCGTCATGCTTTTACAATGAATACATAGGGAGTACCTCCTTCCACAAACTGATTTCCCAACGTGCGTAGGCTGCGTGCGAAGCACAGTGCGTCGTGCGAGGCAGTGAGCGTCCGACAGCGAGCGTTGTGCTGCATCAGCAAGTGAAACACGTCAATTGCGCAACTTCCCACAAACCGAACTGGGGAAAGGTGCGTTTCTCCTATGACGAAGGCTCGCCGCACAGTGTCGAGGCGTACCGCACGACTTACCTTTGCTCTCGTGCGAGCAGCGGCCTCGTCGTGTTTCGGGGACCTCGTCAATGTACTCGTTGCTTCTACACCAGATGTTGAGGGCATTGCTGGTGAAACTGCAAGAAGCACGCTACCGTGAAGCTGGTTCATCTGACTTTTCAACCGTGCTGGACTACTTGCACTACTAAAAGACAGCGTTTTCGATGTCGCGTTGTAGGAGCTTTGTCGTGGCAGTGCATTATTTGCACTGGGAGATGAACGTGGAGAAGGCTCAGGATTTGATGTGCCAGGATGACCTTTGTTCGTCAACCCCATCCACTTTTGGACCTCATTCACGAGCCGATCGATGATTGGGTCGGTGCCGCGCGACGTTAGACCACTATTAAGAATAGAAGGGTTCTTGTGCACAACAGATGAAGGACTGCGCATCGAGCTTGTTCCTTGGTATCCCGAATCTCCTTCTTGTTGTTCACGGTCATGAAGCGCATTGTCGACGCATTCATAATCTACTTCTAGATGGAGGAACCAGCGATGCTGAAGATTGCGTCTTGAAAAAGCATGAAGATCGCGCTCCTTTTGCTCCCCAGGTCCCCCAGGAGGTTCAAGAGATGATCCACGACCTCCACCACCACGAGTTGTCCTAATATTCTGGTCGGGAAAATCATTCTCATGATGACCCTTCGGTGACGAAGTACTAGGTGACAACGACTTCATGGGCGACCGCAAATGCGTTGTGGACGGACTTTGACCAATTGCAACTGAGGCAAACGATCGTGTCACTTTCTGCGTGGACCTCGCTGTCGGACTACCTGCTGTCCTTGATACAGCAGCTGATGTGCTACCTCCGGTGCAGTTAGTACTCGCTGTGGCGCACAGTTCGCCTTGCAATTCCAAAACGACGCTGCCCTGACGCCAGATCGGCAAACTACGAAGCGTTCGAATAGTCAGGCTCCGTCCACGATGAGGCTGCGTATCATGAAGAGGGCTATTGTTTGTGCATGCTCGTCTGTTCTCTGATAGCTCATGCTCAAGTGTACTAGCTGCATTTCTATTAAAAGCAAGAATGTTTACTAAAAATAAACGAAAATCACAAGACTCACAAGAGTCAGTATTTGCAATTGAAAAAAGTTTCCATCGCATACAGTAGAGAGCAGACCCATGTCGAAACCCCGTCGATGACAACGCGCTCAACAAAGAGTTGGCCAGTCTGTAGCTCGATTTTTCCAGAAGAAAGCATCAATTCGGGTACAACGTGCGGAAATATGTCGCCTTGAAGGAGCAGCGTGGGTCGCACAAAATTGTCGCAAAACAGGCTTTGCAACGCGCGGAGAAAGATCGCTAAGAAGCGCGCTCCGCTACCTTTTTCCGGATCATGACACAGATGCTCCTCTTGTGTTCGGTAAAAAGGAAATTTACTTCTGTCATCGCTCATTAGCGGTGGCCAGTTGTGCTCGGGTGAGTCTTCGCCATCCTCGCTAGTGCCCCTGACGCTGACGAGCAGTTGCTCTTTGGAACTATAATTTTCCGGGTGTACTTTGACTGTTGTCCGCTCAACACTGGACCCACTTCTTGTCGGAGATCTCATCCTTATATGGTGAAGCTGGTCCTTTCCTGCGAGGGGAACAGAGGCGGGCCCTGCCTCGGTTGACGAAAGTACAGCAGGGTCCACAGGGATATGCAAAATTTTCAATAGACGCAAAACAGCTGACTCCACTTTCACAGACGGCACGCGCTCAAAGAGCCGCTTTGTCACAGTCCACAGGTCCCCACAACGCAGCAAATCATCCCACAAGCGCCTGCTTGACGCCAGCACTGCCTCTAGCGTTTCGTCGGCTAGTCGTAAGCGTGGTTCTCCTTCGTCAGCTTGTTGCCTGAGAGCAAGCTCAAAATCAGGTACGTGGTACGTCGAACTAGAAAATGAACTATGTTGAAGAGTACTCGCAGTCGTGCTGGATGCCATACTTTTAATATTAGCAGAAGCATGAGTATCATCTGCTTCATTTTGATGTTCAAGCCCCCCGACTGCTCCAGCGTCCGCCGAAAGATCAGGAGAAAGATCAGGAGAATCCCCTTCTCGTCCCTTCAAGGATGCAGCCCCCTTCATCTGCTGCGTGGACTGAACAAGAAAGGACTCAGCAAGGGCCTCCTTGAGGCATTCCAGAAGCTCGCGTCGAGTCCGGCTGGCCCCGCGCATGGAGCTTACCCGGGGCACTCCGCCACGGAGGACAAGAGAGCTGCTCGCCGCGCGCCCTACGCCACCACCCACAGACCTGAGCGCCGAAACGGACTGACTGCCAAAAGCGCGAGTGAAACGAAACCGCTGCTGCGAATATCGCTGCGACGCCAGGCGTCCAGTGTAGCCACCGCGCGTCATCCGTCCTGCTGTTGAGAAGCGCCGCGAAGCACGGCTGCGTCGCTCCCCTCTCCTAGCCGTGGTCATCCTGTCGTGGCCGAACTTCATTGCCTCCTTCGTGAATCTTGCACTCTTGATCTTCCCGCTTGTAATGCGAAGGTTTTCATCGTTTCTTGAGGAGGGCGAGTGTGTCGACTGATGGTGTGAAAATTTAGAGATGACCATTCCAACAGCCTCACCATTAGCATTACGCGGCTTACGTAGGAAAACTGTCTTCAGTCTCGTCTTGGTGGAACTTAAGTGGGTGGAACTCACTATGTGCGACCTGCCATTTCCATCAGGCGCTGTCACTTTCAAGCTCTGCAGGCAGCCTTATATTTTCTGATAGTACCAAATTGTGCGATGACGTCTCGCATGAATCTAAAACTACCACTACGTAGTCTTTGCAAACTATAGATACTACGACTGCAGGTCCTTAAAAGAGTGCAAGTGTCCGCTCGACTCGGATGGGCTACCACTTGGAATTGCCACAACGTCATCTGCTTCGTCTTCTTCTGCGTCATCTTCAATTGCTTCTGTGATTCTTTTGTCAATGGACGTATTTTTCTGCATTACCTCAGACATTCGTGAGAAACGATAGCCATCGCTCTGGAGGGGTCGGAGCGAGAGCGTACGCCGTCTCTCGGAGCCCTCTGCCCTTCTTCGTTTTCTTCTCTTCCTCTTGTTCTTTGCGTTCTGACGTCCATCTTCAGAAAGAAGTGCAGCTCCATTTTTAATATTTTTCTTCTTTTTACTCGTGTCTCTTGTTCCATGGTACTCTCGACGTCTACGACAATTTCGCGACCGCCCTTCCACATCATCGGGCTCGTTGGAAGATTTTGGTACCACGAGATAATTCCTATTCCACGTACGGCAAGTTGATACTTTTCCTACCATCGCTCTTTCAGCGTCCTCTTCTCTGGAGCTGACCGAAGAGGCAGAACTGTCACCGCTCGTTCCGCCACTATCACGTGACGAGGATTTATCATACGAATAATCGCTGCTATCATCAAAAGCGCTACAGCCAGAGGAAAGCAATTGCGTAACATGATCTTGTAATTTGAAAACGCGTTTCTCGTAACAGTTTCTCAAACTTTCGCTCTTTATAAGCTTCCACCGCATGCCGCGAAGTCGCCGGCGTAAGTCTCGTACTTCTTTGCGCGCATCGGCCAGAGCTTCTTCTGCTGATTTCGGGACGCTAAGGATTTCTTCGCCTTCCGTTGCTCCGGGTAAACCGTCTGATTTTTTGGAACCACTTTTATTTTGAGGTAGTTGCCATCCTTCTTCATCGATGAAGATGTTCATGTTGTTCCTGTTCTCTTGCTTTTGAACGGCCACGACATCAAAATAATTGTTGGCCATATTTGCGTTGAGAGTCTCGGAATTTTTGCCGCATCGTTGTTGTTCTTGTTGCGCCAGCGTTCCTGTGCTAGACCCGCCGCCATTGACTGTAGGGGGTCGCTGAGGCAATGCCTGCTTTCGAGGCGAGCCCGTCCACCGCGTACCGTGTTGCGTCGGAGCTGCAGGCTCAACAAACGGCTGCAGCGGTGCAGGCGCAGCACCACTAGCATGATCTTTTGTTTGAACACCCCTCGCGGTCACTTTTTTCCGTGGACTCGGCGTCTTGATACTAGTATCGTGGCGCGCTTTTCTGCTGGAGCTACCATAGCTTTCACCTGAAGCGACGGGTTGCTTAGAACGTAGGTGCCGCGGCTTAGATGGCGAGAACCCGCGGAGGCTTGTCAGCACCGGCAGCTCATTGGGGTGCGACGATTCATAATCACCCTTGTGTATGGGCCTTAAAAGATCAGCCACCGGCAAACAGCTCGAAGCTGTTGTCCCTGGACGGCTCCTAGTACTGTCGCGTGTCTCCTCCTGGTTCTTCGCTGCGCCTTGCTCGTGGCCAAAAGTGCTCTCGCAAGTGGCGGGTGCAGAGGGTTCACTGTTGTTGCTAATTCCATCTATTATTTTCGAATTCTCCTCGACAATGTCCTCCTTTTTGCGAGATCGATTGCAATTTGCCGAACCTGTCGGAACGATCCATGGTTGTTCCGATACTGCAGTTTCAACATGCTTATCCATCTTCTCTACATAGGTTTCCGGCGCCTGCGGTTCTTCTTGCTTCTGCCCTCGTCGCTCTACGCAATGCGCCAATAGCGTCACTAAGCGCGGCATCTCCTTACCGCCTTCCTTCTCTGCTGACGGGTCCACCGCGGGGGTCTTCATCCTGATGATTGTTCTTGTGAGCAGGAGGAGTGATTCATCTATATGACCTAAGAACAAAGGTGAACCCATTCTCGAAAGTTTTTCCTCCTCCGAAATTTTCGCATGCAAACCGCTTTTGAGCCGTGATCTCCAAATTGTAAAAAGACAGATAGTCTTCCTAAAAGCAAGTTCGCTCTCTCGATCTCTGCCTTTTCCAATTAGTAGGCGTTTTTGTAATGAGAAAGATTTGAAGATGTTCTTGATGTAGCAAAGAAGTTTCAAGACTGATCGTCATGCCGCTAAAGCCCGCAGTGAAGACACCTAGACAACTTCGCTCGAACTAGCACGACGGACGTGGAAGGATTCCGCACTTTCTCCTCGATGGGAGAAAAACGGCTTCAACGATCGTCATTACTGCGTCTCTGGAGGTCATCCTCTACCGTGTTGGTGAGACGCCGAACTGTTGTATGACACTATGATGTAACTACTGTTGTTACACTATGCAACAACTACTGCTATGCATTATTCAAGATACTCGCCTACAAGCATAGTTGTCATGCATAGTTGTCATGATGATCATTTTTGCATGAGGACTTCATGTTGACAGACTAGTACGTGAGAGACTCCTCCACTTCGGAAAAGGATGAAGACATGCAAGAGATATGCGCTGATGCATGTGATCTTCTTTCTTGTCCAAAGGGTGTGTTAGAAAGTCTTTACTCCATCGCGCTGTATCTATACCTGCAAAAAGAGATAAGTTAGTAGGTAGTTTGAAATTGAAGTTTGTATTTTTTCTAACTGTTTTGTTCGGGTTTTAACTTGTCCACTTGGTTTGACATTGAGTTCTTTTTTGCAATACCTTAAAAGGCGACTTAGAGGTTTTTCTGTGCGTCCTCTTGCTCCATGATTGCTCAAAATAATCGTCCTCGTTACTGTTAGAAGTTTGAATATTTTTTGGTAGAAGGTTGGCCACCTGGATCGATCGTTCTCTACAAATGTGATATCAAGATTACTAAGAAGGGAGGACATCAGCTCTTAATCTTATAATGTTAATACAAAAACAAAATGAACAATAAACAACCAATTTTCAAAACGCTCAAAAAAAAACACACCGCCACACACATCCGCCGATGGTTTAGATCCCGACGGTTTAGATCCCGATGGTTTAGATCCCGATGGTTTAGATCCCGATGGTTTAGATCCCGATGGTTTAGATCCCGATGGTTTAGATCCCGATGGTTTAGATCCCGATGGTTTAGATCCCGATGGTTTAGATCCCGATGGTTTAGATCCCGATGGTTTAGATCCCGATGGTTTAGATCCCGATGGTTTAGATCCCGATGGTTTAGATCCCGATGGTTTAGATCCCGATGGTTTAGATCCCGATGGTTTAGATCCCGATGGTTTAGATCCCGATGGTTTAGATCCCGATGGTTTAGATCCCGATGGTTTAGATCCCGATGGTTTAGATCCCGATGGTTTAGATCCCGATGGTTTAGATCCCGATGGTTTAGATCCCGATGGTTTAGATCCCGATGGTTTAGATCCCGATGGTTTAGATCCCGATGGTTTAGATCCCGATGGTTTAGATCCCGATGGTTTAGATCCCGATGGTTTAGATCCCGATGGTTTAGATCCCGATGGTTTAGATCCCGATGGTTTAGATCCCGATGGTTTAGATCCCGATGGTTTAGATCCCGATGGTTTAGATCCCGATGGTTTAGATCCCGATGGTTTAGATCCCGATGGTTTAGATCCCGATGGTTTAGATCCCGATGGTTTAGATCCCGATGGTTTAGATCCCGATGGTTTAGATCCCGATGGTTTAGATCCCGATGGTTTAGATCCCGATGGTTTAGATCCCGATGGCTTGGATCCCGATGGTTTAGGTCCCCATGGTTTAGATCCCGATGGTTTAATGGTTTAGATCCCGACGGTTTAGATCCCGACGGCTTAGATCCCGATGGTTTAGATCCCGATGGTTATCCCATCCCAGCCAGGTGCCTAATTTCACTCAAAATGGTTTAAAATCAAAAACTTAGCACTTTGGCCAAAATTTAAAAACAAACGCCGAAAAAAAAGGGAGGCAGTGCGCGCGGTTGGTTTCTAATTTCGCTCCAAATGGTTTAAAATCAAAAATTTAGCAATTTGGCCAAAATTTAAAAACTAACAAACGCCGAAAAAAAGGAAAGCCGTGCGCGCGATGGTTGGGCTTCCAATTTCGCCCAAATTGTAACTGATCAAAGTCAAAAGTTTAGCACTTTGGCCAAAATTTAAAAACAAACGCCGAAAAAAAAGGGAGGCAGTGCGCGCGGTTGGTTTCTAATTTCACTCCAAATGGTTTAAAATCAAAAATTTAGCACTTTGGCCAAAATTTAAAAACTAACAAACAAACGCCGAAAAAAAGGGAAGCCGTGCGCGCGATGGGTTTCTAATTTCGCCCAAATTGTAACTGATCAAAGTCAAAAAGCTGGCGCTTTGGCTAAAATTTGTAGACCTTCCAGCCCAGATAGAGAAGCCCCCGCGCTGGATCAGAAAGAGAGGGACACGCCGCGCCCGGGTCGGTCAGGTTTCTAATTTCACTCGAATGGCTTAAAATCAAAAATTTAGCAACCTGGCCAAAATTGAAGGCCAAGCGCTGAAAGAAGGGTAGGCCGTGTCTTGCCCTCTCCATCGGTCTCGACTTTTCTCGGACATTAATAGAAAGAGAGGAGGAGAGCAGCAGCCTCAGCTACTTTTCTCAGACATTAATAGAAGAACAGAAGGAGGGCAGTAACCTCGGCTACTTTTCTCGGACATTAATAGAAGAGGACCAGGGCAACCACCACCCAGCCCATCGGCCTCGGCTTTTCTCAGACATTAATAGAAGAACAAGAGGGCGCCCGCCGTCCTGTCCATCGGTCTCGGCTCTTCTCGGACATTAATAGAAGAAGAGGAGGGCAGCCGCCTCGGGTACTTTTCTCCGACATTAATAGAAGAAGAGGAGGACAGCCGCCGCCCTGGAGTCAGTCCACCAGCCTCGGCTTTTCTCGGACATTAATAGAAGCAGAGGGGGACAGCAGTCCCGGCCAATTTTCTCAGGCATTAATAGAAAGAGAGAGGGCAGCAGCCTCGGCTACTTTTCTCGGACATCAATATAATAGGAGAAGACCAGGGCAGCCACCACCCAGCCCATCGGCCTCGGCTTTTCTCGGACATTAATAGAAGAACAAGAGGGCGCTCGCCGTCCTGTCCATCGGTCTCGGCTTTTCTCGGACATTAATAGAAGAACAGGAGGGCGCTCGCCGTCCTGTCCATCGGTCTCGGCTTTTCTCGGACATTAATAGAAGAAAAAGAGGGCAGCAGCCTCGGGCACTTTTCTCCGACATTAATAGAAGAAGAGGAGGGCGCCCGCCGTCTTGTCCATCGGTCTCGGCTTTTCTCGGACATTAATAGAAGAACAAGAGGGCAGCGGCCTCGGCTACTTTTCTCGGACATTAATAGAAGAAGACCAGGGCAACCACCACCCAGCCCATCGGCCTCGGCTTTTCTCGGACATTAATAGAAGAACAGGAGGGCGCCCGCCGTCCTGTCCATCGGTCTCGGCTTTTCCCGGACATTAATAGAAGAAAAAGAGGGCAGCGGCCTCAGCTGCTTTTCTCGGACATTGATAGAAGGAGAGAGGGCAGCGGCCTTGGCTACTTTTCTCAGGCATTACTAGAACCCAGAACGTCTCTCCCCCTTCCCAGCGCCTTCTTGGCTACCCTTCAGGATGTGGAAGGGTTTCCTTTCTGTGGTTGCATAGCGCAAATTTTAGGTCGGTGCCTGCACGTGCGCCGGCATGTTTTTTTTTTGGTTTGTGATGGTGCGTGGTGATTCTAGTGCGGAAATGAGCTACACGTCGCTCTAGGCTAGTATATATATTTCTAACTTACTCATTCATTCCTTCATTCTTGCTCGCAAAAGATCTGCGTAATTTTTTTTTTCCATAGGACTACATGCTGCTTCCCATTCAACTACTTACATAACCCCTTAAAAACTTACATACCGGGGGAGCAAGAGGACCGTGTCACAACGGCCAAACCCTAAGACTATCTGAGGGAACTATAAGCCAATAGCCTCTGTAGACTAATCATTCCTGGACATCAGCTGACAGATGACGGAAACTGGATAAAAGTTGACCTATTTCTCCCAAACCAGAATTGAATCTGAGTTTGAAACGAAACATACAACATACCTACAATCAAAAATACTGTCGTCATAGAATGACATATCTCAATTTACTGTCACGACGCGACCACTAGAAGCGCCAATCAGGTACAGCAGATCTACTTGTTATTCATAGCGTTTACGTTAGTATCTATATATGTACCAGGGAGGGAGGCCCCCCCCTGTGGATGGCGCGGGGGTGGCGTCCGCGCGACCTTTTTTTCGCGGTGGTGAGGTGTAAGGACTCACGGGGGCGAAGGCCTCAAAAGGCGGAGCCGGAGGGCCCTGGCTGCTCTCCGCGTGTACCCCAGAGGCGTCCCAGCTCTTGGACTCTATCAGGGGGAGGGGGACGGCCTCCGGGGGAAGAAAGCCGCCGAAGGCGGCCACGGTCGCGAGGCCTGGCCCCTTTGGCCCTCCTGAGGGGCAGCAGGTGACAAGCTCCTCCCGTTGGGAGTCTGTATGGCACAGGCAACACAGCAAGGGGGTCAAGCCTCGCCACCTGCTGCCCTCGCAAGCCCTCCACCGTGGGACTTACGGACTGCCGTAGAGCTGTTCGCGACGCGTGACGCCCACCGCGTGACGCTGAGAGCTTCACTCAGGGGGAGACGAGATCTCTGTCCTCAATTTCAAGCGTGACGCAGCACGCAACTAACTCGCGCGATGTGCTTCACGTGTCACGCGGCGGCGCGTGGTCTGTGGGTCTTTGGTCGATCCGTGGATCTTTGAGCGATCCGCGGACATTTGATCGATCCGCGGACTTTTGGTAGATCTGTGAATCTTTGACCGATCCGCGGGTCCTTGATGTTGATCGATCCACGGCTCCTCGATCGATCCACGGATTGGCCGCCCCGTGGATCCTTGGACGATCCGCGGGTCCTTGATCGATCCGCGGGTCCTTGGTCGATCCGTGGGGCTTTGATCGATCCGCGGATCCTTGACCCATCCGGGGATCCTTGGGCGATCCGTGGGTCTTTGCTCGATCCGCGGGTCTTTGATCGATCCGGGGATCCTGGGTCGATCCGTGGAGCACTGATCAGTCCCCGGATCACTGACCAAGCCGCAGGCCCTTCATCAATCCACGGATCGCCGGTCGATCCGTGAGTCTTTGATCAATCCACCGACCACGGATCAGTCCGCGGATCCCTGGCCGATCAATCTGTGGGTCTTTGATCAATCCGCGGATCACTTGGCAATCCACGGATCACTGAGCAGTCCGCGGATCACTGAGCAATCCGCGGATCACTGAGCAAGCCACGGATCGCTGATCAATCCACAGGTCGCGGGTCGATCCGCGGATCCCTGACCAATCCATGGGTCGCCGATCGATCCACAGGTCGCCGATCGATCCACAGGTCGCGGATCGATCCGTGGGGCACGCGTGCCGCGTCATGTGTCGCGCGTCACACGTCAAAGAAGAGCAAGATGGTCACCCTTATAATAGGCGGGCTACGCGGTGGGACTAATGTGGCCAGCTCTAGTCTACAGTGTTCGGCCCACCTTACGGCCCTCCACCCCCCAAGGAGCTCCCCCCGTGAGGAGTCCGCACCCGGGAGATCTGTAGGGCACACGCAACACGGCAAGGGGGGTAAGCCTTGCCACCTTTGCCGCCTTCAGAAGCCTCCCACTCCCAGCCGTCGGTGCTTGAACGTCGGTCCCCAGGGGTTTGGGCTCTGTAGGGTACACGCAAGAAGCTCCGAGGGCTCAAAGATGGGCGTTTGGAGGCCTTCCTGCCCGGCAGTCCCTCGAGGAAAAGGGCCCGGGGCTGGAGGGGGGGGCCTTCAGAACTGAGCCCGGCAGCATATATATGCGCCAAGGCGCGGGGCGACAGCCGCCCCCCCGCCCTGGGCCCCTTTTTAAGGCGTCTGCCGGGGGGAAGAGGCCGCAAAAGGGGGCCCAGTGCCCTCCCCCCTCCGCTCCCTTCCAGCTACCAAGCTGTTGCCTAGGGGCCTCCGCTAGCCCGATGGTGGTGGGAGGCTTCAAAAGGGGCCTAATGGACTGCCTGCGCCCCCGTCGAGGTGCCTGCTTGTGCCCTGAGTGCATTCGTTAAACTTCGCCGCCGCAACCATGCCGCCTGTACCCTCCGGGCCCTTAGATAGTCATCAGCTTGCTTGCTCTTGCGACCGTGGCCGCCTTCGGCGACCTTTTATCCCGGAGGCCTCCCGCCTGCGAGGGTCAGCAGAGGCCAGGAGGCTCGCGAGGCCCAAGGGGAGGCCCGCGCCAAGTTTTGACGCCTTCCACCACTAGAATCCGCGAAAAATCCGCGCGGAAAAGCGCGCGCGCGCGCCACCACAGACCAGACCACAGGGGGGGGAGGGGGGGCCGTCCGGCCCTGCGTCATATATGTACCAGGGAGGAAGGCCCCCCCCTGTGGATGGATCTGCGGTGGACCACGCCAGAGGGGTCCAGCCTTGCCACCTTTCCCCGGTCTGTAGGGTTGGGCACATGCAACACGCCAGAGGGGGCCACCCTTGCCATCTTTGCCAAGTCTGTAGGGCACACGCAACACGACAAGAGGGCCCAGCCTTTGCCGCCTTTGCCAGGTCTGTAGGGTACATGCAACAAGCCAGCGGGGCCCTGCCTTGCCTCCTTTGCCAGCTTCAGCGTCCTCCGGTTTGGTGGCGCTCTAGGGGACAGGCAAGAAGCGGGAAGGGGTCAGACGTGGGCGCTTTGAGGCCTTCCCGCCCGGCAGCCCCTCGAAAAGAGGGCCCCCCTCAAAAAGTTAGATCGGCGGGGGCCTTCAGCCCTGAGCCCTGGAACATATATAGCTGTGACGCTATTATCACGCGGATCGTGTTAGTCACGGCCTGCTACTTGTCATATTCCGCTGCATGGACATCAGAACTACTGGTGCATTTTTGTTCATCCCAACTGATGGGATATCCAGATGCGCTCATTTTACAAAATATATCACTCCTCACCCTCAGCGCAAACTTTTTACTTACATACTACTTTACTTTACTTTGCAAGGATACAGTCCAGCACATTTCAAACTTTTTTTTACTTTTTTGGTAAAAATCCGACCGCTTCGAATACATGCAGAGTTAGAGTCCTCTCTGAAAATGCGCATGACATGACCGCGCGTCCCGCTTGACCAACCGTCAAGCCCGATGAATTCCTCTAAATACTAGGATCTAGTGCTTTTAGAACGATAGATGAAACACACATATTGTATATTTAAACAACGAGCTTCAGCTTGTTAAAGAAATTAGGGTGATAATTTTCGAGTCTGGGACATACACGCCACAAGTATCTGCAGTAAAGGACTCCCCCCCATTTTTTGTTGAAATTTGTTCTTCATAAAATTCACAATACTATTTGACCCCTTCATCAATTCGTCATGATGGGGAGGCCTGCACGCCAGCGCTGAGCGCGACGACATTTTTTGACAAATACTTACACACTTTTTAGTCGGCCATAAAATCTCACACACATACTGATACGTGATGAGATCCATCGAACCTTCGCACAAATTAAGTGAAGAGGGAAGTGACAACAATATTACATGCCGCTGGAGATCATCAACATGTTCTATGATCTAAATATACACTCTTGCCTTCATCTTGTGATGTTTTTTCTCTTTCTCGGATTTGGCTGAAGGGAGTATGTTGTACCTAAGACGGACAAAGGCTAACTACCGGTCACTTTCTCAATCAGAGAAAGAACCGGCCAAGAATGGATTGTGTGCGGCATGCAATATCGGGTTACTCCCTCATAAGCTTGACACAGCCGTGTTCCGATCACGAAAAAAAAAGCAGCATTAAGTTCGGACACAAGCTGAAAATAATATCCTCCAACATTTGTAACTGCGGTGATGCATCGACGAGAGCGTTGTCGTGCAAAAATTGCTTAACACAATATATCGTGGATGCAATTGCAGCCACATATTCATCTACTAACTTGTATTGTAATTCATTGGTAATGAAGGAAAAGGAAACCTACCGTCACCTGTTAAGTAATGGAGTAATAAAAGAAGGAGAACGAAGCAAAACCCCACCCTAAAGACCGTGGGTCGCACGGACGCGCAGTGCTTTTGCAAAGAATGCCTTGTTCGACCCAAAGCAAGCCGTCTCCTGCCTGCTGTATGTACAACCCACTTGCCACCGCAGATGGAGCCACCAGATTCGTTGTAAGATTCATTTATAGATACACAAGATGAAGATGATACACAAAACCATCCATATCATCGCCGTTCGTTATTTCGATGGTGCTTTCTCATGAGCTTGATCGTAGTCTTATCTGGTGCCAATATTAACGCGATGCATATAATGGAGAAAATCCAGCCAAGGACTGCAAAACCCCGGACAAAGCGCAATCTTTCCAGGCATGACACGAATCCGCAGAACACTCGCCGCCTACTGCGCTCCCTTCAGGAAAACCCTCCCCCAATTGCGAGCCAAGAACCTCGGGCACCCTCCAAACCCCCGCGCCCCTCCAGAATCCCCCAGCACAAATTTGCAGGCTGGCGCGGTGCACTCTGGAGGGGCGCGGGGAATCACATGAAACGAAACGAAAAGGCAAGACAGAAAAACCAAGAGAAAGCAAGGGGCAGAAGTCGCTAAGTGGAGCACTTCCAGGACTAGGAGGCGACAATAGTGGCCGTCTTTGTGCAGTTCTTAGTTGACTTAGCGCCAATATAGAATTGAATGGATTCTACGCCTAGCACCGCCCGTTTGCCACGCCAGTCAAGACTCCCGCCCGTTCGCCACCTCGAGAATCTTCCGAAATTGACCATATGGAAACTTCAAAGGAGGGTCGCTAGATGAGAGTTGGGTGCTTTCTACACAGTGCAAACGCTGACAAGTACTCAAATACAGACTCATGATTCATGCTTCAGGTCGTGAAAACACATTGACTTGGTGATTATAACCCGACTATTCAAGAACGAGCGCCGTGCCATCTGTCGTCGATTTGACCTACCAAATGAACTTTGAGACCAGACCCTAGGGCACTAACTCGAAATAGTTCCAAAGAGAGTAGCAGTGACGTACTATGCTGAAAAGTGGAGGTGCGTAGTATTCAACTTGTAAGTTTTTAGATGTTGCGTGAGTCGATACTCTACTTAGCGTATTGCAGCCAACAATATTCACAAACTGCGAACAGATTCTATCTTCACATACGTATTTCAAGAAGTAGGCTTCTCATGATCGAATGGTCAAATCACAAGCAACTGTTTACTCATCAATAAGAATGTTCTATGTCTACGTAGAGAAGATCCAGGCATGGCAGATACCCGTATCGGTCAATGGAAATTTCCTTTCCCTCCAGTACCAGTACCTCACTATCTTAAAACGATACCAACCTAGTCCTGGCTAGTATGAAAAACGCGCAAAATTAGCAATGTCACTACGCAAAAGAACTCGCCTACCTTCAACATACACTAATTTCTTGAATGATGCAGAAAATTAGCCAAAACAAATCTAAAAATAGATACCTAGAAATTGCGGAATTTTCGAGCAGCAAGGAGGCGAGTGTAGCATTCTTCTTCGCTCGAATTTCTTGGTTGTAATCACAAAAAATTTACGAGTAGTCAAGACACTGAATCAAATCGAATGCTACTACCTGTGCAACCTTAGTAGATTGATAGTTCAACTTTTCTGTTTGTTACTGAATAATACATAGGAGAGTCTGTTTGTTATTGAATAATCATCCACTAGGCAGGCTCTAGACATAAATGGGTAAACGAAGTTAGAAAGTAAGAAGAAGCTAGCAAAATACACGCTCACAACAGGGCCCGCCCTGCACGAAGCACAGCCAAGGCCAACACACGATCATGAAGAAACTTTTTTAAGGGTTAGAAAATCGCGACGCGTTCCACAGTACACTGCAACTGCAAAGAATATTCTAATTCTTTAATGTTCTAGAAAAAACCGCCAGAATTTATTGATGAATTGCAATTACTTACTGGGGTTCATTTGGTGCTGACTTGCTTCCACAGCAATGAAAAATTCTACGCTGTCTAAGCTACACTTCCTTCATATCTGTAATTGTGATGGCGAATCTATATATTATAACGATTACATACTAGACACAGGAACCTTCTGAGCTTTCTGAAGTAATGTCCCTCTCTGCCCTAGATAGTATTTTTGCGCATTGCCGCAGAAGGAAACCTCCCGCAAATTTGCAAGACAATCCGTGTGACTGTGACATGGTGATAAACTATAATCTTGCAGAAAAAACCAGCGTACTCGATTTGGCGATCGTTAATATTTGTGGTGGAGCCGACCTAACTAGCAAAAAGAAAGATCAGAGGAAGATAGAAATAAAGAAAAAAGAGCAGTTAGCACGAAGTGCCCTCCTATCTGCTAAAACCAATTAAGCGCCGGCGCTATCGTCGTCCTGTCAGCCCCATAGGTCTCACCTTTGGCGATCGTTAATATTGATACTCTTTGCAATTAGGTCTAAGTACTTTTGATAAACTCATGGTCAGCGGCCCCGAAGAGGGCAAAAGCGACGATCCCCTCTTCAAAGTAGCTCACCTTCTAGCACACATGACGGCTACTGCTTGCTGTCCTCGAAAGATATGCGTTTTTTGATTCCGTAGGACGATACCGCAACGCTACTCAACTCGTCTACGTCCCGAGGGTCGGTGCCCTCTACGTAAAGACGCTGCGGGCCTTGGGAAAATACGGCAGGCAGGCCATCCCGGTCTGCGGACGGAAGAGCTATAGAAGATGCAGGACTGCTATTGGCATTAGACAAAATATCATCAGCAGAGAATGAGCTAACAATATATTAAGCGTGGGTCCTTTGATACATTCTTTTATCTTTACACCGTCGTGGGCGGATGCTAATGACAAAAAGCACCGGCATATACTTTTGCTTCAACTTGTGACTCGGTTCCTATTCGCAGATAAATCAACTGACCTGTAGTATAATTTAGACCAACTTCTTCGACGCGCTCTTAACGGGATAACGACTCGAAGCAACCGAATTTCCCATGTCCTGCGACCCTGAGATGCCTCGACTGCCCGTCACTGGTGATTGTAACAACAGAGGCTGGTCAGCTCCGGCGGTCGTGTCGACCGCGGGTGGCGTGAGGTCTTCGGATCCTGCGTTCTCTCTCGACAGTATCGCGTCTCGCCCGAATCCGCTGTTTGCATGCGTGTTCTGTATGGTTTCGAATTCTAGCGCTTCGTCCATCTCCCCGTAGTCTTCATCTCCTACGGTTTTTCCTGGCCCCATTCCTTGTTTCGTCGCTGCTATCATTGAGTAAGGGTTTGCTCCTGCTCCTCCTGCGTAGGCCGCTGGGATCTGCATGAAGTAGCGGGAATCTGGCGGTGGCTTCCTTTGCTGTGGAGGCAGGTGATCCCTCGTCCGGGACGAGGAAGCTCCTCTACTTACCGGCTGTGGGACGGAAGAGGCGTTTCCAAGCGGAGGCGCTGCTGAACTCAAAGTAGAATGCTGATACTGGTGCGGTTGCTCATCTCCTCCAGCTCCGCGGCGCAAGCGTGAATCCGCAAAAGCGCCCGAAGAATCGCCGTAGAGTTCGCGCGTGTTTGTGGTTTGTGAATCTAAATCCGCCCCGTTCAATGCGAGTGACTGCGAGTCCACGGGCACACCGTTTCTTGAATTACGATCAGGATAGCCGCCCACGGTGGAGTCGGAATCTATGGATAACCGACGCGTGAACGGGTCGCGGTCCGGCGCACGAGGCGCCCTCTCGCGCTGCCCTGGCAGCGCGAAACCCTGCTCTCCAAGCCTCGCTCCGGTGACATAGGGCCCTTGGTGAGATAACGCACTCTGGTAGTCATTGTTTTGGCCTCGCTGGTCTTTTGGGAGCTCTTGTGGTTGCGGATGTTGGGGCTGCTGCCCTTGTGCGCCAGCACGTTGTAAAGAGGACGTCTGCTGAACCTCCGGCGCAGCTCTCGGCGATGCCTGCGCGTGGGGTGTAAGAGCCGCGGCTCGCGTCGCGCTGTGCTGGACGTTCTGATCTCTTGAAGGCGCGCTGCCATGATACAGGTTCTCCTTATTCTCTTTGTTTGTATCCTTATTGTACTCTTGGAGCGAGCCTGGGGGACCTGCTTCTACGTGAGGAGGAGCGCGCGCCCCGGACCTGCTTCCTGCAGCACTGAGCTGGGGAGGCACTTGCGCGCCGAACGAGGATGCACTGGCGTGCAATCCACCAGCACGACCCTGCTCCTGTTGCTGAGAACGTTGCAACACGTGCTCGTTGCCAGGTGAGGACATGCCTGCCCCGTCGTTTGTTGCCAAGCCCGCAGCGGGATCGCTTGAGCCAGCGCCAGCGCTCGCTGGCGACGGCGAGGTGGTGCGGTGCCCACGTGAACGCTCATTCCCCTGTCTCTGAGGTCCCGCGCTGGACCCGGAAGGTGGCGGCACCGGTTGCGTCTGCAGCAATTTCTTGTCCGCCGCCGCTGACCTTGAAGATGATGCTCCTCCTCCTGCGGGAGACGAAGCACTCGCTGAACCCGAAGGCGCCGCGGCATCGTCACCATCGGTTCTGGTGCCCGCGAGGTTTACCCAAGCGGACATGCCCACTTCCACGATGTTCGCACGCGCTGAATCATCGGGGACCAAGAGCTGCTCCATCACTAGCTGCAGCACATTCTTCACATCCTTTGGCTTATCGCGGACGTATTCTCCGCGTATATCCTCTAAGATCGCCGCACGTGTGCGCCTTCGACGCTCCGGATCGCCGAAGGCGTAGGTTACTTCTGTAGCTCTGGTTTGATTCATAATCATCATGGATGATTCAACACAGTGAGGGAATGAATGTACCCACTCCAGGGGTATAAAAGAGCACTACACGACTACTAGTTCCGTTTGCAGCGTGCTTCTACAAAAAGAGTCTCAATCTTATGATATCTCTGATCGCCACCTGTTCGAGAAAAATCCAAAACCACAAACGTGCATTAGTAACGAACATCAACATTCTGGTGCTCTGTCTACAAAAGAAATTCATGTTTATTCAGCACAAATCGGTATAGTCGAAGATCAAAATCATTACTTCTCTGGCGTCGCCACAAGTACACCGTCGCACGGCCAATCCATCAGTCGTTGCATCTTGTTAACACCGCACAGGAGTTCCAAAAGTACTACGCCCATCGACCATACATCGATCATATAGCCGTAGAATCTTAGCGTCGTCCACTTGAAGGAGCACTGTTAACTTCTAGTTGAAATCCAACTTAAATCTGTCACCAACAGAAAACGGGGAAAAAATAGAGAAACTTATGATGTTACCGAAATACTGTTATTCTTTTTGTTCCACTTTCAAACAGCTCTTCTACAATGAATCAACAATGGGAAAGCTTAGACTTGTTCCTTCATCCGAATTAGCAAGGGCCTTAAGTATGGTTTGCAGGACATTACTTCCGGTGCCGCAAAGGGCATCGATCCACACTGAACTGTCAGACGTTGGCCGCTTTTCCGCACGACGGCCAGACCGAAGTCAGCGATCAGCAGCTTATCAGATAACCACGGACGTTTGGGGTCGTACCTCCTGGACCCATTTGCAGAAACTATGATTAACGCTAGACGCTCACTATCTGTAGTTTCTTTCTTGCCTATTGATTGGCTTCACCTATAAATCACGACAAGGAGAACGCCGCACCCCAGGTTTACCTAATCTCACACGAGATTGACAGTAAGCGTTAGCGTAAAGCGAGCCATAATATAAAGTTTTCTGGTTTCAGGTCTCGATGCCAAACCATGCGACTATGACAGTGAGTCAGTTTCTTAGAAGCTGATGTTTATACTTAATATAGGTACGGATGCAATCCTTTCCTCCTGGCTATATATTGCTCCTTCATGTTGCCTTTAGTTCATCTTCTTTCCTATTCTATAGCAGGAGTAGCTGTGTACCCACTCGTGCCGTAGATTCTTGGTTCCATTCTCAATTTCGAATTGGAGGACGGAATTTTTATTTGTGGAGGAAAAGATATTAAGAAGAATTGTAGTACCTCGTTGGTGATGTCGAAGATTTAGCCTTAATTGCTGATACGATTTGCCTGAACAGTACTTGACTCAACTCTGGTTCGATCGGCCGACCGCTGTGCTGCTGCTCGTGTACGAGTACGCTGTAGGAATAATGTGAGGTTTGAGAATGACTACTCTATTAATCCAACGTGTAGGGCAAGAGGACGATCATGATGAATTACCTATCAGAGGCGGCTTTTTATTCTATTTCAGCACGGGGACCTTCAAACAATACTAAAAGAAGCATGATCATTCAGGTATACGGAAGTCCTCATACTGCTCAAAGATCTACTGCAACCTCCAAGTTAGTACTCTTAATAGTACTCAAAGAGACTGTTTTTGCCACCATACTCCATGACGAGGTACACGTTCTTCGCGGAAATGACAAGCGAGTATAGCTTGATGATGTTGTCGCAATCGAAACTTTTCATGAGCACACGATATTCGCGGTAGAGTGCTTCTAATTCTGGGCCAGACTCAATCATCGACTTTGGTATTCGCTTTATCGCCACGAATTTCGGTCGCGGATACTAGAATGGAATGCAATGATGGCAAAGAACATTGGTAGATGGACACGGAGATTATTATAATAAATATATATTATCGCAAACTAAGAAGATCACACGGCTTGCAAATGACGTAGATCATAAGGTATTCTACGACAAGATGGCTGTAACCTCAAAATGTTGAATCAAAAACAAGAAAGCATATATTCCATCACGATCATAAAGATGATGTGCATAGGGCGAGTTATTGCTAATAAATTGCATGCTCAGTGTGCAAGGCCACCCAGAATTGAAGCGTCAATTATAGTGTTGGAGAATCGTACTCATACAGAAGTTGGTTTCTTCTGCCAGGTGATCATGAACGAGAAAAATCACAGTGAAGTCGTCCGCTAAAAGTGGCATTACGTTAGGATCGTGGAACATGGCGCTATGCTTGTCCAGCAATATATCTTGTTGGCTTAGAGCTACACTTAACCTCTCCCGTGAATGGATCCCGTTAAAATACTCGTCCCAGAAGCACTTGCCTCCGTACTACAGCCTGAGAATCCGCCAGGCAGTATTGACTTTAATATCAACGGGACCACTCTCTCACGTGGAGATGAAGCGGAAGTCAGGTTCAGGTTGTTTGTAAAGCCTTAACTTAGGATCGTCTACTTTTCCCTTGTACACCGCTTTGTAGACTTTGCCTAGCATCCCTTCACCAAGACGGCCCACAAACTTGTAGTTCCCGACTCCAGTGTCTGTCTCAATCAGGTCCTTGTTTACTTGTGGAAAGTTCGTCAGCACACATTGCGGTATAAAGTTCCTGAAGAGAAGTCAAAGTGTAACAATCCTGGGCAATTTGATCAGACTTCCTGTGAACAACAAGGACAATCAAAGTGTAGTAATGATGAATGGACTACTAGAAGATTGGCAATCAAACTGTAGTAAATAGCCTAGTGATATTTCGCAGACCACAAACGAGTATCCTCCACTTTGAAATCCCTATTCCTCCATCAACTAAGAGTACCAAACATATTCCTCTAGTAGGTCCTCTAGTACAAAGTTGTGCTTATTTATCCTGCTCGGATGTGAGCCAGGTGTACGAGGGGGTTCATTGTGCGGTATCCATAACCTAAGCTTATAATAACCTATATATAAGTAAGTAGTACCATAGCATATCCTCCTCTTGTGCTTCTTTTTGTTGGACGTAGGCGGAAAACATGGCATTCATCGCCTGGAAAGCCGACATTTGTTTTCGCATCACCTCTAAGTTGTTCTCGATTCTTGTGAGCGCCAGTTCGATTTCCATCTGCAGATCAAAAGCCTGCGCTTCCGCAAAAGCCCATCGCTCCCGCGGCACATTAATGGCTTGGGCAGAGCCACTACTATCCAAAAAAGCTGGCGCCGAAGAGGGAACCTGCTTATTTTTAGGTGATGAAGGAGATGGAGGAATAGAAGGTATAGGTAACGCACTAGAGCGACACAGACACGTCAGCTGCAGAAGACCACAAGTAAAAGAGCCCCTCAAAATAAGGATGTTCATGTTGATGGTACATTCCAGAATAGCACGTCGTCTGCACCGTACTGGGCAAAAAGCTTCGACTTATCGAGAATTCGCCGCTCCACGTCTTCTGGATCCGCAGCCCATTCACCAGAGTAATATGGACTGATGATCTGTGTTAGTTTTTACAATCAATCAGGATCTCAAAATCATCACAAATTACTTGTGTCTGAATCACAAGTAAGAATTTAACTGGTGAGTTCAGACAAGAAGAAGCTCTGAACAAAGGAAGAGAACGGTGTGAGAAGATACGACGAGCATGAATGAAAAGATGCATGCTGTGACCTCTGTTATCATCATTCGGGATGACCGTA